GTCTGTATGACCAAGGAGGAATGAAGCAGATGCTCCAGGATGGCAATCGTGAATGGATTACGACAATTGCATGTATATATGCTGATGGCAGTCATCTTATGCCAGCTCTGATCTATCAGGCTACCAGCGGCAAGATCCAAGACTCATGGCTACAAGATTTTGATCCAACGGAGCATCGAGTCTTCTTCTCCTCGACATCAAGTGGATAGACGAACAATCAGCTAGGAATGGCATGGCTCCAGCAGGTCTTTGATTGTGAGATGAAAGCAAAGGCAAGATGGTCTTATCGCTTACTTATCCTTGACGGACATGGATCACATATCACGATGGAATTTATCAAGTTTCGTGATGAAAATAGAATCCTTCTGGCCATCTACCCACCTCATTCAACTCACATCCTGTAACCGCTCAATGTCTGCCTGTTTAAGCCTCTATCATCTGCCTACTCTACCGAGCTCGCTGACTTCATGTATAAATGCCAGGGCATCTCTGCTGTTACTAAAAAAGACTTCTTCTGCTTCTTCTGGAAGGCCTGGAATGCAACATTCAAGGATTCAGCAATTCTCAAGGCTTTTGAAGTCACTGGCATTTTGCCAGTAAACTCAGAGGTAGTACTCAAAAAATTCAAAACAAAGGAGACTGAGAGACCATCCTCAAACGAAAGCTCTACATCAGTACTTATGTCAGATGATAAGCTAGTTTATAGACATCCTATCTGGGACTGGAGAGGAGGACTGGGAGAAGATGTCTGTACCGGTACTGTCTGAGGATATGTGGCTAGTGATTCTGCAGTGGCTAGTGCCCTGCACAGCCTTGGCGCCCAGAGAAAGAACATTAAAACCAGTGTCAGGCCCCAGCCTCACACATACAAGCATACACCTGAATACAATCAGTCAACCCATCTTCAATCAATCTTTCTGTCACCATGACATCTTTAGATACCATCAAATCTGACAACTTAGTGCATCAGATTGGAGGAAAATTGACTGCTTATTGTGCAAGGCTATTGAAGACATCACTGATTTGAGGACCCGACAGCTCAGTCAGATGATCCACACAATGGCCGTTCGAACGACGCTGTTATAGCATGAAAAAGAGCAACTCAAAGAAGCCTTATTAAATGAGAAGAAGCACCGACAGTACGGAAAGCCTCTGCTACTCGAGGCACCACGGAAGTACCATGGTGGCATCATCTTCTGGTCACCATCCAAGGTTAAGGATGCTCACGCTCGACAGGCCCAAAAGGACGCCGATGGATGGTTATTGCAACAGCAAAAAATTCGGGAAGCAGAGTGCAGAAAGGCAGCAAAGCAGAAAAAAGCAGATATGCTTGAGGAGAGGTGCCATATGAGGCTGGCGGCAAAGGAGCTTCAGATCCAGCAACAGCAGAAGAAGACAGCTGAGCATAAGGAAGCTCAGATCACTCGGGCAGCAGAAAAGCAACTCTGGCAGGATATACAATTGTCTAAAATGAGGGCCGTACATAGTAAAAAGCTCGCTGCACCTCCTCCAGATGTCGTTAAGGAGCCTAAGGTTGATAATGTGGATGTAGCATCTATTGTTGTCAGATTTGATGGTATCTGAAGATGTCACGGTGACAGAAAGATTGAATCAAGATGGGTTGACTGATTGTATTCAGGTGTATGCTTGTGTGGGTGAGGCTGAGGCCTGACACCGGTTTTGATGTTCCTTCTCTGGGCACCAAGGCTGTGCAGGGCACTAGCCACTGCAAAATCACTAGCCACATATCCTCAGACAGTACCGGTACAGACAGCTTCTCCCAGTCCTCCTCTTCAGTCCTAGATGGGATGTCCATAAACTGGTTTACCATCTGACAATTGTAGATGAGGTGCCCGCATCTAGGCCTGCAACACGCACCCACAATATACAGCTCCCCCACCATTATCGATAATAATTTATAGTTGTCAATTGGTTTAGACGGCACCTTCGAGTGCCCTAACAAAAAATCTAGTGATTTTACTATCTGTATTATAGAGCTGTACAGCCTTTTTTGTTGTTGGTGTTCGGCGGCCGAAAGTGATCGCCAGGTGGGGACGATCGCCAGGCGGTGAGTCACGGTAATCCAATGGCTATCTGTGCGGACACAGCCCAATGTGGTGCACTTGCATCGGCTATCAAAGACGCCTTGCACACTTGACCCCCTCTACAAGTATTGACATTTGTAAATGCCTACTTTGTGATAACGAGAGGGGTGATCCTTGCACTATAAACTCTCACGCTCCGTCACGGTAAATGAACCTGGTGCATCGTGGTACCAGATAGAAGCCGCCAGCGCCATCGAGCCCATGGTATCCACGACTTATAGACCCGGTTCTGACCTTCCGTCGTCTATTATTCACTGGTTTGCGATGATCTAGGGGTACCTTGTTGCTAACTGGACACTCTTAGAAGAGCCGGGGCTTGGCTTCCCCTGCCTTGTTAGTATGGCGGTATCACTCAGGACGCCGACAAGCCTCAGAAAGCCGGCTTTCAAATTGGCTGATCCAATGCTTAGGGGAATGTCAATGGAGACGTTGCATCGTAACATGGAAGTCTTCTCCGAGACAATGTTTCGACGATCTAGCTCCTGGGTCTTCATAACGTGTGCTCCAACGTATCATTGACTAAGAACTACCCCCGCAAGGCGCTGCACTGGGTCACCATTACACCGGAAGTCACGATCCGTTACTCCCAGGGTCACAAACGGCCACCCGTCACGGCCTCGAGCTCGGGGAGAGCGACGTTCCGGTTTACACAAAAGTTTATACAAGGACCCGCGGCAATCTCACCTCGGGAAAGGGACCTTGACATGCGACGATCTGAAGAGAACACGAGAGAGAGCGGTGAGGATGTAACTCTGCACACAAAGAATTCCGGGGCAATGGAAATGTACGCCGTTACTCAGCATGAATCAGAGGCTCGAGATGCCCCGCCATTCTCGCAGATTTGGATCGACGAGTAGGGACATCGCTTCTGGATTTGTTGCGCTTTTGCCCCTTTCTTAGAATTGTTGTAAGGGTTTGATGGCTATAGTTCGACTCGCTTTACGACACGTCTTTGGAGATCTACCTGATAAAGACAAGCGCTCAAGCACTACATGTACTGAACCTGGTACCTGGGACGCTGGCAGCCAGCCAACCACTTGTCTTGATATGTCGTGCATTTAAAAGTGATCGGCCATTTGTCCTGGTGGGATTAGTTCCTACAACTGATCCCCATGCTCTCGATCTCGCGATCCATAGCTATGGTATCGGCCATCTTAAAAGGAGCAGTATCCGTTGTTGCCATTCTCGGGATCCAAAGCGGCGTCCCTCGACTCCATTACGAGAATCTAAGAGATGGCCGCCGATGCCTTGGAAAAACCACGGAGAAGGCCCATCTTTAGTCATAGGGTCGGTCTGAAAATTCCTGCTGGGTTTACGGCTGTTCGAACACTCCAATGTAAACATGCATACCCCTCGTCCTGCTCTCCCTCCTCGCGATTTCTGGAACGTTTCTCTCATGCACGGACATGGACATCATCTACAACACAACGGAAAACGTTCCTCGTGTGGACGCACCACCGACTCCTCAGGTCGCACTGCCACCTGACAAGAACATTCCTTCGATAGGCCAGAATTACTTCCCACGCCTTGACGCCTAGTTAAGGGAACCACGGCTGGGGTACCATTCCTTTGCGGAACAACGTTGAAACGCACTACAAATATGAGACTCCGGCCATGGTAACCGTTGTCACCGGCCACTAGTACCATCGCTGGAAGCACGCACGATAATGATATCAGACGGGTCGTATTAGACACCCTGGAGGGGACAGCTGTCATACATCTGAATTGTGCAACTGAATAACGATGCGGAGTTGTGGCAAGACTTGATTCGGAAATTTGGGACTTAGTTTTGCCGCCGTCATGAACATGCCACTGAAAAAAAGTCGTACTCTCTTCTCTTTCTCAGTTCCAGTTACCTCCTCCCCGCCTGCAGACAAACGTCAACAGCCTCCGTAACTCACGAGGCGTGTAGATAAAACTCATCAGTTTCATCGCTCGTAGTGCTGCCAAATGTGACAAAGACTATCAGCATCTGCATTTATCTGCCACACAGTAGGAGAAATCTGAATAAGACGGGGAACTGCAACACATAACAGAGTGATGTAATAATTCCAGGGTCAGGAGCGTAGCGCGATGTAACATCGGATATCATAGGTATAGGTGAATCCAATGCCTTTTCAAATGCTGCTCCTGCTTACGTATCTTTTTGAGACCGCGAAGACAAGAGTACGATTGGCAGACGTGAGGCTGTTGAAGCGAGCTAAGCGATCGGATTTCCACAAGTTTTTAAAGCGTTCAGCCGCGAATATCACCAACTCATTTCCAATAGTTGCTTGCTAGCGAGCTCTTCTAGAGCTTCCAACCGATTCTAGGGAACAAGTTACATGGCTGTATTTTAGACGACGTATAGATGCATGACATCTCGCTGTATACTGCTATCACGCGTGGGTATGAGCACTTTTTGATACTCAATAGCAGCTAGCTTGCAGGCAATTGTCAGCATGATTTAGCCATGTCGCGATGTTTTGTAACATGCAGTCCCTGCGTGGCTTGCGGTGACAGCCCGGGTCCAAGTCCAAATCTACGACTCCATGTCTAAGGGACTCTAATCTGGATTACTATAACCCGCTAGAGAACATGCATTTCGAAGAGAAGCATGTCTTAAAGGCTGCGGTCTTGAATAATAAAACATACGCACAGGACGGATAGTGAAACACCGTGAGAATGAAACACTGTTGGAAATCCTCCGCAGATGAAACGTGTTGGAATGTTTGAATTGCCTTTCTGATTTCCTACATATATCTATCCTTTTAACCGTAATTCTACGTTCGATTACCAGGTTCACTGCAGCGGTCTTGCCTACACCCTAGCGAAGTGTACGGCCTTTATTTTGTAAGGCGGGGCTGTATGACTATACTCCCACCAACACTGACAACATGGTTGCCCAGAGTAGTGCCTCGCGCCGGTTTGCGTTACAGACAGTCAAGCGGTATGAAGAATCTCCTTCAGATAACTCAGAAACTAAGTGAGGTAGTCTCCGCGCATCTGGAGAGTACTCCGATCTCATCATAACATGTGGGTCAGAGCATTTCAAAGTTCACAAAGCCATAGTGTGTACCCGGTCCGGGTTTTTTGCTTGTGCTCTTCGATTTCCTGGAAAGGTTCGTTCGCTCATCATGTCTCCGACTCTTGCTTTCCTCTTTGATATAAAGAGTGCGTTCGAAAGACTCTTGGAAAGTTTCCCTCTGTAGATCGCTTTAACTTATGTTGAACGCAGGAATCCCAAGAAAACAAAATTGACCTCCCGGAAGACGAGCCACACATAATCGAGCTAATGCTCCAGTACATCTACGAAGGCGATTATGGTCCCCTTTGTGGTCATGTCCAAAACCCAAGCCCTCCATCTAACGCTTCGCCTAAGAGCTTCTTTCCGCACACCTGCGACTATGTACCTGCGGGCAAGGTCTATTGCGACGAGGGTCGCCTGTGCCCCCATCATGACTGCACATTTAATTGCGGCCGAGGAAGCTTCTCGTGTAGAAACTTCATTTGCAGAAAATGTCACCCCACGCGAGATACGCCGGGTAGCTTTCTTATTCATTCCAAGATGTATGAAGTTGGCGAAAGATACGACGTTTTCCAGTTGAAGGAATTAGCGAGGAAAAGATTCGAGATCGCATGTCGACTCCACTGGAGTGAGCCACACTTCTTTGAAGCAGCTTACTTTGTGTTTACTGCCACACCCGAGAATGATGTGGGACTTCGGGATATAGTATGTAGCACTATATGCGATCATCTTAGTCTCACCAACGAAACGGCATTTGAAGAGCTCAAAGAGGACGTCGAGGGGTTGGGTTATGCACTCTTTCAACACCTCATGAAGAGAGGGCAAGAGGGAGGTTGGCTTAGTAAATAGACGACGTGGGTTCATAATGTGCCTTACGCGCCACGAGGTGCGGTTGAAGCAAAAATTGTGAACAAGCTCCCAGAGATTTTCAGTAGCACCTAAACAGAGGGGTGGAATTTTGGAGGTCATGTGCATTTTGAGCAACAAATCTATAGCGCTGGAACGCATGGGACAAGAAGGATGTGCTGGCCCATCATTCTGTGAGAATCCGTTTCTTACTTGGGGTACTCGTAGAAGCCAACAAACGAGTTACAAACCAGTTCTGTATAGTTCATGTTCTAGATGCACCTAGTCCATGTGGCGTAATTACATTAGCAATTTCACTACCTAGGTAGTGACTGCATCGATGTAAAATCACGGCGTCCGATACCGCCCTTTCGCCCACTCTCACTTTTGCTCATTTCGCCAACGCCTACCTTCACTCACTCTCACTTTTACTCACTTCACCAACGCCTATTTTCACTCACTCTCACTTTTACTCACTTCACCGACGCCTACCTTCACTCACTCTCACTTTTACTTTTCCCACCCGCCACTGACTTCCACCAACTTCTGGAACAATCGACAGTGCCCGTGTGAAGCTAGCAGAAAGCTTTTCTTGGCGACCTAGTCTTGCATTAACCTGGCTGGATTTACCTTTGCTCTTAACCATTTCTACAACTTCCACAACAATCCCGAAGCTGTCGTCGCTATGGCCGAAGCCGCCCGCCAAAAGGCACTGGAGTCGCTGAAAAAGTAGGTGAATCCAGTTTCCAGACGAGCGACGCATTAACACGATCAGGCTCCTTCAATCTGGTGACTTCTCCGATCTTGTCGTTACTTGCGGAGAAGATGAGTACAAGGTGCACAAGGCTATTGTCTGCCCTCGTTCGACCTTCTTCGCCAGCGCTGTGCAGTTCTCTGGCAAGGTTCGTTGATGGATGGCCATCTTTCCCCTCACTGTGCTTCATGTAGGTTTTGAAAGATCTCCTAAATGACTTCATATTTGCAGGAAGCTCAAGAAGGAAAGATAAACCTTCCCGAAGACGAACCGGAGACCATTAAGCTGTTGATGCAATACCTCTACGAGGGCGTGTATGGTCCGCCAATCAAGGAGCCGAACGCTACCACCAAGGACTACTTTCCCCATACGTGCGAATGGGTGAATTCCGGGGGATTCTACTGGTGCAACCAACCCCTTTGTCCTCATCACGATTGCGGGGATGGAAAATGCTCCTATAAATGCGCCGCATTCATCTGCCGAGAGTGTGTCCCTCTGCCGGAAATGGGCCTTCTGACGCATTCCAAATTGTACAAAATGGGGGACAAATACGGTGTGATTTCTCAAAGAGCTTGCACGGAGTAACTTCGAATATGGGTGCGAGATCCAATGGGATGAAGCTGAGTTCGCCGTTGCAGCTCATCACGCCTTTACATCCACACCGGAACATGACAAAGGGCTTCGCGATATCGTGTCCAGGACCATCTCTTCGCACCGCTCCTTGATGAAGAAGCCAGAAATTGAAGCCTTGATGCTGGAACTTAACGGTCTTGCGTCCGGACTCTTGAAGCACTTCCTTGAAGAAAACGAAGACAATGAGACCGCGGTGAAAGATGGTCAAGGAAAACGGCAGAAACGTAGGGGATAATTATCAAGGTATACCGGAGTTTGATTAGAACTAGGGGCCGGAAAGACATCGAAACGCGGGGTGGATAAATCGTGGTCTCACGGATTGAGATTGTCCCTCTCTGCGTTAGCATCCAACTGTCTCTGGTTGGAATTCCGCGTGGAGTCGTCATTCTTGGACACCAAAAGCCGCCCACGCGCTCTGAGCATAATCCGTCCACGGACGTGACAGAAGGAAGCTAAACTCCTAAGGCTAGTATTGGCAGAAATCAATGCACATAGTCATCGGTAAATAGTGTGCCACCTTGAGAACAGTGATGTATGAACCTAGCGTAGACGTCATCGCAATTCTGAATCTTCCAACGCTTCTGCAGAGTAGCAGACTATGGAGTCATCCAACTACCCAACAACGATGTAACTACGCTCACTCAGGAGAAAGTTACTGACGGACCCGCAAGAAGTTCAGTGAGCCCTTCATGCAGTTAGCGCCCATATTCTTCATTTTTATCCGCCTAAAATGCAACTTACAGCTATCAATATCCTCCTGTATCTTCGACTTAATCGTACACCTATTCGCCGCCTGCGGACGGGGAGTCTGCGTCTTCAACATAGGACCAATCACAAAACAGAACTGGCCCATAGCCTTCTGCAAAGCATCGCCTTCCCACCTAAACACATACTCCGCATGCGTACCGTAGCCGGCAGCGTCTCCACTACTGAAAACGAAGGCTGCGAGCCGTCTTCAGGCCAGTCGTTCGGGTCGTTGAATTTTCTCGTGCCCCACGCTACTTCGTATAGGTTTTGCGGAATCTTGACGGGATGGGAAGCCGGGCATGCGCCACCGGATTCGAAAGATGCCCTGCTAGGTTGCTCATAACCTAGGGTAATCAGTCCATAGTTCTTGAACCGAGAGCGAGGTACAGTTACGTACGTATGCGACGTGGCTCTTATGGTCGCGAGAGTCAAGGTTCTTTCCGTCCCAGCATCTGAGGATTCTCAGTCAGTGACTGAGAATAATGGAAGAAGTGCTACTGCTCACGTTGGGAAGAAGTTATTGGCACAAATGCCGCCTGGGCAGGGCTTCTTAGGCAAATGCCATGTATCTTACCCTGCGCCAGGCGCTCCCTGCTTCCCATCGAAATTCTTCTTCCAGCAACTGAAACTCAACATGCGAGCATCTCCGTCGTTCATGTCCTCGCGTCTGGCTGGATCTCTGACCAGCATGCGGAAACCCTGAACGGTCAGTCTGATGTCAAATCTTAATTAACGCGCTTGACCTTTTTGAAGGCAATCACTGTGGTCTTGCCATCTTATGGGGGAATGTAGTAAACGGTAATGCCCCCATTCGCCGGCTGTAGGAACTGGTTCGGGAACTGCGGTACTCGCTTGAATGTACCGTTGCGAGCACGGAAGTACAACACCGCAGTCCAGTAATTGGAAAAGTCCTCCGTGAAGGCGCATGTTGTGCAGGTTGCTTCCTTGGGTAAGTCCAGGCTCGGGTCCATGGTCACATTTAAGGCGTTCTACTATAGATGAGCGCATGGTACTAGAGAGAAAGGTGAATGGCATAGTCTGCCAACAAGCTAGTTCAGATACGGCGATGGCGCTTGGCCTGGGTTGAAGAGACTGTGATTATCAGCGGCATATCTACATGACGGTTCTTCCTTATGGATCAATCCGGTCAATGATGAGTTGCGAGCACAAGAAGCGCAGCATAGCGCTTCCGGCATTTGAAGCTTGGGGGGGGGCCCACAGCTTACCACGGAAATGTTTCTGGAACGATTGCCCCACCGCAACAATTCTTAGAATGTTCGCCCGAGTTGGGATGACTGAATGATGGACATGCTTTCAATTGTGCGGCAAGGAACACGGTATCTTGATGCTTTCGAGAAATCTCAGTTACACCCTAAGGACCGCAAACATCTAGGACAAGGGCACTGTGCGCGTAAGGTTGGTGCCTCACACAGAGCTCCGCAACAACTAGGAATGTCGACTACATAGTGAGGTACGAATATTACTTTTCACTGAAGCACAGACCCTGAGGGAGCAAACACGAAGTGAGCTCAGTCAGAATCTCAGGTAATGATCATTATCTTTATCACAACATTATGGAGTCCGTCAGAGTACGATTTCCATCATTAGGTATTATGCACACCCCGACACAGGCTCGTCTCTCACGCGCTTAATCGCAGTGAACGACACCGTCAGAGTGAGTGTGACATTCCTGGAGATGTGTCAGTGACTGCACATTCTCGCAAAACAGGTTCCCCAGATGGGTCAAGCATACCTTGGGCGCATCAGAAGTCGCTGATGGAGCTTGCAAAGCCGTCGCAGTCGGAGTAGGAGTCTCGGTCGCAGGAGCCTCGGAAGTCCTCGGCTTCGGATCGACCTTTCCCAAGCACCCCTCGCCGGGCACAGCGATGTCAAAAGCATAAGCCTCCAGCGCGAAATACTGCAGAGTCTCGCTATTCCTCACAGTCTCCTCGGGCTTCGTCTTGGCCAGCTCGAGAGCCCCTTCATAGCCATCAGCATAGTGCTCGACGACACCTTCACCGATTTTGGGAACGTGGAAGAGCCGGTGCACGAGGTCGGAGGCCCAATAGATGTTCGTCTCGGAGTTTGCGACGGTATAACCCAGCCCGCACATGGCTACTAATGGGCGGCGGGTCTCGTAAGAGAGCGGGCAGATGACGGTCTCGTCGGTGGCATTCGCACCACGCCAGTGGCCAGCCCATCCTAAAAAGCGTAAGATGACGGCGAACGTTAGGAGAATGGGTCGTCGACTTACCTTCGTTGGCGCAATTCCCGTCAGGATTGTCACAGCGGAAGAGGATACCGGCCTTGTCTACATTGACAATCTTGTCGAACCATCCGATGGCCTCGCCGGAAGGAGCAGCGCCAAAGTACTTCTGGTAGAGCTCCGAAGAGTTGCCCCAGCGGAGGATGTGGTCCTTGGCATGCTGGGCGAGAATGATGGCTTCCTTGAGCCCACGCTTGATCTGGGCCCTTTCAGTGTGGTTGCACGACGAGTGAATGGGATACTCAGTCACAGCTCCTGCGTTCCAGGCTGTGGAAGTCGGGGATGGAGCCTCGACGGTCTGAGTGACCGTGACGGTCGATTCTGCTCTAGCCAGGCGAGCAGGGCTGGCAAAAGCAGGGCCCGATGCCGCCAGGCACAGCAAGGAGAGGTTGAGGAGAGAGGCCATATTTGCAGGTATCGTGCGGCTCTGAATTGACGATGGACTCGAAGAGAAGTTGCCGTGTATTGGTGCAGGATCGTTATAGACACCGGGTTGTTGGGTGTTTTATACCATTGAAGTCTCCCTCGCTGCCCAGAGCATCGGCCGGCTGGATTCATGGCACTCCTACACTTTGACGTCTACCAAGTCGCCTACAACTCAGAGTTTTCGCTTTTACTCCCGCCCTTCATCCGCCTCATCGGACCATTCTCCTCGTTTGTAGCCATGACGACGTGCTCAACGAGCACCGTGATGTCCCGTCGACACCGTCAACCAGGTGAGCAGGTTCCCAGTACGGAGAAATTCCTGTAGGGTACTACTTGTACATAATCGGTATTCCTTCTGCTAGAATACCCTCACCCACCCCACGTGCCGAGTACCCTGCTGGAGCAGCGGCCGGGTTACTGCGAAGGAGAAAAATCGGCAATGTCGCATATGAGGTGCATGGTGGAGATGGTTCTGGTGACCCATGCGCCACAGCTCCGTCTCAATGGATACGGGACTCAATACATTCACCGCCAAGCCTCCCCCCCAAGTGGCTCCTGCAGGACATGACTGAGCGATATCTAGTACCAAGACTTGCGCTTCGAGAGCCCATTAGGAAGGTGAGTGATGACCGTAGATATTTCTTTACGCCCTTGGCAGCCTACCTGTGCTTCGTTATTTAGTTTCATTGGCATAGATCTGCCAAACTGGGCAGCGAGATAGCGAACCTGGGAGAGGCATGAAACTCGGAAATATATGTCTGACGAAATTTCTTCCGCTCAGGCTTCCCTCATTTCCTATTCGAGTTCTTCATTGCGACTGAAAATTCCCTCAGGCTGATAGTTTTCACAGTTTCAATGTTTTCCTGGAAGACTACCCACCCTGTACCCAACAATCGCACACGGTCCGGCCTCGCGGGAAATGATGATTACGGGCAACTCTGACAGCGCGCCCAGAGGGAGGTGGCCGGACGAATAGAAGGTGCAAGAAGACATGTCCAAGCCGGAAACAGCTTGACGTTTGCCAAGACTGGCGTGGGTGGTGGGTAGCTGGACATCAAGGTACTCAACCAACCCGCCAGTGCCAGCCAAGCGGCTGCGCCAGAGAAGATTTCACTCATTCCATCCTTCTCGTCCATCATGGTGCTGTCAGCCTTTCCTTCATCTTACCTTTTTGCGCGGACACACTCTCGCGGCCTCCAAGGTTCAAATAGGTCCTCGTAACCATCGCTTTGCGCCGTGCTTCTCCTCATTGTCTATCACCGTTTGCCGATCTTCGAAGTCGTTTTCATTAGCGATCTACTTTTCCCCTAAGAGTTGTAGCCAGGAACACGCGACACGACATTTGACACCATGGCCCCAGCCGCAAGGCTAGCAACCTCGTCTGCAATGCTGCTCTTTGCAAGCACAATTGCGGCTCAAGCGATAACACCTGCTCCGTCTACGACAGGAGCGGCTACGAGTCCATCGATAACCGCCGTTTCTGATTGCCATGCTCATGGAACGGTCCAGTGCGTTGTTCCCGGTAGACGAACCCTTCTAGACAGACGAAGATTGACTTCCCAGGTACTGTGTGGCAGGTACCGAAGAGTACCAGGTTGTCGGACCGACGCGAACAGAGGAGTTCGAGTCGCAATACACAGGTTGCCATCTCCACGGAAGCGAAACGTGAGTGTGTCGTACAGCCCTGCGCCGCTTGATGACTGACTGCAATGCAGTATGTGTATGGACTCCAAGGGCGAAGAGGTCACTATACTAGTCGAGTCTCACGAAGAACCCGCGGACGAAGAGCATGATGATGACCACGGTCATGATCACGGTGAAGAGTCGGAGTCGGGTGAGGTCGCCTGCCATTTCCATGCCGGCGTAGAGTAAGTGGTGTGCCTGCAATTTGGACGCCTTTACTGATGGTATGCAGACACTGCACTGGTCCTGGAGAAGAAGAAGAGTCCACTGGCAAGCAGCAGTGCGAAAGAAGAGATAGGGAGTACAACGTGCCCCTTCGGGTTGGTCTGCTCTTTGTGATCCTCGCGACTGGCACCTTTGGTGTCTTCATGCCCATCCTCGCGTCGAAGTTCACCCGGATGTCGCAGAAGAGCATCTTCTTTGTCATCCTCAAGCAGTTCGGTACGGGAGTTGTCTTGTCGACTGCCTTCATTCACGTCAGTATCAGAGACCCTACTCCAGCTATACACTAACTCTCCCGTAGCTCTTCACGCATGCTGAGCTCACGTTTGCCAACGACTGTCTTGGCCCCCTCGCATATGAGTCAACCACCGCTGCTATCTTTTTGGCAGGATTCTTCCTCTCTTTCCTTGTTGATTACCTGGGCGCTCGTATCATCATGTGGCGCCAGAATAAGAAAGCGATCCATGATGCCGAAGGCCATACCACGCCCACTTCTGCTGATGCGAAAGGAGAGGCCACTCCCGATAGCGGTGTGGCACGGGCAGATGAGGACGATCGCAGCAGCCACGTCCATGTCCACGGCAACAATGAAGAGAAGGTCGGCGTGTGGGTCCTCGAGGCTGGCGTGATCTTCCACTCTCTGCGTAAGTTCTCATATCTCCCTGCATAGCCATCTAAGACTAACCAATATTAGTCATTGGCCTTACGCTTGTGGTGGCCGGAGACTCTTTCTTCTTGACTCTTTTCGCCGTCATCATCTTCCACCAGATGTTCGAAGGCATTGCCCTGGGGACATGCATTGCCGGTCTCCCCGCACAATCGGCCTCTTTCCTCCAAAAGTGCATGATGGCCGTTGCATTCGGTCTCATCACGCCTCTGGGGATGGCCATCGGCATCGGCGTTCTGGATCGCTTCAACGGGAACGACCCTTCGACGCTCGTCGCCATCGGCACGCTAGACGCCTTTTCTGCGGGCATCCTAGCGTGGGTCGGTATTGTGGAGATGCTTGCACGAGACTGGCTGCACGGCCCGCTGCATAGTAGCTCTCCCTTGCGGACCATTGTTGCTATGGTTTCGCTGATTGCAGGGCTGGCTTTGATGAGCCTCCTGGGTAAATGGACATGATGTGTTCCGTCTTGTTGTGCATCTTCGATTCGTGGTCATTTCTGGCGTTTTAGCTATAGGGATAGCGGCATTCTGGTTTAGGGCGCATATAGGGGGCCCTTTCGCTTAAGCTAACTTCCGAAAGGCAAGGAAAAGGTTATGGGCCACGTTTCTTCGCAATCAATACAAATCTGAGTTATATCTCGTTGCTCGTCTGTGTGGTGGCAGTCAAGAGATTGACTTCTCTTCATCCTCTTTGTCCGATTTTCCTTGGCATACTGGTGCGGGGCAGGTCATGCTTCCATGTCGCTGTATTACCCTAGGGCTATAGACAGTAACCTGCTACGCCACTGCGGGTGGGGAATTAGATTGTTCGTGCGTATCGAGCAGAACTTCGGCGAAGTATCAAATTTCAATGGCGCTTTATTTGGATATGTATTTTAGATTTGCGAAAAAGTTTCTCATCTTGTTCAACTGAGACAGCGTGCCAGAGTGGTTAATGGGTATGACTCGAATTCTCCTCAGATATCATATGGCTTCGGTCGCACAGGTTCGAATCCTGTCGCTGTCGTTTTGTTTTTTGCGTAGTCGTCCTTTTTGTCTCTTCGCTTTGGGATAAAATTATTTGTTCCGTTTCTGGACTACTATGGCGAACTCGTCATTATTGAACTACCTTTTTGCCACGACGCGCTCTAGAAACTAAGAATATCTCGCGAGTAAAAGGGAGTGTTAGCTAAACTTAGCTTGGCTGTGCCAACTGGAGGATATTCATATGGCCCCGAGTGCGAAAGTTGTAATCGCACCGTTAACGTTGAAATAAGCTCTCGCCGGAGGGCTGTGGTGTGATGGACGTGGAAGGTACGATCCACGGGGAAGGTGCGGCTGGTCGGAAAGCAACATTGAAATGACGAGTCGAGCATGCAGGCATGCCCATGGATCGTGCTGTGGTCTAATTCCGACAACTCGGAATGCCGTCGTCATACGTCTTATCGTACATCTCTTTGTACATGATGACACAGAACAGAAGAGAAGTTCGTTTCCCCAATTACCGCTCGTCTCTACCTCATGCGGCGCTGCCCGCGTCGCAAGCTCCTCAGCGGCTGCTTATTGAGGGGCTTCCTTTGTGTATAAGGACACCGTACGCCTTGTCGTCCTCCCATTCTGCGGCCCAGCGAGCTTGACCAGCACTTTGTTCATAACCAACGCTCAACTGTGGCCGTCACTATCTCTGCTCCCCATCTTCCTCCCCCTTACTCTCCTGCGGTTTATGCGGCCGTCCTGCATACAGCATATACCCCTTCTCTTCAATCGTTCCCACCTTGTCATCTTCCGCCCTTCCTTTCCCAAATGAACCCGTCTCAAGCTGGCCCGGCAAGGATATCGGCCGATTGCCACGGAATCGCTTGCGCATGTCGATTTGTCCCTTTTTGCACTCTGCGTAGCCCTTCTGGAGCTGTTGACATTGGGTCGGGAGCGTGTATTTGAGGGGAGGACGGAGGCAGTCGCCGGGCTTGTTGCGCTCGACCTAGGAGATGGGTGTGAGCGGTTCGTGTATGCTGGGGTCGCTGAGGGAGGAATTACCATTATGCAGTCCGAATTCTGGAGGCAGAAGGCTAACGCCGCGCCTGTGAATTCCGTTAGTACGATTATATCATACACAGTGCGTATGAAAACGACTCTATTGGATGTACCCACGGATATCTTTGCACGACTGAGGCATCTTGAAGAGGCTTTCAATCGAGAATAGGCCGTTGCTACCGATTCATTGACTTCCGTCCAACTTGGTAAACTGGAGCCCGTAGAATGCCAACACCTTCGACATGACGCCCATGCCGCGGGACCAATCGGCAAAATCTCGGCATTGACCGCCTTCACATGTCAATCCAGGGCCATTAACGTCACCGTTCTCCCCCTGTCAACATTCCCACAGCGCCATGCCTCCTCCTCTTCATCCGACTCCGCATTCCCCTGACGGTACAATACACTGCGGACTTTCCGCTGTGGAAGATATGTCCGCCTGGAGGATACCACCGTGAGCTTCATACCGCCCGGAATCCTCCTCGAAATCCCTAATCCCACCATGGCAGTCCATATCCCATTTATCTCGCGCCTTCATTTCTGCGAGTACTTCGCCCTTGTCCTCTCCTTTGCGTTGGTAGCGCTCGAGTCACTCATATCCGTCATAACGCTCGCGCTTCCTACACCGATCATCAGCTTTTGTTACCGCATCACCCGACGTCTGTTCAATCAACTTTCCTCGCCTACGGCGCGTCGCAATCGCGAGAGGAAAAAGGGAGTGTGGTCCGCCATTGCGAATGCTTCGGATTTCACTGAGCTATGCGAGCTATATGGATACTATGTCGAAGAGCATATTGTGCAGACAAAGGATGGATATTTGCTGGGACTACACAGGCTCGCGTGGCGAAGAGGCGAGGAGGGCGTGAAAGTAAACACCGCCAATGTGAAGACAGGCATCAGGAAAAAGGTGGTGTATCTCCATCATGGGCTCATGATGAATAGCGAAGTCTGGGTATGCCTTAGCGAAAGGGATAGGTGCTTACCTTTTGCCCTGGTGGAAAGGGGTTACGATGTCTGGGTGAGTACTTCGCCGGACCGCCTTGCTTGACAAGTGCTGACCACCGCCAGCTCGGGAATAACAGAGGGAACAAGTACTCCAAAAAGTGTGTTCATGCTGCGCCTACGTCGACCGCATTCTGGAACTTCAGCATGGATCAGTTCGCGTTCCACGACATTCCGGACTCCATCGAATACATTCTGAGCACCACGCATCAGCCTTCCCTGTCATACATCGGATTTTCTCAAGGAACAGCACAGGCATTCGCGACCCTATCGATCCATCCCAATCTCAATGACAAAATTGACGTCTTCATCGCCCTTGCTCCAGCCATGTCTCCGAAAGGCCTTACGTCGGCGGTTGTTGATGCTCTCGTAAAAGCTTCCCCCGATGTGCTCTTCCTTGCCTTTGGCCGCCGGGCAATTCTTGGATCCGCTACAATGTGGCAGTCGATATTGTATCCGCCAATCTTCGTCCGCTTGATCGATTCCTCACTCAGATTCCTCTTCGGATGGACTGGGAGGAATATAACCCCAGACCAGAAGCTTGCAGCCTATCCGCATCTGTACTCGTTCACGTCCACCAAGAGCGTTGTCCACTGGTTTCAGATCATTAGAAACGGGGTGTTTCAAATGTATGACGACGAGGCACCCAATCCAATCGTATCGAACAGGTCGAAGTACTACAAGGTCGCGAAGTTCCCTACAAAGAATATCAGGACCCCGATTGTCCTTGTCTACGGCGGTTCAGACAGCCTCGTCGATATCAAAGTCATGCTGGCAGAGCTGCCCAGGCATACAATTGCAAAAGAGATCGCACATTACGAGCATCTGGATTTCCTCTGGGCTTCATCGATTGATGAGCTTGTCTTCCCACATGTGTTTGATGCACTTGATGAATATGCTGATCCTGGGCGTGACCTCGAGTCACGGAAAGAAACGCATTTCAAAACGCCGGTTCGTCATCTCGCTCGTCTGCCAGACTCTGGCGCTCTTCCTGGCCCTAGGGACGGGGACGATGCCGGGGACGAAAGCTCGTCCGCTCCCACCTGTTTTTAGGCATCGGAGACTGAGCCCGACCAGTCACCGGCACGTTTCTCACGATCAGCACCATCTTGGTGTGCCGCACCCTCTCTCGAAGTCGGAACAGCGCTCAAGATTTCCTCATACAGCCACTTCGTATGCAGCTGCTGTAGCACAGGACGACCAAAGCGATGCACCTTCTCAAGGGTCCGCGAAGTTTCCACCAGCTGCAGCGAGAGTGCCAATATTTACCAAAGAGAGCTCGCCCCCAGCGTCCCAAATCACCGAGCCCTCACAGGCATCTACCTCCCGACCGGCGGCGTGGTGGAGCTCCGATGAAGTCACCGGGCAAGAGAATAGTGACCGCAACACCCAAGTCACACTCGAGCAAGCTACTACTGAAGCGACTGTGGAGAGCCACGAGAGCTTCGACAGTCAACCCAACGACGAGTCGCATATTCATCAGCAAGACAAAGTCAGCCTAGGCGACGGTAGGTCTACAAGTGGTGCTGCTGAACGCAGTGTCATGGCGGATGGTAGTAGCGCAAGTGGAATGGACGGAGAGATGGTAGTGGAGAAGGTCCGGGTAAAGGGCAGGCGCAAAGGATAGATAGTACTTAGAAGAATAAACACCTGATTCTAAAATAATGTTTCAAAGAGCTAGAGGAAATGTGTCTTCAATGGATCAACGTCTGAGTTGTTTCCCATCATCTAATCCCCCGAGTTTCTCGCGCAATAGTGGTTGGCCGGACCTCGGCCGGATCCGGCCTTACATAATACACTTAGGGTGAAGGGCTGCCACATTATTAATCCGGGGGATTTCTCGGAACCGCGTCGAGCCGGTTCCGACCTCCGGAATTCACAATCACTGTGCTTACAAGTTCGAGTTTGACAAAGCAGGCGCGTCCCAAAAAGGGGTTTGCGATGCTTTCCGCAGCGATGTTAGGGGATCATGGCTAGATCTTTGCTGATGATGGGGCTGCTTGTGGGCGTATTCCTTGCCCTTGGCATGCAATATTTGAAGCCTGTCCAATTGCCGATTCCATCAGCAGACGAAACAGGAAACGCATCATTCATTGGCAGTTTTCCGCGTAACGAATTCGCCGAGATGCTGAGAAATTGCTGGAAAGGTGCCAGGCAGGCTATCCGGGCAACTGGAGCATATAAAACTGGGCGGGTCGCTGCTGCTTCACATCAACAGACACCTGCTACAGCTTCCTCCGCACTTTTCTCCACGAAGAATCCCACAGCGACATCTACAGCCAAACCGTTCTCGACATCCTCATCCACAATGGCTTCCACGAAGACTTTCCTCGATGCCATCAAAGAGCGCCGCACCATCTATGCCCTTAACAAGGAGATCCCCATCTCCGAAGCCGAGATTCAGGACATCGTAAAGCAAGTCGTGCTGCACGTCCCGTCGTCCTTCAATTCCCAGTCTGCGCGCCTCGTTGTCCTGCTCAATGAGGAGCACGAGCGGTTTTGGGACTTCACCCTCGAGGTGCTGAAGACCATTGTACCTGAAGACCAACTCCCTAGCACGGAGGCGAGGATTAGTGGATTCAGGGGAGGATATGGCACTGTAAGTGTTTTCCTTCCATTTCTTTGGTTAGGGTTTTAGCACCGTTCGATGGCGTCAGCCCCCTCGTGGCGGGCGCCCCACCAGTTCTCCACCATCCCACGGGAATGTGCTGCTTCCTTGGGAAAACATGTGCCTTTCACCAATTCCGACTTATCTCCACCAAGTCAAACATTCCACTAACAAAAACCCCCTTAGGTCCTCTTCTTCGAAGACCCGGAGCCCGTCCAAGCCCTCGAAAAGGCCTTCCCCGTCTACGCCCACCATTTTCCCGTCTGGTCCGAGCACACGTCCGCCATGCACCAGTTCGCCCTGTGGACTGCACTGGAAGCCGCCGGCCTCGGCGCCAACCTCCAACACTACAACCCCATCATCGACCGCAAGGCGCAGGAGCACTGGAACGTGCCTTTGGAGTGGAAGTTGAGGGCGCAGTTGGTGTTTGGTGGCAAGGCGGGGGAGCCGGGACCCAAGGAGTTCAAGCCTATTGAGCAGAGGCTGTTTGTGCATGGTGCGAAGCAGTAGAGGAGGATGTTATTAATTTTTGGGATGGGAAAGTGTTGGAATGATGTTATGAGGTTTTGATATCCTAGGTCTGTAAGACCTGAGTAGCATGCATTAGACGAATACACAAGGGATTTACAGGGTTCACTACGGTGCGCATCGTTCAACGGTGTTTTTGTGTAGTGAGGACTCACAACTGCCCCACTGCAGCTCGCAGGGTGAATGTCCATGTGTACTAAAGAAAGTGGTAAGGGCGGGGATTATCTTACTGAGGTTGATGCCGGTATAGTCATCTGTGTTGTAAACATGGACGAATGTCATATTGCGTCGCAACGAATTCGAAGCCGATGCAATCTAAAGTAACCCTGAATGCTTCACTGGTTGATCTGTCCGGCCGCCTTATGGGAAAGCGCATTCGAATGAACATATGAATCACCCGCATTCGGGTCTGGTAGCACATGAGGAACCCTTAATTGAAATCGAGAAGACAAACGACCGGAAAGAGAAGAATTCCCCGTCCTGCAGCTGGTAATGCATATGGCAGTAAACAATTCTCCTCGGCTTTTCCCCGCGAAAGCTTGTCACATGCGCCCGACTCGGTTGCCCCTTGGCGACGTCATAAATAAATTGTGGAGGCGGCACGACATTAGGGGCATCCCCACAGAGAAATGGTCGCATGCAGGTACGGAGTCCCCTCTTGAGAGTGACGGCGCTTAGGAGAACTTTGATGTTTGTTGGTGTTTCGGTCAGCAGAATTGTGCTACTCCATCCAGCGTGTCTTTGAAGTCATAGCGTTGAAGGTGAGAAGGTGACTTCGGCGCGTACAGCGTGATACTGGTGGTAACTAATATATAAACACCTCGATGTATATACGTGACTGAGGGTTAGTGTGTGCTAGCAGTGACACTTCACTGTTAGTGTTACCCCGAATTTTCGGAAAATGCATCGCAATCTCCTGCCCCCGGCCAACGAAACAGCCGACTTCAACGTTGACAGGGGATATAGATTTACCTCCGGATGTAGGACCACACACGAGTAACCAGCAACGTCACACAACTCAACGTGGCGTAACTCAGTTACAGAACCGAACAGTATATCCTCCTGAGTGGCCGAAATGAAGGCTTTTGTGATACCCTGAGCCTGGTAAAGTTGCATGCTCGCCACAGATGCCATGCCCCATTGGGAATGCAATATCCGGATTGTCATGATTTCCAAAGGCTCTTTAAGGAATTGGCAGGAGGTTTATTATGCGGCACCGTTCTCTTGTGGTACACTGACCAAGGATCAGCACTGCAACTAAAATACGCCGTAGGGGTAATAAGCATGATATGGATGATCTTAGTGCAAGTCAGTTCATATAAGAACAGCCCCGCGACCCTCCAGTACCGCTTTCGTCCGCATTCGCCTCCAGTTTGAAATTCACACTCGTTTGATCCCCGTCCCGAACCCCAGACTCTCGTTCAAGATGAAGACCGCCGTCGCTTGCACCCTCCTGCTCCTCGGATCCCTTGGGGCCACCCAATCGATTACAGACCTCCCACTCTGCTCGATTCAGTGCGTTGCCAGCGCCGTGACGGGCGTCGGTTGCGGTCTCACCGACTATGCCTGCTCTTGCCAGAAGTCTGATCAACTGACACCCACCGTCACCGCCTGCGTCAAGAAGGCCTGTCCGTCCCCCGCCGACCAGGCGAAGGTCATTACTGTCCTGGAAGGCATCTGCGCTGCTGCCGGCTTCCCTATCAAAGTTCCTCCGCCCCAGCCGGAGACATCTCAGCAACCCCAGCAGCCCCAGCCATCCGAGACTCCTAAGAAGGGTGAAACGCCCGCGAGCTCCCACGCCCCTACGATCCAGACGTCTGGTAAGTCCCTGCGGTGCATGATCGGTATGAAGATCCACTGAACGTCAACAAGTCCCGGCTGAGACTCCCCTCCCCACTGGATCTTGCGTCGTAAAGACCATCACCAAGACGGTCACCAAGGGCAAGCCTGAGCCTACTCCCTCTGCTCCCTACCCCACTGGCCCCGTTGGCACTGGTACCCCTATCGTTCCCTCCAGCCCTGCCGTCAACCTCCCGCCTGAATTCACCGGTGCTGCGTCTGCAGTGAAGGTGCCTGCTGGTGTTGCTGGCTTCGTGGGCCTGGTTGCTTACTTCTTGTAAGCGGTTATTTGATACCCTGTGTATATTGGGCGATGGTGTATTTGGAAATCTGGTTTGAACGTGTAATGTCTGTTTTATAATGTGTGTGGACTGGTGTGGCATAACCACACCTGGGAATGCATATTCACTTGTTGTATATTTGACGGGTCGTTCGGATCATGGATAATGCCCGCTTCTTTTGTTCCGTGTCTTTGCCATCTGCCTGCGCAATTTTTCCTAGCGTACTTTGTCTTCTAGGTGGTCGATGTTGCTGTCATACGTATCGATCAAAGCTTGTTTGACGATGTCAGGCCCAAAGGGAAGAAAACCCCTGAAGTGTCTAGTAGAGCGTACCTATAGCTAGCATAGTAGCCGCGTAGGTCAGCATATCACTGCGAGTCGTAAAGTCGTTTCTTCAAGGAAGCAAGACATTCCTTTATAATGTAAGTGGTTGTACTAAGAAGTCGGAAACAGAGATCCCCTGGTCCCTAATCAAAAGACCATATGGTGGTTTAGATGGATTTACGGAGGTGAAGTCGAAACCACTGAGGAAGAAGGTGCATGCTAAGATTGTAGATACTGTAAGCTTGGCTAGACCGCGTTAAGGTAATAGTGACTAGGGTAACGAGGATCGCCTTTGGGCTGGTGGAGCGAGACTAGGATCCTTCCGACGTGAGATTAGGGGGAGACCCACTTTGTTCTCAGTCCGCCTTAAGAACACACTCGGGCCTTCGTCCTTGAGATCCCCTCCAAACAGTACTCCCTCCCTTCTCTCCGTTTTTGCAATCACGGTCGCTACAGCATCATTCAGAGCTCTTTCCGCTCCAGTCATTCGTTATCACGCAAGAAACACGGCCTAACCGACTATTCATCTTTTGTGAAACCCGAAAATGCGTCAATCAATCGCACTTCTTTCAGTCTGCGCTTCAGCAGTCCTCGCACAGGCTGCCGACCAAAATCAATTCAAATTCTTCTTCCCCAGCGGCAGTGACGGCGTGCAGCCAGTCGCCAATGTCGAAATAGTTGATCCCGCAACCACTGTTGCCCAAATCGCCTGCCCAACCGGCGTTGATTCCACCGAATGCGGATGGGGCATGGGGCTGGAATACACCGTCATCTCAACCACGATCTACAAGGCGACTATGAAGGAAGAAGGCCGGTTTACCATGAGCTTCAGCTGCAATCATGACACTGCGAAATCCGAGGTTTCATGCGGAGTCACTCAAACCGGCGAGCAGTACACAGGGGCCACGGAGCTCGTGCTTGCTGGGTCCGACATCGCGTTTGCCACTGCTTCGATTACTGGCACCACCACCACCAAGAATGGGCAAGAAAATATGCCCACGGGAACGGCTTCTACGGGTGCCGGGGCTTCTACTTCGGGTGCTGGGACTTCTGCTTCGGGTGCTCAGGCTTCTGGCTCGAAAACGACTGGGCCAGCAGCGCCTGGGAACACTGGAGCTGCGTACAAGCCAGGCTTTGAGCGCTTAGCTTTGGTGACGCTGGCTGGTGCTGCTGTTTTGAATGTTTTGTGAAGTGGGATGCATTTGAAATGCGAGAGCTCGAGGTCCATATGTACTGCAAAGCAGTGTAGGCGAGAAGCCGTATTGGTAATGGATAATCTGGACTCTGAAGAGTCTCTATGCCCCGAATGCGATCCATCGGCTTAATCCTTAATTATCTAATATTCTCTCGAATTGATGTGGTGAAAAGAACGGTCTTCGAGAGAAACCTGCATCTATGATTTCGGTTTCGGCTCCGCCTCGCCGCGACCTCGTTTCGTGCTTGTTCCCAGAGCACTCGCTTGGAGATGTTCCCACTACATCCGTCTTCTTGACCTCCTCCAGTGCGTTGTGTCTCACGCAGTCTTTCTCGCGGAGCTGTAGCAGCCACTCCCATGATCTGAATTCAGCAGCAACCGCTTGACCGCGGACGATGAAAATGAATATCCGCTCTCTGGGGATCCCTTCCGCATCCGCCCCTTCGACAACGACGTCTAAGAGCTCGGGTTCCACGATGAAGAACTTGACTTGCGCGGTTGGGATATGAGGCCTGATTTCATGAACGCGAAACGCACAGGGTTAGACCCGCTAAAAATATCTCCAGCATTGACGACCCAGAAGACCATTGGGCACATAAGGATGCCGTATCTCCCCGTTTGATGAAGGGGTGAGACGGAAGAATGAAAGCAGCCTTCTTGAGTTCTTCCTACTCAGAGCGCTCAGTGAAGTGACGTTTTAAAATGAGCCCCATTTTAGCTTGAGGGGCATCTGGGTTTATTCTACGACATGGGAAAGGGGACGGTGACGGACGTATATATGCGTTGCCAGTCCGTATTAGATATTCATAGGGCGACTCCCACAACCTGACTGACCCCCCGAAGCTTCAGTGCACGATCTCTGTCCCACAAGGTTAGCGGGCCTGAAAACACAGGGATACATGGTAATTTCAACTATCATCTATTCCAGTGACCTGATAATTACACGCTTACTTCGAACGGAAAACTAGCATACGACTGGAACCCGTTGCATATTGGTCCGGACACCGTGAGAACTGCAGTATTTCCGGACCTAATCTTAACGGGCAGATGCACCTTGGGTATTGGCGTCAGACATGTTATTGACGGGGAAGCATGGGGACGTGAGCAAATTTGGAAGTGCGACATGTAGGCTGAGCAAGCCGGTATCTTCAGCATTGAGCGAGAAAATTGGAACCGATATGTGGCGTCGGAAGAACAAGGTTCGCTTCAAGGTGATGTCAAGTGGGGATGTAGATGGCAAAGAGAATGTTGCGGTCACCGGCGTGTTGTCCTAAAACATGACGAAGTCAGATTATGAGGGATTTCGCCAGATGTCACTATATAGTAAAGCGGTGTAGCAGTGAATCTGGCGGTGTAGATACTCCCACGAGTACTGAACTATACATTCTGCTCGATCTGATATTAAAAAGGAAGTTGCACCTACTTTGAACGTTCTCCATCATTCTCTTCTAAGATTGTTATTCTAAATTCTCCATTTGGCAAGTTGAACTAATATACATAGGGGCAAATCGGGTATTATTGCGGTCTTTCAATAACTCCCGAGTCCTCGCTTTTCTTGTTTCCGTCCGTGCAGGGTCTGAGGATATTTCTTCCCTCGGCAGATCGCATCGTTCATCTGGTACAGTGAACTACTCTTGCTCTTCTCAATTGACCAGTTCACTTATTCCCGATCTTGGATGATGTGGTTCCTCGCTTGCTTCTGTTGACCGACTGTAACTCACTCTGGCGTCCATTGCAGACCCGAAGGCAACCACCATATAACATCGAGCACAGCGTCGTGCATTTTGGATCCATTTTCAATCCTCGGCTCCAATGGCTGCTCTCCAAACTCCAAGATCCACAATCCCCATTCGCAGGCCTGGAGTATGACTTCCCGTGTATCGCGAGGAATGCTTTTTTCCCGGGGTCCAGCTGGGTCTTCTAAGACTGAATGTAGATAATGCAAAAAGAGCAGTTTTTCCTGGCAGGTTACCAAACTCTCGGTATCATTTTCGAAATCCTGCGGGTCCTCGAGGTCTTCGATGAACTGGTCTTGCGCTGCGTTAGGGTTGACGCGTTTACGGATTATGGAACATCCGCGGAGTAGTCGGTTGCGATCGGATCCACTTCCGGGCCGTGGGAGTTCGTCCTTTATTACAGCCTCTATAAGAACCCATGCTGCTGTAAGTGCTGCAGCATTACTGCGGCGGTCGGCCGCGCGGTTGTTCCACTTGTTCACGACCATCTCATACTGCGAGAGAGCCCGTCGTCGTTGGGCCGGAGTGCGATTATTCTGGAAATCATTCGCGTATCCTTCAAACTTGCGCTTCTTCGCAGGCGAGAACAGTTTGCCCCTGGTGAATGGCTCGTCCAAGGCCTCATAGCGCGACTTGTAATGGACCCTCAATCCTTCAACAGCGGCATTCTCCGGCTCTTTGATGCGGTCGCCCAATAGCCTCTCTTGCCGTGCAAGATTTTGTAATATCTCTGTTTCTAATTCGTCCAGTTTTGGTCTTGAATTGTGGGAGATATAAAGCATCCGTTGAACGAGACGGACGAGACCAAGGCTATATATCTCCGGTATCCGGGTCCATGGGTTCTTAAGGGGCATACCGGTGGCTCGCTGATGGAAATTGATTTCTTCCTCACTGTTCAGTCCATTACGCTCCCACCTGTCATTTGCTTTCTGGAACCCCCGCACCACCTCCTTGTGCAATTTAGTTTCGCATGAAACCATCAGCTCGAGAGCGATTACTCCAAGCGAGAAAACATCGGATCTGACGTCTGCACGCTTCGTAATAAGAGAGTATCCAGGCACATCGGTGCGCATAGCCTTTTCCTGATAGCAAGTCAGCACGGCGAAGAAGAATACAGGGAAATCCCTACAGGCCCATTGTATCCTGATGTTCCACCTATGAAACTTTCTCCCTCAACCCAAGTGAAATCGAAATCTGCCAGGAGAGGTTTCCGATAGAACGGGTATTCAGGGTCGTTGTCGCCCACAAAGACATTAGCTGGATTGAGATCGCCATGCACAAGTGGTCTCCACTCGGCTCTCCTTGCCAAACTTGGATGGGGTTCATCGGCTGTGTGTGCCGCTTCGGCAACTTCATCTCCTGCTCCCTCCCCTGGTTCGTTCCCCTCTCCATCATTCGTACCGGTCTTTGCGACTGACTTGTTACAGACGCCTTTATGCAATGCCTGCATGCCCGCAATTAGCTCCTTCAGAATATACCAGATGTGATGCTCCGGAATAGGCTCTTCATTGGATCCTTGCGCCTCTATAAAGCCCCTCAAGTCACCAGAGGTGCAATAAGCGGTATAAAGATAGTGGCTTCTATATCCCTCATCTCGTGGATCCTTGTCTTGATTGATTTTATAATCGCGTATGCGGCGACTGTGGCCAGAATAGGGCAGTAAATGCGTGCAGTTCGTCTTCGAGATAAGTTCGTATGTCGCTATTTCATTCTCAAATTTCGCTCTCCATTCATCTTCGGTAGTGTTCCAGGATTTGACGGCAATATGGTCCTTTATATATCCACCTCGATCGATCTGGACGAACAACCAGACGCTCCGACATGGAGTTCCATATGGAGTCTTCGTCGCCTTGAGATCCGAAGACTGATAAATGGTGCGAGCAAAGCGCCACTTGCCGCGATTCCGCTTTACAGCCACTTGTTTCGCGATATGTCTTCGTTGGCCTCTGGTGGGGGAGATAAAAGCACCGTCCGGATTATAACGAGCAAGAGTGTGTGACAGCTCGCCCCCAAGGCTCGAGCTACGAGGCCACGCGTCACTTTGTCGCTGCTCTGATGGCGGTTCTCGTGGTTGCACTTGTGTCTGCGCATCGAGCTGTACTGCGGACTGTAGTGTTGGCTGTATCGATGGCTGCTCTACGCGCTGCGGAAGTTGCGGAGCCACATGCTGCATTATTTGCTCTATTGCTAGCGGCACTATTTGCTGTACCGCCGGCCCCACAATCCGCTGTACTATATCCGGTCCTAACTGCGGCAAGATTTCTTCTCTGAAGACCCGTACTAGCTCTATCATTGGGATTTGAGTTTCCGGTGATTCCCCTTGGGCTTCAGCTGCTTCCGGCGCTCGAGCGGGAGCCTGAACCGGTACTTGAGCTGGTGGTTGGGCTGCTCCTTGCGTGGGAGCTTGAGCTGGAGGCTGGGCTGCTCCTTGCGTGGGATCTGGAGCTGGTGGCGGTGCAGCGGACACCGTACTCGCCGGCCGGGACGGAGGACCTTGGTTCTGAGTTACTTGCACAGATGGTGAAGGTCTTGCTACAGGGTCAATTGGAGGACGACGATGGCGATCTGCTTTCGCTTTTCGAAGCCAATACCCGGATCGACCGCTCCATAATTCTGGAACATTGGCCCCGGTAGGACGATCCCCGACCAAAGCTAGATACAGCAGCATTAGTTTAGGGCTTCTTCGCTAGCGGTTCAATGATACTCACTTCCCGAAAGACCTCTCCCTCGGCGAGTAACACGCCGGTCGGGATTTCGTAGATGTTGCATGAAATTGATGAAGGCATAACGATCTACGTCGTTTCGGGGGTTGTCATATAAGTTCTGGTCAGTAGCATCGATGTAAAAGTACTGCAGTGGGGCAGTATTCGTGGCCGCCATAATGGCAGAATGCGCACTATTGCGGGATTGGAGACGGCACTGACGTGGGACACAGTAGAGAATTCCGGGCGGGCAGCTTATCTGCTCTTACAACCGGCGTTCAATTTACACAGGGGAGTGAAGTTGTTACCAAGGCCTTTGTCGTGTATTCCCTTTGTTTGGCGTTTGTACCGCGCTGAAGGAAAGGTCTTCTTTGTCCACGCCGGAAATGGACGGTGATGTACCCCAAGCCAGTTAGTCCGCATAGGAAACCGGTTGTTCTCCACCGTCGAGAGATACAAACTGTGCAATCGTGCCATTCAACTCTGTTTAGTTGGGTGATATTTCCGACAAATGAGAGTTCCTTTGTCAGTTATGAATGGCTGAGCTTTGGCGCCTTTGCAGGTAAACCGTCCGAGAGACTAGCATCGTTCCCGTTTGTTAAACTTAGAAAGCAGTAGAACAGTTCAAGACGTCTCGTGGTGTAAGAATATCTTTCTTCGTGTGTGTGTTTGTGGCTCGGTCTCACGGCGTGGTCCCGTGGATTTTTCGCAAACCGCGACTCTCTACCACACTAGACGCGGCAAATGTGTCACCCAACAACGGGCACTGCACGAATCACCGAATGTGAGGCACTTCGTCGAACCATTTGTCCTGGATGTAGTAGAGGAGACAGGGTGCTTTGTGCCTCGAATCGCAATAGAACGCCCTAGCCGCATATATCTGACTGCTGGCAGTTAGCGAGGCTAGAGAGATTTGAAGCTTGTAGTCTCACCAATGGTCATGTTCCATCTTAGGCTGCATGAGAAAGTAGCCTATACCAACGCTATTTGGAGTCCCTTCCTTCGCGTCAGACATTGCCGGCCAGTATTCTTGAGGTGCAACACTAACCTAGGAGTGCTTGCGCTTTTTCCTTATCAACTGTACAGGTCATTCCAGGCCACGGTTTCGGCCTGCCACTCGTAGCTCTGGTGAAAATCCTGTCTGAGACGTCGTTAATGCAAGGGAGAAAAAGTAGCCCCCGTTCGGTTTATGAGCATGAGCATTCATTTTGCAGTAGCCCCAAGCTATGCCAGATGACCTTGAGAGCTTCGGAAGTCCCTTCACTGGCATCGGAGGTTGCCAATCCTTTACCCTACATTTGCGACCCTCGCTGCATGCCCATAAGCAGTGAGGAGAGTAAGAAGCTGTGCCTCTTGAAATTGACAACTACGGCATATCCATGGATATGTGGTTACTAACTGAGCGGACAGGGTCGCCAATAAGTCAAGCGCCCATCATCCATGCAACACCGCGAGTCGTATAGCACGGGATGCTTGAGGATGCGTTCGTATTTCTGATATGGAGGCGGGACAGGTTCGGGAAGGCTAGAAGGGTTAGAACGTAGTTACCTCCCTTCTTAAAGCTCAATCGGAACCTTGGAACTTGGTCTTCGGCTGGGCGGCGCTATGGAATGCTTCTCCGAGCCCGTAACATAGTCCACCAAAAAAGGAAGAGGACAAAAAAACATCGAAAGAACTCCCGACTATCCATATGTACATATGCACAAAGGTGTGGTGGAAAAGGAAACAGGGCCGGGGGTGAGTTCCCGTCGATCTCGCTTATTTCAGCCCTATGAATTTATCGATAAAGGCGTTCTCGGCAAGTGGTCCGTGCCCGAATTTTCCGTAACTCAACTTCGCGCAACAGGCTCGAAGTACCTACGCTTTGCCCTGTAATCCGGCCGCATTACCGCACAAAGCCCGTCGCGTCCTCTAAACGGTTACCCAGATATCTCAAGATGATACGCAAACAAGCCCGCGAGCGCCGCGACTACCTCTACGTATGTCATCCTCCGTTCTCCGCCGTATCCGCACATCGCCGCTGTGAAACAAGTCGCCTTCAGCGCTGTTCAATTGCTTACACATAAACAGAGAAGAGCCCTCACCCTCCGCGATGCCGAACTCGCCGCCAAACGCGCCGCTCTCAAAGCCAGTCTCGCCTCCGGGAAACCTCTAGATCCGCACATCGCCAACGACGAGCATCTGAAGAAGGATTTCAAGTACGACGAGACACGGGCGGACAGAACGGTGGAGGAAGAGCTGGGCTTGGATGACGAGTATGCGCAGTTGAGCGGCGTAGTGGATCCGAGGATCCTGGTGACGACCAGTCGCGACCCGAGCAGCAGGCTTGGAACCTTTGCGAAGGAGATCAGGTTGCTTCTACCCACCAGTATCAGGTTGAACAGAGGAAATTTGGTGCTGCAGAATCTGGTGTCGAGTGCTTTGGCTTCGGGTCTGTCAGATATTGTTCTTCTACACGAACACAGAGGGTAAGATAGCGACATCTCAGAGGGTCTTTGCTTTAACAGGCTGACTATTTTCTAGTACACCAACCGCAATGACGATCTCGCATTTTCCCCACGGACCGACCGCCTCCTTTTCCCTCCACAATGTTGTACTGCGAGCAGATATCCGTAAGTACTCGTCAAGATGTCGTGAAACTTTCCGCTGAAGCTGACACGCCCTTATAGCCAACAGTGCTCGTGGCACAGTCTCCGAATCCTACCCCCATCTAATCTTCGAAGGGTTTACCACAAAGCTAGGCAAGCGCGTCGTCCAGATTCTAAAGCACCTATTCCCGCCTCGGGAACCCACCGCGAAGTTGGGCAACAGGGTTGTCACCTTCAAGAATATCGAAGACTCGATTGAAGTCCGGCACCATGTGTTCGTCAAGACGGGTTACCAAAGCGTGGAACTTGCGGAGGTAGGCCCTAGGCTGACGATGCGGTTGTTCGAGATTAGGTCGGGTACGCTGGATAATAAGGACGGCGACATAGAATGGCATTTGAACCAGTTTACCCGCACGAGCAAAAAGAAGGATTATCTTTGAGAGACAAGAGGCATGGGTTAGGTCGCTGGGAAGGATCAAGCATGGTGTCAAGGCGTTGGAATTTGCATGGATCATTACATTTTGCCTGGAACCCGGGGGGTATCAAGTTTACACTGGTCGCTAGCTGCATTTGGTTGAGCGCACAACACAGGCGCAAAGCCTTCGAAGACCTCAACAGAATCGACCTGCGTTTGCGCTATAGCGAGTGATGACTGCGTCCTCTTCTTCTCTTCTGGCCTGCCGCGTCCCCAGGTTCGGTGACCTAGCGGTGATTTTCTCCGGGTGTTGAGTGCGCTTGATGGGAGGCGGCTTCCTCGCTGTACGAACTCGGCTTCGGTGATGAATAACGGCGTCCTTCAGTCCGCCTCCATAGCCTCCGCATTTGCACGTCCACCTTCCTGTGCACCCGCCCTGCTTGTCGATGCTTTCAGAGCGCTCTTCGCTTTGGCCGTCCTCCTCTCGCCCTCCCACCGCTCACCTGCATCCCTCTCTTCAGCCTCCTCCAACAAGCTCCCTTCAATCCTCAGAAAACCTCTACCCCCCTTCGCCTCGAACCGCGCATCCCAATCTCTTATCCGTAACCTGATCGCCCTCTCCACCGGCCTCCCTTCCTTATCCATCCAGTACCCCTCGCCCCCAACGCCCGAACCCTGCCCACCCGTCATCGAAAACGCACCGCCCGCAGACGAATCGCACCACGACCAATCCCTCGGCATGTGGTTCCGCAGCACAGAAATCGAAAACGCATTCAGATACGACAGCGTAATATGCGTAGCCGTCTGCGTCGTGAGGTGCGCCTCGACCCAGGCGTTTTTGCGCGGCCGGAACACGAGCAAGGTAGCCGTCGCCCAGACGAAGGGGGCCGAGTATTCGTCCACGACTTTGAGCAGGAGAGGCTTCTCTTGCTCTTCTTCTCCATCTTCTCCCTCGGACTCAGAGATGCCGCTTTCCGCGTCCGCCGCCGCGCGTTTTGAAGCTCGCTGTGATGTTTTGCGTGATGCGGAGGGTTTGGGATGCTGAGGCTGTGGAGTGGGAGGCTCGTCGCTCAGTTCGATGTCTTGCCATGCGAGCACGATTCCGCCGGCGGGAGGGTAGTATGTGAGGAGGAGGGGCGAGAAGAAGGATGCGCAGAGGGCTGGGAGCGGGTTCGAGAGGCTTGCTGGCGGCAGCGAGATCCATTGGGAGATGCGCTCGAGGCGGAAGAGCGAGTCCGCGTCGCTGTCTGATATTGGTGCCATTTCTGGGCTATTTCCTTGTAATAGCTGTGTGCTCTTGTGGATTGCGGAGGTGAATCTTAAGAAGCGCTCCGAAAATATTGTCGGTCTTAGATCTTCCGGCGCCGAAGTCACGTGGCAGATACTCTCAGCATCCCATCGCGGGGGGGAACTCAAAACCTCATTGTTCCTGCTCACAGAGACAAGGATGATAAATAAAATATAGCTCTATCATGAAGTGCCTCCCGAAACAAGGGGGGCATAGCCACTCGTGCCTCCAATTGGTGTCCATCAAAAAGTTCACAAAACCTTCCATCTCATCCTCAATATATCCCAGTAATTGGCCTCAATTTCCAAAAGCTCGTGCCACATACATGATTCTGGGTCAACAGCTCATCCATGGGTTGATCGACTTAGGTCAGACCGAAGCCAGTATTGGTATGCTCCTTGACTTTGCAGGAATACCTAAGTAGCCGCTCCAGAAATGCCTTGAATAACTCATCTCGACGGTTATGAGGCCCGACCAGCGAGAGCTTGGAGGATCGGCTAATATCGTGGCCGGGATTTATTCGCAGCCTTCTCACGCTCCATCTTCGTCAATGTCCGTTGCAACGATTTTCTGACGTCTGTGTTCTTGAATGTGTCAAGATCGTAGTAGTTCGGCGCAATGTCCTGATCCAAGTCAGTGAATGAGAGAAAGTGAGCTAAGGAGGGCACTTACCAGAAGCCACTCTGGCTTGACACTAGTCACCGTCCGGATGTAGTTCTTCGTAGTGAGCACAAACTCATTGTACACAACCCACTCGCTGTCTTCAGCAAGCACTGTGCTGGGATGAAGCAATACATTCTGGTCGTCCTTCACGGTAACATAGGACTTGCCGCTGCCGTCGCGCTTCGCAACTTGCATGAAGAAGCCGGCGACTAGGGCCCTCCGAATGTTTTCATAGTACTTCTTGTTTTCGAAAGGAGTGGACATCAGCTCAATCTCATTCCGTTCCATGATGCGTTTGAGCTGCAGACGAACATTGTCCGCTTGCTGTAAAGCCCGGTACGAGACAAAGTGGTCGTGGCACCACTGCTTGGGGTTCTCTTGTGCAGCGTCCGATTTGAAGGCATGATAGACATTCAGCATTGTAAGGTGGTCGCCTTGAGGGTGCGCAAATAGATCCTTCATCTCGTCTGCCCGCTTCCTGTTGTTTGCAGGGCGAACAAAGATCTGGGGGACGGAAAGCAAGGCGGTAAGGGACAGAATCTCGTTGGAACAGTAGAACTCGGGCGATGTAATGAGCATGACAGCTAGAGCCGGATCCAACGGGAACTCGGATGCCAGTTTTCCTAGAGGAGTCAGATCGCCCTCATCGTCCAAACAAGCAAGGTAGTTGAGCTCTTCCAAAGCACGCATCAAGGTTTCCGGGGCCGGTGGATCCATCAAGTCGAAGTGCACCAAGTCATCAATCCCCAGCTTCTTTAGCTCCAGAACAGTGCTTGCTAGGTTCGATCGTAACACCTCAGGGTATGTTTGCTCAATGAGCTCTTTCTTGAAGGCGGCCTCGGTGTACAGGCGGAAACACTTTCCAGGACGTGTACGACCAGCACGACCAGCTCTCTGCTGAGCAGACGCCTTCGATATGGGAGAGACCAGGAGCGACTCTACTCTTATTCGGGGATTATAAACCTTCTGCTTGCTGAATCCCGGATCAACTACATATACGATTCCGTCGATGGTAAGCGAAGTCTCGGCGATATTGGTGGAAACAATGCATTTGCGACCAGGGCGACCACCCGGTGTGGCAGGTGGTGGGGCCGGAGTGAAAATCTTCTGCTGCTGTGCTGGAGGAAGTGTGCCATACAGCGGGTAGACGACCATAGGGCCGGCACCTCCTTCTCGTTGCAGCTCTTGTGCCTCCAAATTGATTTTCCGGCATGCATCTTCAATTTCTTCTTCGCCAGTCAAGAAAAGCAGGATATCACCCTCGGGCTCGGTCGCATGAATTTGCAGCACCGTCCTGAGAGCTGCCTCGACGTAGTCCCGTTCGGGAGCTGGGGTATAAAATATCTCTACCGGGTGAGTACGCCCGGGGACGGCGAGGAGGGGCGCATCGTGGAAGTATTTCTGGAACTTGGTGGCATCGAGGGTAGCAGACATGATGATGAGCTTCAGGTCCTTCCTCCGCAGCACGACCTCTTTCAGCAAGCCCATCAAAATGTCCGTTGCAAGGGTGCGCTCGTGAGCTTCGTCGAGTATAATGGTGCTGTATCGGGTCAAGTCATGGTCGTTCATGGCCTCGCGCAGCAACATTCCGTCCGTCATGTACTTCAGGATGGTATTCGGACTAGTCTTGTCCTCGAAACGGATGCTGTAACCCACTTCCTCTCCCAGGTTCACGTCCATCTCCTCGGCGACACGCTGCGCAACGGACATGGCTGCGACTCGACGGGGCTGTGTACAAGCCACCATCTTGCCGTTTAGGTGTGGAAGATCATCGAACAGAACGAATTGCGGGATCTGAGTGGTCTTTCCGGAACCAGTCTCACCGACGAAGACGAGGATCTGCGACTGCTGATAGAGGCTTAAGAACTCGTCTCTTGACACGGATTAGCATTGATACTGGGTGAGGCTATAGGATTAGCTTACCTTTGTTGGTGCACGGGCAGGTCTCTCCGCTGCTTCAAGATGCTCATATACCTACTCGAGAGCGGCCTGCCAGTGAAAGGGTTGAGAGGACCATCCTCGGCCTCTCGCGCCTGTTTTGAGGTGGTTGCATGGCGCTTGAAGGAAGCCAGGCGATCTGTATGCCTAGGTTCTTCGTTCCAATGTGCGAGATATGGATTGGACTCCATGGGTGTGCCGCCGTTGCTGTTATTGTTGTTGTCGCTCCCGTTGAGCTCCGTCTTAACGCGTTTGGATCGGGGGCCACTGCCGTCAGACTCGTCGTAGTCAGCTCGTTTGGCCATCATATTTCCAAAGTAAATATGTATCAGTCACTGTAGCCTTCCCGCTGCAAACGCTCTTCGGAAGTCCGCCAGAAAAAGTTGGGAGCGCCGGCGGCGGCGAAACATTTCAACGTTGATCCTGGTCCAAGCTTTTGGGGCCAGGAGCACCGCCGCCGCAAGGGCACGTTGGACACGACAAATTGAGACCACCCTGTGGTCGGTTCCACCCACCAGCAAGCATCTCAATGGACTCGACACCTTTTTTCCTCCACCAGCTGCTTCTTGCGGTTGCTTGTGCCAACCGCCGCTTACACACAGATACCTTACCGTACCTGACGAGCTGACGCTGAAACGCAGCGTGGACTGGCCAACACTACTGTACCACCCACTACCCCCATGGACGATACACATAGCAACATGGAGGACAATATGCCCATACTTTACATTGGCCACCACGAGACCAAGCGGGCCATGCCTGTATCTGAGGAGCTGGTTCAGCATGCACAGGATTTGGGCGTATGCACATGAATACGTCCGGCGTTGCAAGTCACTGCTGACTCCAGTCTAGTACGACATGCTCACTTCTCCCATCACGAACGCCCACTTTCACTCTCGCGTCCTCAGTCTTCTCAACTCGTATAATCAGGCCATAACTGAAGCTGCCCTCCCGTCGGATGCCCAACCGTTACCCCTCATACCCGCGCTGCAAAGCGCAGATACTGACCTTGGGCCCAGTGACAGCATTTCTCAGCTCATTACATTCACGAGTTCCTGGATAGATTTGTCTTCGCCTGATCCCGTGATTGCCTATCTTTCCCGCCAGGTCTTGAATCTGGAGATTGCCTATGCTGCGTTCTGTGGAGCCATCACCGTCGTCGTGCCAGGACCTCGCCTTTCTCATGGCGCAAACGGTCTCGCGCAGTATGCACGCGCAATAAAGGAAGCCCTTGCAACTGGGTCATACATACAGTTGCATATCTTGATGCCGATGGATGGGTCCGATTTGGAGGAAGCGCTAGATGACCTTGGTGACTTAGCGAGCTTTACGCGTGCGGAGTACCAAAATCAAAGAAATGTTGGAAAGGGGCGAGCTGGCCTATTCAGCTCCTGGGACGCTTGGAATACGATCCGTTCCATTTGCAAATATCATGCCAGGCTCTCAATCGGTAAGTATAAGGCGTAGAAAATTCATTTTTGTCGGCGCCCAGGGCAAGTCCCTGCACCACCACTGCTATGGTACTGACCTTGTCCAGCCCTCGAACTTCCTCGCCGTCTTCCTTCGTTGGCTCTCCAATCCCGCTGGTACTCCGAGCCAATTCGGCTGCTGATTCTACCCGCATCGTCATTTCTTATCAATGCTCGTGGCTCCTCCGTGCTGTCCAAGGCTCACCAGGCCTTCATATTCCGGGCGATGCGTTTGCAAAAGGCGCCCTGGCTTCTTCTTGCAGATATTGGACCGCTACCAGGAGTCGATGATCCGGACTTGATCATGTCTTACGCGACTGGACACCTTTCCCCAGAAGCTGCCGCTGATGCTCCCACACCCCGCTCATCCATGTCACCATCCCCTACACCGGCAGAGGCCGCGCTGATGGGAAAGAACGCCAGGAAGAAGAGTAACAACAATGACCCTACTCCTCATCTCAGCTATCTCCGTTACTTACAGCGTAACCAGCCACCAAAGACTGTTATTGAGAGATTCGGTGGTGGCTTTCAGGACTACCTACAGAGCCCTCTACAACCACTCTCTGACAACCTCGAGTCGATTACTTATGAAGTATTTGAAAAGGATCCCATCAAATATGAATGGTATGAGCGCGCCATTGCTCAGGCGCTGCGAGATTGGCAGGCACAAGGGAAACCGACAAGCTCAGACGACGGCGCGGTAGTAGTAGCTGTAGTGGGCGCCGGCCGCGGCCCACTCGTTACTCGTGCACTGAATGCAAGCAAAAGCTCGGGGGTCCCCGTTCGCGCCTATGCAGTTGAGAAGAACCCAAATGCGTATGTCCTTCTGCAGCGTCACAATGAGCAGGACTGGCAGCGCAAGGTTACAGTAGTCAAGACTGACATGCGTGCCTGGAAGGGACCTTCCCTGGCCGATGGGAGCTTTGGCAAGGTGGACATATTGGTTAGCGAACTGCTGGGCAGCTTCGCTGATAATGAGCTTTCGCCTGAATGTCTGGATGGTGTCCAACACGTGTTGAACCCAGACTGCGGGATATCGATACCGGCCAGCTATACGGCGCATTTCACGCCAATTGCAACGCCTCGGCTCTGGGCAGATATCTCTCATCGGAGCACAACGGTCGATGCAGGTGCTTTCGAGATACCCTGGGTGGTTATGCTACAGCAGATGGATTTCCTCTCCATCGATTCGCATCAACCGGCGCTGTATCAATCCCAGCTGTCAAGCGGGGGAAAACCCAACCAGCTCAATCTGGATCCTCCGCTCAGGCCATACATACAGACTGCTTGGAAGTTTACCCACCCGAGTCCACCAACGATTCTCGCTCAGTCGTCCTTGAGACGAGGGGGATCTGCGATCGGCGGCGGCGGAGGATTCACCGGCGGTGATGGGGCCAACGAGCACAATGCTCGATCGTGTAGCCTTACCTTCCCTATCCAGGAGCAAGGTGTCTGCCATGGGTTGGCCGGATACTTTGAGACGGTGCTGTACAGTGGGAGTGAAGGCAGCGTCGAGCTTAGCACTAATCCGGTAACCATGGAGCAGAAGTCCAAGGACATGATCTCCTGGTTTCCAATCTTCTTCCCTCTCAAGGTGGGTGTGCGTTATATCGAATACATCTGACAAGCTGGCTGATGACTGAGCAGACACCGATGCAAGTCCCTGCCAATTCCGAGATGCAAATAAGCATGTGGCGACAGACGGACGACCGCAAAGTGTGGTACGAATGGCTCGTAGAGAGCTTCATCTTCGTCAATGGCGAACGCATCCGGCTGGCAGTTTCGGATTTGCATTCGAGCAAGTCAAGCGGCTGCCTCATGTGAGAGAGCTGTGCCCACTGTTTCTGGGTGTTGTAATCGTCGGCTGTACGCAGGGGGATTGCTTTTGAAGAAGTTCGACGATAGCCCTACAGGAGGCTACTGCTTTGGTTGTTGGAAACACATATACGCCGTTATGATACCCTATTTTCAGGACAATTTGACTTGTTTCGCCATAGCGGGTTATAGATTTGTCACTGTGAAGATGGACGACCCAGTTCAGCGTCTCTATACGGGGCTACTTTACGTGTACCTATTTTAAGAGCGACGTATTTTGCAGTCTTGCAAAGTCGAGCTTCAGCACAGATCACTAGAGCGTCCGAGCACCCCCGAAACTCCGCAACCCACTCCGACTTCAAAGACAACCCACCACCACGCATCCAACCATCCCATTTAATCGAACATTCGCTTCCACTTCCCTGCCATGCCACCGCCCTTCTGGGCCATCGGATGCCTGTACGGCGCATCCGGCGTCCTCCTCGGCGCCTTTGGCGCCCACGGCCTCAAGCGCCGCATCGCCGACCCGCAGAAACTCGCAAACTGGAACACGGCGGCGCAGTACCAGGTAACTCAATCCCAACCTACCATCCTCCCCCCACCCCGCTCATAAACACTTCTTCTCCTAACATATCTATGCAACTACTGTAGCTCCTGCACTCGGTAGCACTCACCTTCGCCTCGGCCGTCGCGCCGCACAACACTCTCGCCATGGGATTGTTTACGGCCGGCATGACGCTGTTTAGTGGGAGTTTGTACTTGCTTGTGCTGGATCCGCAGAGGTGGAGGTTTTTGGGGCCCGTTACGCCGTTGGGGGGGCTGTGTCTTGTGGGGGGTTGGGTTGTTTTGGGGATGAGGGGGAGGGTGGTTGTGCCTAGGTTTGGTCAGTGAGGGGGGCAGGGGGTTGAGGGTAGGGGGTTCTTGAGGGTGGAGGGTGGGATGGGGGTGATGGAGGTGATGGGAGGGGTATGTTATGGTACTTTGTAGAGGGAAGAGAGAGGGATGCTCGCGGATGGGATGAGTGAGTTGAGTGTAGGTTAGCGTGTAAGTATAGAGCCCCAGTTTGGTGGGAGTGACGGCGTCCCGTCGGGGTATGAATCGACTCTCCACACCTCACAATGACATTGAAGGTCATTTGTACTTCTTGCATGTCGCCTCTTCACTTCCCTTCTCACCTCGTGGACAGATCGAAAAACGAAGGGATGTCGTTGAAATAAAACTAGTGGCCGAAGTGGAGCACCCGTTTCTCACGTCATCATCCGTACTTAAACCCAACTTTCAAATTGAGGATACATTATTCGATGGTAAAGGGGTATCTATCTCACGATCATGCTCCAAGGAGTGTGTCAAGGTTACTCGAGTGAGCGTACCGAGGACACAGTCTCCGACAAGCCGAGCACCCACTCCCCGCTCCCTCCACCTACTTGACCAACCTCACACTCTGCGGGTTATGAAACACATCCTTCGGATCCACCGCCGCCTTGATCCGCTGCAACCGCGGCAGATTCCCCCTCCAGTACGCCGACGCGCCCGCCTGCCCCAGCGCCGGATCGACATAGCCCGCATACGCGCCAAACTCATGCCCCGGCAGCGCATCCGTCACAATCTGATTGAACCCCGTGAGGAAATCCCTGATCTTGTCATTGACCCTGCCGAAGAGATTGACGGCGTACGCTTGGTGGTAGAACAATGCGTCTCGATGGCCGTAGGCGGTCGCGTCGGGGGGGACGTCGTTGGTGGCGCCGCCCTCGAGGTCCCAGATGACGAACCAGACGGGCGTGCCCTTGTCGGTGCCGTCGATGTAGTCGAAGAGCTTGTCGACGGCGGCGTCGGGGATCAAATCGTCCTTTGTGTAGGCCAGCGATTTGGCGTAGAAGTTGGACGGGATACCGCCTGTGATCTCGAGCGCCACGTCCTCGGCCCAGTGGCTCACGACGCCCAGCCAGTCCTTCAGAACGATGACCGATTCATCGTTGTGCGGCAGCCGAGCCGTGATGTTAAGCGCCTCGAACTCCTTCTGCGGCCCGAAATACGTCCCCGTGATGATGACGCCCAGCTCGGAGAGCACGAACTGGCTCGCGAATTTCCGCGACAGGGTCGGGTCCGCGATGAGGGCCTGCCACTTCTTAAAGGCCGCGGCTTTCCGCCTCGCATCGGCCCCGACCTGGATGCTGTACGAGTAGAGGACCGACTCCGCTGGTTCCGCCTGCGTGCGCACCGTGAACTCGGTGATGATGCCGAAACTCGCGCCCGCACCCTTCAGCGCGAAGAAGACGTCTGGATTGTCCGTCTGCGAGGCGCGCACAATGGTCGAGTTGGCGAGCACGACTTGCACCTCTTCGACGTGGTCCAAAGCACTCCCCCACATCCGGCTCGTGGGTCCCAGGCCGCCAATCGTTGCGTGCCCGCCGATTCCGACCTGCGGGCAGGTTCCGTGGGCCATGGCGCGGTTGCCGTTGTCGTGCAGGCGTTTGGTGACGTCGCCGAGGAGTGTGCCGCCGCCGATGGTGGCTTTCCACGTGGACTTGTCGATTGAGAATTGCTGGAAGTTCTTCAGGTCGACCACGATGGCGCCGTCTGTGCCGCCGATGCCTGGGATCATGTTAAAAATCTGGACGGAATATATTTTTTCAGGGACAGGTATGGGGCATACCATAGTTTGCGTACGAGTGGCCGCCGGATCGCGGCTGGACCTTGAGGCTGAAATCATTCGCACACTTGACAATGGCAGCGACCTGCTCCGCCGTTTGCGGGTAGGTGACTGCGGCGGGTGTAATGGGGATGTCGAGATTGTAGGGCTTGACGTGGGCGAGCTGATAGAGAGGGGTGTCTTTGTGGGCGAGCAAGGCCTGGTTACCACCGAGGGCGTTGGTGAGGCATTGCTGGACGGCAGTGCTTGGAGTATTTCCCATCACAGGACTCTAGGGGAGGAAAACGAGCGTAGGATGGAAGGTGCAATGGGATAGAGGAGGGGGAAAGGAAAACGGCGACGGTTGCGCAGCGAGGAGAGACCGTATTTGAAGTACGTTACAGACCTTGGTGAATCGCATCCTCGGACCGCATCGCGCTTGCCCACGCGCCCAGGGGTATTGCAGGCAGCTGCCAATTGGGGTAATTGGAGACACCCGTGGATATTCCGCCTGCTCCGGTGCCCATCTCGCACGGGGTGCAGCCAGCAGCAAGGGGAAAGGGGAAAGGAGAGGATGCTGGAGACTGTGGGGGGTCGGAAGGAAGCGAAGAAGCGAGGTCGTGGACGTTGGGCAGGGCGTGCATCGCTGTGAGTGGTCGGCCTTTCACGGACATGATATTAACCAGAACCCTGCAGCGCCGCCAGGGGCATCCAGTGCTGGGGTAGACAGCTGCTATGGAATACGCTCTGCGATCGGATTCGCTGCATGTTTTCGAATGGAGTTGTATGAATCCTTTCGTGGTGGCGGTTTACAGAATTGGTCGAGCCGGTAAAATGAGGGAACAAGTCTTTGCACCGACATGTGTGGGCATCGGTGCTTTATGTGTAACAAAAATGCGTGTGGATGCTCCATTGGAATCCGAGTTTCTTATCCCCTTAGCCAAATGCATCAAAGGTCGATGATTCTGGCATGTCGAATCTCCAAATCACTCACAACCTCTCGAATTCGCCCATACTCCATGGACCCCTCTATCCTCGCGAACCCAGTGTGCTGTTCCACGTCAACCCAAGGACACAAGAGAACGAACTCCTCCTTGCCATCCTGTGGATCGGCCCGCCATCCCCCTCCAATGCGCCCTTCAGTGACATATTCTTGCAGGTGATGCTTTTCCTCTTCAAAGACCCTTGCAAAAAAACTCTTTTCTCCGTCCTTCACAAAATGCCGTTCAATACTCAGGACATTCGTTGACGTGGGCGTTCCCGGCTTCGGTAACGGAAGCTCTGCATGCGGTGCATGGATATGGATGAGCCACTCCACGGTCAACTCGTCCTTCAAACTCTCAAGCAACGCCTGATTTGATGCCGATGGAATGAACTCGTCCATGTGCTGGGTCAGCGAGTCCCATTCTCCGATCACGTAGACGAGGGTCGGATCCTCGACTTGTTGGGCGAAGTAGAAGCGGCGTTTTGTGAAATTCTCCATGACAGTTTTGGCGTTGGCAAGTTTGGACTGGAGGGCTGCGTCTCCTACAGTCGTTGGAGGAAGAAGGCGGAGGAGAGCGAGTTCGGTGACAACCATTTTGGGAGGTAATTGGACTATTGGCTGGTGCGACTGCAAATAGTGGCAACAATGTACCCGGTCGATTTTATATATCTGTTATTGAGGGAGCCTCCCTAGGCAACTCCAGCTTGCGTAAACAGGTCCTACCTAGGGAGCATTAGTAAGCGTTTCACGTGAGTCTGCGTATTGACTGGAGCACGCTCGATCAGACAAGATCTGTCGGTTGTACCAAGATCAGAATCCTCTTCGCGACTGTGGAGGGCGGCAGAGAGCTTCAGGTGCAACTGGAATTACCAGGCTTCACACTGGTGTCATTCGCCTTTCCCCTGGCGCTGTGGAATGGTTCCGGCGGTGCGAGGCGCATGCGAGGAACTAATGAGGAGCTCAAGTCCAAGCACTTTCGAGACATCTGAACGCATGCTTCGAAGCGACCTCTGCTATTGTAGGTCTTGATCGCTTGAGGTGCTTTTGTCTCTCGGGAGGATTGCATGGTAGCTGCTCAGCATTTCTTGTAGAGGTCACAGTAGCATTGAGCTGTTTCAGGGCAGCTAAGCTTTGCGTTAGCCGGCTCTTCTGCCATCCGGAAGTCGAAAGACCTACTATATCGGGCTCTGTCCGAATATGACATGCCACAGCTTCTCAAACACCTTGCCAGATGTTTCATCATCCAACGGCGTTCGAATCAACCAGTCGAGGTAGTGTTGGTACTCAGACAAAGGCCGCTTCCTCACTTGTTGTCTTGAAACAGCAAATTCTCCAGGCAAGGGGCCTGCAACCTTCTTGGGGACCTTGGGTGTCCTGAACAGCATTCGCCAGGCCTCCGACATGACATTATCGGGAAGTCCAACATCTTCCCACGGTCTCACGAACGGCTGGTCTTCGCGTGAACACTCCACGCTGCTTTCAGCGCACCGGAGACTTGCGTAGCCATTCCGCTGAACAAAATCGATGTTGAACGTGCGGAGCAGTTCCACCGCGTCGTACCCAGCACCCTCATGGTGGCCCTTTGTCACGAATCGGGCTCGGTGGGATTTGACGAAGACGATAGTCGCAGGTAGTGTCTCATAATTCTCGATTATATAGGTAAGGTAGGCCATGGCCTCGCGTCCTTTGTTCATAATGGTGTGCATATTCGCACTGCTCGGATTGTCAATCACATAGACGGCATGTTGCCAGTCTGGAAGCTTATCAAAGACCCATCTGGTGTCTTCTTTGTCGAGTCTTCCCACTACAACCACACGGTCGTATGTCGGGGTAATCCTGGATGGGTCTGGATGAGGTATCCGTGGGACCGGACTGGTCGTGGCTAGTGCCTGATAGCGCAAGGTACTGATACCTGACGGAGGTATACTGAGCGTGCTGCTCGTCGACTTTGCGGCCTCGGCCTCGGCCTCGGCCTCCTTCTTCGCTGACGCCAGTTCATCCAAAACCACCTGTTTCCAGTTCTGAGAATTGCCCGATGGCTCTTCTAGAGCGTCTCCTGGCTCTTCCTTTGCCTCGTATGCGCCTCCACCTGCCTTTACGTTGCCTGGTGAATCGTCCAGATCGCTCCAACTCTGGTGGAAGAAGAAGACGGCGACGATGAGGATGAGTGCAATTGCGACCAGTTGGCACTGCTGCGTAGTGCGCATCATGGTAGTGTGCGGGAATCAGCGGAGCGACGGGGGAGGATGGGCAGCGGTTGGCAACGGCGGCGGAGAAGGAGGAGTGGCCGTCGATACGTCAGTTGCTCGCTGGGATCTTGCGCGGTCATGCTGCGGTGACTGTCCGAGCTGGTACTGTTGTACGCAATGTATTCTGCTCGTCTGAACGCAGAGGTGAGAGTGCAGGGGAAGAGTGTGAAGAGCATCCAGCCTGGTGTCGGGATGTCCGGGCGCTGCCCAGGGGTTCTGTTTGGTGTGGCTGTGGTGGCACAGCACTTACATAGTAGTCCTATAATTGGGCCCACTCTCCCAATCCATCGTCGCGACCATCTCCGCTTACTGAACCGTTGCAACATTGCCGTCAGTCGAAGGAAAACGGTCGATGGCCTTTGAAAACTGCCTTTTTCCCGCTTGCTGATAATGATTCAGAGGCCTAGACTCGCCCCCATGACACCAGGAGTTCACTATGTCTGGCGAGCAGGGACGAGACTCCTGGGTGTCTACTTTGGGGCACCTATGCGGTTCTCACTACATGGTTACGCCTGGCAATTAGTAGTTTTACTTCAAGTACTCCCGGCTGGATATGTTACAGGCCGGAAGAATCATTCCATAACGCAGCCAAACCGAACACCCAGTTCCGATTTGGCGTTAAAATGCTCAGGTTACCTCCTTTCCAGCCCTTCGGGCGTTCTTTGATCTGTCCAGTCTCCATATCAGAAAGAAGGCATCCTCAAGCATTTGTTGCCATACGATTCAGTGTTGTATAGACGATGGACTCCTCACTTGTTGGCGACCCTGTCCGCTCAGTTAGTAACAAGATATCCATGGATATGCCCCAGTCCGAAACATACCGATCGCCTGTCTTCGCATCGAAAGCTCCTTGCTCCCGCACCGGATGTCTCGCCCGCTCTTGGACCCGTTATGGTAAACATGATCTGAATGCACTGGTGATCCCTAAACCTATCAGCGAGAACAGAGCGCAAAACTTTTGCTCCGGGCAAAGTAATAAGCTCACACGTAGAAGTCACAAACGCAGTCTGCCCGAAGCTCGTAGCTCACAGCAGGCGATCTGAATGAGTGGCAAGCTCTCGTATCGTTACGGAGAAGCTCGCCCATCCGAAAGCGGTTTTGAATGGTACCGCAGTTCCCGTGCATCTCCGTCGCTGGCTTGCTGTCCGGATACACGTCCGCGATGGTGAGTGGAAAGGCAAGCAGTAAGAATTTGAAGCGATTCATGTGTTAAGAAGACTTGAAAAAAGAAAGACTTGGTAATCAGTTGGGGTCTCTTGGGTAAGAAGACCGGACGTGGGACTTGATGGAGATAGCAGGCGGGTACGTAGTGAGAGTCCGTAGGAGTGTGCCCATGTGTTCCAACTTCACCGCCGACGTTGCCAGAAACGCTCACTTCACCTCACAGCATTGCTCTTCCCTCGATATTAGCTTCCAGACGGCGAACAACTGCGGCCCTCATAAGTAACCGACCACGTCGTTGGGTTCGAAGAGTCACGCCGAAGCCAGTTCACGATTTTGATAGCAGGACGATGTTCACAGAACTCCATTGTCAACAGCCAACATAGAAGGAATGAGGTATCCGACCTCCCACATCTCGCCGTTCCATCCGTTCCCTCAGTGAAAGACCATCAGTCAGTCCCCCCGCCAAAGCCCGTTCGTTACCGACCGCTCCCAGATGCATTCCTCAAGATTCACCGACCTTCGGCAAGTGATGCGCCTCAGTTGCCGTCATGGATAGAGGGAAGCTTTGTGCACTTGAATCCTTTGATGAAGGAATCTGTACCCGAGGTAACATTGGCACTGTCCGTTTTGACCGTCTTGTAGGTATCAGAACAGTCATCTTTCCTTTCTGGTTGTCAGTGTGCTGCCTAAGCGAATAACAGGACACTGCCTGCGGTATCTACGTTGACGTACTTGTGGAATGTGCATAGACAGTGAGAATCAATGTAGTAGACCCATGACTCGTAATCTTTGTACTTCCAGTGGTGGCAGTTCCCGTCCGTCGTCAAGTTTGCTGCGTCCGGGTAGGTTCCCCAGACTCGGTCGCGTAAGAGCATGCGTCCGCAGGAGGTCGGAGGCTCTCCGGTGGGCAAGGCGGCGATAATGAAGGCAAAGATAAGTGGGAAGACGCAAGTGAGCTTCATCGTGCTGATGTTTCGGCGTTTAAGTATTTGCAAGTTCAGGTTTCTGAAGTGCTGCGTCAGCAATGTTGGTGTTGTAACGTGCAAGTTGGAAGGAGCAAGTTGGTGAAGTCGAGTGGGCACACTTCAACACTTAAGTATATCATGTTAGACTATTCCAAGCTCTCCGACTCTTATCGCTGTCAACGCCGTTAGATTCTTCCAGTTCAGGCACCCAATCAACCAAGGGCGCCCGGATACTCAGCGGTGAAGCGTCGCATATGTATCCTACCTCGAGCACATGTCTGAACCCTAATCAAATCGATGATACGGCGAGGTCGTCGTGCAAAGAATTCTTATCAACGTCTAGCTCCATAGTTTAGTTCCAATGAAAGTTCTCAGAAGTCGACTTCTCCGCAAGCTGCCCAGGTTACACCATGTACCAATCCAAATCGCTGAGAGCGCGAACCCGGGATGGAGAACGTTTGGCACTAAACTCCCCACTGCAAACGTTGAAGGGCGTGGCCACAGCGCTTGGTTAATCGTTTCCCTTGTTATCTGCTTCTTTAATCCACTTGGGCGTTTTCACGACAGCACTGCCCAAGTGACTTCCCTCGAAATCTACCCGTGTACGATTGGCCATTTAACTGTTTGAGGCTCATTTACCGATACAGCGAACCTAATCCCAAGTGCCCGAGTCTTTTCAGCTCCAAAAGACACTGTGCGAATATCAGGCCACTTTGACAATCGGTTCTTCGGCACCGTCCTCCTTCATCCAGTGGATGGTTAGTGGCCGTCACAGTCCACAGAATGTAGACTGGGATATGAGGAGTTCTCTTCGTTCGAGAAGTGACACTCACAGGTGTCTTGCATATCAGCCACCAGGGACGGATGACGGGTTGTCGTGCAGCGCGACGAGACCCACTTGGGATCTGAAGGATGTCCTCGCTGTATTTCTGGTTGAGGTATGATCCCGCCTCATCTTCCAGGGGCAGAATCACTCCAGATGGCCTTGGGGCTGCAAAAGTGGCGGTGTGAGGGGGAAGTGCTTGCAGGTAAGCTTTGTGATCCAGAGTAATACTGTTTTTTACTTGTGACAGCAAAACTGTGATATGTATCCGCAGTTCATAGCGGCATAGAAGACTCTGAGTGGAGGTTTCTTCACAGTTGTCTCGTCGCCTCCGTAGCTGACGAGTCTGTGAAAGTTTCTCTTTCGTTTGCTGTTCCCAGTCCACTTATGTAGCGATCATGTTTGCGGAGCAGATGATGGAACCTCGCGGCAGATACATGGCTTTTCTTCACCTGCCTGGGAGATAGAGCAGGCTATCCATTAGCTTGACCTATTATCCCTCGATTAAAATCCAATCTGTATGGTGAGCGAGTGCTCTGATATTGTGATAAGGGCACATCAGCCAACGAAGCCAAAACAGGTAGCACTATGGTCGAAACGTATTGCGGGATCTTCCACAGCTAGTATTTGCAGGACTTTGCTATTGGACCTGGAAAAAGTGTCGTTTGATCGTCTACTGATTCAGGCACTGGTTTTTCTTGACTAGCATCCGTTGTGTCGGCGAAGGGCAGTATCCCAGAATGATGGAATCTGCCAAATGGATTGGATATTTATGATAAGATCTGCCTTGGAGATAAACAAAGCTGACCCTTCATTGAGATTTGGCCTAAGGTTATCGAGCATGCAAACGTACCACTGGACCCATCCTGATAACTTGCGCTGAAATTGCCCGTTTTCCCAACCAACCCCATAGGCCAGTTCCTAAAACAGCCGGGAGTGCAACCTGAGGACATGGCGTTTGGGGTTGTTCGAAGCTCGTGTTCGTGCCAGAACTGTGATACAAGAATCCCAAAAAGTGGATGGATTTGTCAGTCTCTCGTTGCCATAATGTGTGTACCTCCTTGAGATTGGACCTTGGACGAGAGAGGGAGTAGATTTGCTGAAAAGGGCCGATATTGAGTCCCGATTGGGACTAGCGCCACGTGAGAGCGTGTATCTTCCGCGAACGACCTTCTTTTCCAACGCGTCCACTCCACCATCACCACCATCACACCCGACGAGAGCTGAGACGAGAGTTGACTCTTGCAAAATGAACAAAGCACCCGTAGAGCAGGCGCTCATCAGCCTTATACCCACTCTCAATGGGCCTCTACCGGAGGAGCTTGTCCAATTGTCCATGTCTCTTCTCGCCCGCTCTCGCAACTTAGCCCACAGTCTTAAACCCGAGGAGGAGATTGCAAGGCCGTACGCTTGTACCCAGCTGGCCTGCGACAGGTAAATAGAGGCCCAATGTTCTTATGTGCACTATGCCTGTATCTAAGCAATCCAGGCTCAAAACGCGGCTCAATCTTCCCGCCCTCCAGCCGCGCCCTCCATGTCCGCCGCGCATCTACAAGAAGCTGTACAAATATCTCGAAAGCGCTATGCCAGAAGACGTAACACGTGGTCCGGCGACGCCACGAAAAACCGCTACACACGGTTCTGCATCAGCTCCAACTACGCCAAAGACACCATTGGATAACCGGCGGATTCCCCGACGCACAGCGAGAGATTCGTCGAGATTTCCTGAGCTACCCGATTGGGTGATGCCCACCATACGACTTCTGGTAAAGGAGTTCTCGTATCCCTTCGCCGCTCCTCATGTGATTGCGGGAGTCGAATCGATCTTCCCTTTACTCAACCGCATGGCAGCAGCGGACGAGTCTTCAAGAAGGCGCCCTACACAAGGGTTAACCGCTACCGTGATTGATGCCACGGCTTTGCCCCACTCCCGCATCCTTGCTTTGGTGGCCGTTGTTCTCTTCCTCGTCTTGTCGAAAATGCTGGACCAGGACATAACGCCTCAGCAATATCGTCAATGGCGAGATAATGCGATCGCGAGCCTCCTCCGTTGCAAGGCAGGAGAAAGTGTGACCAAAGAAGAGATTCTGGCCGATATAGAGAATCTAATGCCAATGGCGCAAGAGGAGGGATGGCTCGACATGGAGTGGTTCCTCAACATTGCTCCTCAGAGGGACAGCGAGGAGATGGATGGAGTGGAAACGACATATACCTCCGCTAGTCATTCTAAGAGCGGGAGTCGAAAATCTATCAGGGATGATTTTGGGAGCGAGTACATTGGCTTGGGTACCATGATGCAAGATGCAACAGACTATCTAGGCCAACGGCAGCGTGAAGACTTCAGACGCTGGAAGATGAACATTTTGGCCAAGATTGGAGAAGCTGAGGCATGACAATCCCCACTTCGTGGAATATAAGCACCTTCAATGGCACAAGAATACGTTCCATCACCACCTTGACCATGAGGTATCATCGATCAACCGTTTGCCCTTTCCCGTTTGACTTGTTCACACGTGGGGAGCCTTCCTGTCCTTACACCCGCTCCCATATTGACGCTTCCCAGGTTCACCACTCAATGCCTCCATCGGCAAAATTCATCTACTGCGGCTTTCCACGTCCCACTGAACATCCGGCTGCAGTTCCTCTGTAGGTGGAATTACCTACCCGGCACAAGCCAACTGGCTACGACTTAATAATGCGACAGGTAGAATTTTCTTTCTAAACATACTACTATACGTAGAGGCGCGCTACAAAGCTAGTTGCAGGACCTCCTATATTGCTGCGCCTGCTAGCTGTTTAAATTAGATGTGGAAAACAGCAGTACAGAGGAAGTGCAGGGGGGTGTTCAGTCGGATGTGAACAGAGGCTGTACACCCCAGCTGCAGTAATTCCACCACACAAAACCGTCCAATCTCCCACCTAACCCGGCACAATCTGCGAAACGTCTCTTAACTTTTTAAGAGCACATGGCTGGTTTATGAATAGACACCCAAATTGGGACAATGCAAATACCGATCGCGATGGGTAATGGTTGCATCCATACTACGCGAGCTTGGCTGTAAATGCTGTGGATAACTTCAAGGTCGATGGCCTTTTTAAGCTCCCCGTGGGCGCAAACCTCTGGGGCGGAGACTACGCTGGCCTTAGGACACGAAGAATGATGGCCAATCTCATGCTGCTGGTCGCTCTGGCAGCTCCCTCCCTTGCCGCCATTGTCAGTCGCCAGTCGAGTACAGTCACTGTCGACCTCTCCAAAACCTATCAGACGATGGACGGGTTTGGGACGTCTGAGACCTTTCAGCGAGCAAACCAGATGCGCGCCTTGTCACCCGAGCTGCAGCGTTACTCTCTTGACCTCCTCTTCAATCGCACCTCAGGCGCTGGCTTCACGATTCTCCGTAATGGGATTGGCTCCTCTCCAGACTCGTCATCGGACCACATGGTATCGATCCAGCCGAAGAATCCCGGAGGACCGAATGCTCCGCCGAAATACGTGTGGGACGGTAACGACAACTCCCAAGTCTGGCTGTCGACCGAAGCAGCAAAGACGTATGGCGTGAAGACGTTCTACGCAAATGCTTGGTCCGCACCGGGATACATGAAGACGAACGGCAACGATGCGAACGGCGGGTCCTTGTGCGGAGTGACTGGCGCCACATGTTCATCTGGTGATTGGAAGCAAGCGTACGCCAACTACTTGGTGCAATACGTAACTTACTACAAGGAGGCAGGTGTAGACATTACGCATCTTGGATTTCTCAACGAGCCGGACCTGGCTACTTCATATGCTTCAATGAGGGCGGATGGGCGGCAGGCAGCAGACTTCATCAAAGTCCTCCGTCCCACTCTAGACAAGGCGAACTATACTCAGGTCAAGATAACGTGTTGTGACGCTGGGGGTTGGAGCCAGCAGGCTGGTATGCTAGGCCAGCTAAGCAGTGTCAACAACCAGCTGGGCCAGATCACTGCACAGTACGTTCCCTCGTGCGTACGAATATCATGCATGACATACGCACGCATGGTTTCAACGTACATTTATGCCACTTGTCTGCTGACCCTTTCAACCAGTTCTTACATGTCCCAGCCTACCTCTCCACTAAACACCAAGCTTCCTGTATGGCAAACGGAATACGCCGACCTCCAGGGCCCTTGGACCGAGGCGTGGTATTCCAACAACGGCGCGGGCGAAGGTCTTCGCTGGGCCAACACCATATACGATGCCATAGTCCGGGCAAACGTTACAGGCTACCTCTATTGGATTGGCGTGCAAGGGGGGCCGACCAACAGCAAAATGATCCGCATCTCGGACGACAAGAAGTCTGTGATTCCCTCGAAACGTCTTTGGGCAATGGCGAACTGGTCCCGCTTCGTGCGGCCGGGAGCAGTCCGCGTTGGCACGTCTGGTGGGCCGTCTGGCGCCAAGGTCAGCGCTTTTCGCAATGTGGGTGGTACCGTGAGTGTCCAGGTCATTCAGGGAGGGGCGAGCGGTGGAGCTGTCAATGTGAAGGTTGGGAACGGGTTCAGCGCGAAGGGTGTAAAAGCGTGGATTACAGATAACACGAGAGACGTTGCTGAGCTGGCGAGTACGCTGGGAAGTGATGGTACGGCAAGTGCAAACGTACCTGGCCGGAGCATGGTCACCTTCGTGCTCGAACCAGCCGCCTGAGCAATGCGAGGTGATTTTGCCCTCGACGCGGATCGTCTCGCACGGGGTACTGGACCCAAGCAATTCAAGCATCAAGCATAGTACGCACATCAATACCAGTGCTTGAGTAGTTCGTTGATAATATATGCAATTACCGGGTATCATTATCGTGGGCAGTGGAGCACCGCTCTCTGCTCATTTATGCCTGTTTCTCGAATCCATATGTCGTCTTTCGATCCATGACCATAAGAAGCAATGTGCGTAGAATACGAAATCATCCATTCCATCGGCGCTCCGCGGCTTCCAAGCGCATACCAGACACCAGGCGGCGAGCCGATCCGTTCATATTCCTCCTCTGCTTCTCTTCCTCCGCGGCGTCCTCCGCCTCGTGTTGTTTCACGCGCTCGCGACGCTGGTTCTCCAGAGCTTCCGCGTCAGCTTGCATAGCGGCGAGTCTTTCCGCCTGCTTATCCGCATATGGTGACGGCGAACGCTTCCGATACCTCTCACGGCCGACCGGATGGTCTTCTCGGCGGTCATCCAGGCGGTCTTGTCGGCGGTCATCCCGCTGGTCGTCTCTTCTTTTGCGGGTTGGAGATCTTGACCGGTAACGGTGATCCCGGTACGTGCGATCTTCAGAGTCGTCCCGGCTGTATCGCCGCGGAGAGCGTGATCGATAGCGGTCTCTCGCGTATGAGCGGTGATTGTCCCTGTCATCTCTATGTCGTTCCCGCGATTTTGAACGATGAAGGCGGCGGTCGTCTCGATGCCTCCGAGGAGAACGTGAACGATATCGATCCTTAGAGTGGGAGCGCTCATGGTGGCCGTGTTTCTTGCGCTTGCGTTCCCTTTCTTTCTCCTTGGCTAGTTTCTCGGCCTGCTTCGCCAGTTTGACTTGCATTTCCAGCTTTTGCTTCTGGATCAGCATGAGCGGATCCTGCGCGATCTTGGACTGTATGTCACGCGTTGTACCCGCATTGCCCGGGCCCAGCGTATCGATGCTAGGTGCCGAGCTTTTACTCAGATTCTGCGACTCGTCGTTCTTCAGCAGCGCATCAATGCGCCGTTTTCCCAGAAGAAACCCCTCACGCTCCTCCGTGACCCCACCCGCTTCACCCGTAGGCCCTTCATACATCCACCCCACCTTCTTCTGCAGGATTTGAAGTTGTCCACCGCCACCGCCCGCGGCCTCTTGTAGTCGCTGCAACTCCTCAAGCTCCCGCTCCTTTTCGCGATCTTTCCGTAGCTGCTCTATTTTCTTCAGCTCCTCCCGCTTCGCCTGCTCTTCCTTGTGTTTTCGCTCCTGGTTCTGCCATCGCGCTGGATGCCAGCTCTTCTTGGTGTTGAGGTCGCCACCCATGGTCGCGAGGGCGCGCGGACGGATCTAGCGGACTTATCGACGGTCTTCTATACGTGGGTGGTAGCAGGAAAGATCGTGAGCGTAATGAACAGCGGACGGCGTGTGTTGTCAAGGGAAGATGGCGAGGGTAGAATCCGGGGAAGGTGGTGAATCTATTCCTGAAGGCTGGCGGGTACGCTAAATAGCACCAGCCACATGCCAAGGCCAAAGTCTAGGCAGCCCCACTTTAACTTTCGACCTCTCATTCCGCCGTTCTCGCCTCGCAGCGGCCAGAGTTTCCAAGGATCGCTTTTCGACATCTCGGTCAGACACTACATATCGAACCATGTCAACACGCAAGCGGAACGAATGGCTCGAGGCCGACGAGAGCGAGGAGGAAGATCGAGACTACGGATCCGAAGAGGAGGAAAGCAGAGCAAAACTTCTGCGGAGTTCCAAGAGGCAGAAAGTAGCCCATGATTCCGGGGACGAGGACGAAGCCGAAGCAGACTATGGACACGATGACGGTGACGTGGAGGAGAACTCGGAAACGCACAAGGCCAAGGCCAAGGATAAGGGGGAATTGGCCCGCCTCGAAGCTCTTGCTGCCTCGGTGCCCAGTACGAAATTGAAACTCGAGAAACCCCTCCCCGCGCCATCGGCTCCCAAAAAGGACAAATCGGGGATCATATATCTATCGCGGGTCCCTCCTTTCATGAAGCCGTCCGTTCTCCGTTCCCTGCTCACGCCGTATGGCGCTGTGGGACGCATATTTCTTACACCAGAGCCGTCCACGCAGCGAGCGCAGCGGCTGAAGTCGGGAGGGACGCGGCGTAAGCTGTTCTTGGATGGCTGGGTCGAGTTTCTGAAGAAGAAGGATGCCAAGTTCGTGGCGGAGAACCTGAATGCCCAAACCATGGGCGGGAAAAAGAGAGGGAGATGGCACGACGAAGTGTGGAACATCAAGTACTTGAGCGGTGTCAAATGGGCCGACTTGGTAGCGCAGATACAGGAGGAGAATGCGGATCGGCAGGCGCGCATGCGTGCGGAGATTGCGCAGTCGAAGCGTGAGAATCAACAGTTCTTGGCGGATGTGGAGAGGGGGAAGATTGCGAAGACCAAGGCGGAGCGGAAGAAACAAAGGGGTAAAGATGAAGTCGAAGAGGATACGATAGTTCAGCATGGGGATCAAGCAAGCTCAAATGCGCCGAAGAGAGAATTCAAGCAGAAAGAGGTCAAGATCAAGGCACTCAAGGAGCACGAAACCGGGGAAGGTGGTGAAAGACTACTGCACTCGATATTCTGAATAGCGGATACGCGCCTCTTTGTGCAATTAATACAATATTCTACAGCATCCTTCGACTCCGGCACTCCATTGTCCATTGTCCAAATTTCATGATCCGTAGCGCAGGCGCAGAAGTACCCAGACTCCATAGTCATTACTTATGCAAAGTCTTCAATAATCCAGATAGAAACATCGCACCTAGCGACCTCGTCCATTCGCCAGAGTGCTCATCCCAGGGGTATCATAATTCCTCCACGTTCCATTGCGCCTTCTCAGATCGCCGTGCCACGCTCAAAGCTCTCCCGAATCTCCGTTGTATACTTGTTATAAAACCGGGCCAGCTTCTCGTTGAACTGTTTGTTCTTTTGGTTGATGTAAGTCACGTCTCCGCCATCGTCTTCCTTCAATCCTCTTGCCGCCCTCGCCTTCAAGCGCGCTCTCTCCGACTTGTCCAGCTGTTCTACCAAGCGGTCGACCGCTTCTTTGCTTGGCTTGTGATCAAAGTTGTAGTTCTCTTCGACCGGAGTGTTGACGCGGCCATCCTTGTCCACAGTGAAAACATCGCCATCGTCCGTCTCCACGAGCTCAAGCAGGCCCGCTGCGACTTGCCTCTGCAGTTTCTCAGCGCGCTGTGCCGCATACGCCTCCAAGTCGACCTTCGACAGCTGCTTAATCTGTCGTTTATAGACTTTGTTGGCCTCTTGACGGTAGTCGCTGAAAGCATTGTTGTCCCTGTTCCTCGCCTTCTTCGCGAGCCGCTTGGCCCAATTCTCGTCCTCTTCGGCCGTGTAGTCCCAGTGGCGCTTCCGCTCAAAGTCGGGATCGTCGGCTTTGAGAAGTTTAAACTCTGCGCGCTCTTGCAGCCGCTTCGCCTTCTCCAGCTCCTCCGGCTTTCCCTCGTTGCGCTTCTTCTCCTCGATGACCTCCTTCTCGGTTGCCTTTTTGCCCGAGGTGCGCTGTTCTTGCAGGGCCTTGAAGCGCGCCATCCGGGCTGAGAGAGCGGCTTTGGGGTCTGGCGCGGGCGGCGCGGTGGCTTTTTCGGGTTCTGTCTGATCCGTCATGGTAGCGAGCAGTTAGTTTTATGGTGTTGAAGTGTGCTGTGCGGCAGAGACTGTGATGATGCTTCAACGTTTGAAGAGTGGGACCGGAGAACCGAGGATGACTTGGCGGCCAAGACCTCTACCAACTACAAATGGTGAATAACGTCCCCGCAACAACAACCATCAACACTGCCTTGTGCAAATACGGTACGTACCTCACCGTTAGCGCTCTTTTTGATTAATGTAACTGCTGGTTTTAGCACTACATTTCTTGGTATTATTTACCGTGACACCGCTGACTTTGGGCCGATCAGACAACTCATGGGTTCATCCGCAAGCTTACTCGCGTTGATGAATCGCACCAGTCCAGGGTGATGGGCGGGGGGCATGGGCGAACACAAGTCTCTACCACAGCAGGGTGTGATCAGAACGATGGGACCGGATTGGCAGTCCCGTTTGCTAGTAGGATTGCCGGTCCCCTAAGACACTGCCCAGGTGTGTATTCTGACCTCGGAAAGCTTCCAGCCAGTACCTATACCCCCAAGGTACTAGTCTTCCACGCCCCCCAATAATTATTAATGCTCCCCACATCACTACTCCCGCTAACTACAGCTGTGTACTCCTAAGATAGGTATGAACAACATAACTCCTCTTCGCCAAGTCCCATAAGCCCTCATGCACATCCACACCCTGCAGCTCAGCAGGGCTGAACACGATCTGCCGACCTGCAAATTGCGGGGATTTGCAGTTCCCCCAGACGCCACAGTCCACACCCCCTCGGCCCCGTACCGGGTAGCCAGATCTAATGGGTACTTATGGGGTCACTCTCCTCCCACGTTTACCGCATATACGCACTGTTCCATTCCTATCCTTCTCCTCCTCCATCACTGAGTGGTCTCGTTCACCATGGAGCCCAAAACAGTTGACGACGTTCATGTTGAAGCTGTACACGGCCCACACATCGTACCTATTGAGCAAGAAGCCACCGAAGATGTAAAACACGTGAACCTGACATGGAGGTCATGGGTGGTAGTATTTTGCTGCTGCTTCGCGTATGCCTAACAAGCCCTACTTTCCAAGTATGCTGTCACTGACGCATTCACAGTGTGATGTCGCAAGTGTTCGTGGTAGCGGCAGCCGGCTCTGTCCTTGCATTCATCATTCGCGAGCTTGGGGAACCCGCAATCGCAAACTGGGTGATTCAGGTATGCCTCGACATTTGCAGATTCGGGAAACCGCCCATAACAGAGATGGCCTACAGGGACCACTCCTCATGCAATCCGTCCTATCGCCTCTTGTCGGTCGCCTCTCCGATGTCTTGGACCGCAAACTCTTCTCTACGATACCGCCTCTGATTGCTTGTGTCGGTGCAGTTGTATGCGCAAAGGCGACCTCCATGTCCATGTTGATCGGAGGCGGTATCCTGATCGGCGTCACACTTGCTACCATCTCCATTGTGCAGGCAATCCCGTCGGAGATTCTGCCTCTGAAATATCGAGCCGTGGCCAATGGCTTTGCTGGCGTTGCTGGTGTACTGGGCGGCACGTAAGTTTAAGTTCTGCATCAACACTGCATGGACAAAGACCTGACAAGATTCAAGTGTCGGCAGCCTGGGCGCTGGGGCAGTAACGAATATCAGTCCAACTGGCTGGCGTTATATTTTCTGGATCCAAGTTGGCCTGCATGGTTTCTCTTCGCTCGGCCTTCTTTTGTTCTACTGGCCTAAGAAGAGAACCGACTACCCAAAAATGTCTCTGAAAGAAATTGCTTGGGCTTGCGATCCTATCGGCTCCTTTCTTCTCGTCAGCAGTGCGACCCTGATGTTGTTGGCGCTGAACTGGGCTGGAGGCGCGTATAAGTGGAGTAATCCCCATATATATGCCACCCTTGTGGTTGGTATTGTGCTGTTCATTGCGTTCTGTCTTTACGGTATGTTTCCCCTTCAATTCAGTTTGCTGTCGTGTAGGGTTGACCTGCTACAGAATGGAAGGGCCGGACCGACGGCATCGTAGCGCATGTGTTCTTTTCCACTGGGCCCAATTTCTGGCTTTCGACCTTTGCATTTGCTATCGAGGGGTAAGTGGACCAACAACAATCAATTTGAAGACGTGATAGCTGAATCTAATCTCTCGCAAGATGGATCTACTATTCAGCTGTCAACTCTGTCACGCCGCAGCTTATCCTCAACCTCGGCTTCGAAGACAATTCATGGGATATTGCGGTCCGACAACTGGCATATAAGATTGCCTCTATTTTCACCTCAATCGCCGTCACGTGGTGGGCGACCAGATTCAAGGACCTCAGTACGTACCGCTCTCCAATCAGCCCTTAAATTTTCCATTCCCGTCTCATCCCAAGCCTATGCAGCCCCGCTAACCCGTGTACAGAAACCCCCCTCGTCGTTACCTTCGGCATCATGTTCATAGCAGGCGTCTGCTTCGCCGTCATTCGCCCCAGCTGGTCGACACCTCAAATCGTCTTCACCGCCCTGACAGGCATCGGCTGCGCGGGGCCCCTCACGCTCCTCATCGCCTGCGTGCAATTCACCGCCCCGCACGCCTTCCTCTCGACAGCCACGGGCCTCGCCTTCTCCGCCCGAGCCATCGGCGGCGCCTTCGGCACCGCCTGCATCTACGGCATCGTCAATTCGCATATCGCGTCGCACTACGCTTCCGACGTGGGGTCTGCGGCCATCGCGGCGGGTCTGCCTGCTTCGTCGGTGGGGGCGCTGCTGAAGGCGATGAAGGGGAGCACGAGGACCAAGGCGAAGGGGCAGGGGGTGCCGGGGGCGACGCAGGGGATCATGGACGCTGCGTGGAGCGCGAGTTACTGGTCTTATGCGAGGGCGTATCGGCTCGGGTTTTGGAGTGTGGTGCCGTTTGTGGCGCTCGCGACGGTTAGTGTGGCGTGCATGAAGGGGGTGAGGGAGTTGATGACGGAGAGGGTCGAGGCAACGGTTGAGCGGGAGAGTGATGAGGAGACGGAGAGGACGGAGAAGGCGTAGTATAGTTTAGTACGGTAATTTAATCCCTATGCGATGCCTAGCACGACAGTGTGTGTCATATTTATACTTGCACAGAAGTCGTGTTCGAGAGCATAAGAGATCATTCTGGATATAAGATAGTGTGCCATTTAAAGTCGTTACTGCAGTTTACCTAGATATCGAGGTGCCTGCTTTTATTACCATTTTAAATACTAATCCTTTTCTTCTAGTGATATGTACAAAGTGTCTTGATTGCCGGCGAGAGGAAGCCGGTGAAGGGAGAAGTACCGGGCGTGGAGGCAAGTGGGATTTCCGGGTATATAGATCGGACATGTGTTGTTGGCCGTGGGTAGGTTAGGACTGTTATCGGTATCGATGATGGGAGGAGGAAGGAGGAGAAGAAGAAGAGGATTATCCTCGATGCCAGAGATGCGCGTGTCTACCGTGGTGATCTTTGTTTCCCGCTAATGGGAAGTTTAAACCGCGGAGTGACAACTGGTTGATATTGTGGAGAGTGTCGTTGGCGAGAATGCGGATAGGCAGACTGAGATTATTGTGTGTCGCGGCGTGGGAAGTTAACGCTGCCGGGTCGTGGTGGGTGTTGAGTACGGTGCCGGGATTCCGTAATGTTGAGTTTTACGATGGCGCGGCGGGGGAGTGGGTGAGGTGTTAGGAGATGGAGGTGTGAACTATCCTTATATCATTGATAGATGTTTATGGATAATCCTCCCAGAATGGTGTTGGGGCCGTTGTCCAAACTCCCATTGTACGGGGTTCCAGGACCCCGGGTCGCTCCAGAAGGAGACGCCTCCTCTTTCCAGGAACAGAGGGCGTTGTGGTGGACCTATTATTGGAAGACTCTCGACTCGTCAGGACCTTGCCACTTGCAATACTTGCTTGTTCTCCCTCATTCTATGAGAACCCATCCGGGCAAGCCCACGCTGTGGGAGCGGCATGATGGTGCAAGTGGCGATAACCATCGCTTTCGCGGTGATCTCCATCGTACCGTCGACTGTGGCGAAGGGTCATGGAGCCAGTTTTCCGGAGAAAACTTCCGTGATTTCGGTCAAAGGAGATCCCGCAATCTGAATTGGGAAAGGGAATCCGGTGTCATCTTTCTCCGGCTCGACGTCGAAATGGTGACCAGGAGCGAATGTCGATGCAGGTGGGTCTATGCCTCCTCTATCGACCCACGCTGAGTGTAGGCTTGTGCTGCGCTGCTACCAATCCCCCAGGCAAGATGGTCAAGGGAGAGACAGCCGCGTACTTTGCCTCTCAAGGTCCAGCCTCTCGATATATGGAAATGAGACCTCTCTGATCTGAGTCGCGTCGCCGTTGTTGCCATTTTGCTGCTCTTCTAGTACAGCTCCCCTACAGCCACTCCCATCCGTGTGCGGTCGGTTGTGCGTTTGTGGGTCCAAGGGGCTACCCAGCATGCTCACCGTTCCTGTGGCCTTTGGGTCGGTGTCATGGGTTGAAGCGACGTTCTTGACGAGGACTCTGAGGAAGGGGATGGAAGCCCCGATAATGGTCGCTGAGCTTTCCGCGCAAGACCAGATCAGCAGATCGTAACCGTCCCCTGTGAAGGTCAGACCGACTTTTGAATTGAGTAAAGCAGGGGGCGAGGGTACGGACAAGAGAAGTCTTTGTGTGCCGAATGGCCCATGGTTGGGAGAAAAATCGTTTTCACTATGCCCGTGGTACCGGCCCTGGATGGACGAATGTCAGCGGTGTGCAGGCAGATTGCGCAAGGCGAGGATCATACAAGACGCCCATGCTCATTGCAAGGCAAACCCCAAACTTTTCCCTCTTGTTCATCTGGACCTTCCAGATGATGAACCACGGCAGAATAGCGAGTGAAAAATCCCAGAAAGCGGAGTAGGCTACCAAAGGGTATTAGCAAGCTATCGGCAAGTGACAGGATACGGACTAGATGGATACCTCCTGCGGCCATGGCAAAGCGGATGATGATCATGCCATCATAGCAGGTTCCAGGGAGCGATGGGTTCCAGCGCTTCTCGATCGGGCGGCAGTGCGCATATTGTAAGATGATAGTGATCGTCATCATGAGGTTGCAGGTGACGATGAAAAACCAGATCAGGTACCTCTGCCATGGTTCAATCGCGAAGCGTAACAAGGTGAGTGCAAAGGAAGTTTTAGAGAGTGATAAGCTAAAGACGGTACAGGTCAGGGCATGATCGAGCCAGTAGCTAAGCCAGTATAGGTGCTCGGGGGGGACTTTGACCAAGTGGGCGCCGAGGCCGTGCCTGATAGAAACGGTGAGAAAGGCAATGTACATGATATTCAGGAGCTTGAAAGAGCGTCAGCGATGAACTGCAGGGAACTATAACCAGAATGTTCACTCACCCAGGCAAGGGCGAGAATGTAATCATCCCAGCCAAAACTCTTTCGGTATCTCCATATACAGATGAAGCGCAGGGTCATGAAAATAAAAGCCACCGATGGCATAACCGATACTGTAATCGTAATGATTGGGGCCCGGGTCTCAGCTGGAGAGTACATGGCGACGTACGGGCACGTGGCAGTAGTCCATCAACAACCTTGAGATCTCCATCTGATGGCGCGGTGGGGAGGAAGGCACACGTCTTTTAGAGCTCCCCGGTGAAACTTCGTAGGCGTGCATACGCCGGTCGGATACTATCGTAGAAGTCCCTGTACTTGGTTCGGCAGTCTCTGTATGACGTCGTGGGCAGCGGAGTCTAGTTATGGAGAGTGCAGGTGGCGTACTGTACGGGCCGATGGGTTCGGTAGATAGCAGCTAGCTACCTATGTACTACGGTAGTGCGTGAGCCACAGCGGTCCCAGAATGAGATGTACGGCGGACAAGGTCGCCCAGTACTGAATCCTACTGTCTACAGGTAAGCTACACTTGGGGAGAAGGCGACCATGGCGATCTCCGTACCCACCTTACGGGACGGGCGAGCTAGGCCTATTGCACACCTTCGGAACCTGCCACTCCCAGGTTCGATTGGCCATGCTGCAGCGTGAGTGAGGGTATCTTCACCTAGTGTACGCCCTAACCTCTCCGGTACCGCGGAGCATACAGTATCCAGTACAGCAGGGTTCAAGAACCAAGTACGAGTTGGTTGAGAAGCATCATGAGCGTTGCTTGAAGTGAATCATATTGGATTCAGGAGTGGTATCCAGGTCTTCCTCCTGGTTCCGGAATGAGGATCCGTCAGGCTAGGTGCAATTGGGCAATCCATTGAATTGAAGTGGCAAGAAAGTCTTGGACTATCAGTTTGTTGATTTTGATTTCCGCGATGGCCTCTTGGATGCATCCTCCAACGGCACTTTTAGTCTAGGTCATATTAGCTGACGCCGTAGTGGTTATGATTCGCGACGGTGCATACCTTGTGAGGATGGCCCGCAAGCTTCAACCAGCTTCCATCTCGAGCTTTCCCATTGTCAAAGTTTTGGGAGCTGGATTTAGATTTGGCCACACGTGAAGCTTGTCGGGAGCTTGCAACTGTGGAGCTTGAGCACACTGAGCAAAGCATGCACGTGCCGGGGCTGCCGCACGGACCCTACCGGCAGCACTTGAGGAATCCTTCCCGAGGCCGAAACGAAAATGCGCCAAGGCCAAACTACTGGTGGGACCCAATCCACCCTCCTACCCACCTTCAACCACACCTTCTCCGACATATATCTACACAGTAGAGCGCGTTCCGGTACGGCCGTCCGGAGTCCATCACCATGGGCTGGCTCCTCTACACCATGGCCGCACCGCCCGCCCTCGCCGTGCTCCTGCGCCTTCTCTCCGCCGTCCTCCCTCGCGGCCCTGCCCGCCTGGCCTCCTTCGCCGCCTTCTGCGTGACCTCGGTCGTGTGCATGGCCGTGTGCGCTTCCTACGGCGTCGTGGCATCCATTGTACTGCGGCTGGTGGGCTATGGAGGTCTGAGCCAGTGGACCGTGGCTCGCTCGTTCAAGTGGACCATGTGGTGGACCACGGGCGTGACGTTCCGGGTGTTGGAGAGCAGCAGAGTCGAGGGCGGCAGGAGGGGAGGCCCGGAGGCTTTGGAGACGCGACCGGCCGTCTTTGTCGGCAATCACCAGACGTGAGTCTTCAATATCTACTGGGTCTTGAGATCAGAGGGTGAGCTAAATGCCTATTTTCAGCGAGCTCGATGTCCTCATGCTCGGATGCGTGTTTCCAAAATACATCTCCGTCACCGCTAAGAAATCCCTCAAATACTACCCATTCCTCGGTTGGTTCAGTACGTCGCACCCGCAGCACCCTCTTGCACAACGAGCGCTCTAACCATGTTCTCCTCTTTCAAGTGGCCCTATCCAAGACCGTCTTCATCGACCGCGCAAATCGAGCAACTGCCCGTGCCGCCTTCGACGGCGCCGCCAAAACCATGCGCGAGGAGCGCCAGTCTGTCTTCATTTTCCCCGAGGGCACTCGATCCTACACGGAGAAGCCGGAACTGCTGCCCTTCAAGAAGGGTGCCTTCCATCTGGCCGTCCAAGCCCAGGTCCCTATTGTTCCTGTCGTAGTGGCGAACTATAGCCATGTGCTCGATGTCAAGAAGAGGATATTCAACCCCGGCGTTGTGGACGTGAGCGGTATGTGTATCCACCCCTCTCGTTCAGTAGTGGCGGGATATGAGAATGGATGTAGACTAACATGGGAACAGTCCTTCCACCCATCCCCACCAAAGGCCTCACAACCGCCGACGTGGACGTCCTTACGGTAAAGACGCGCGATGCGATGCTGGATGAACTGATTCGGCTTTCCCACGTCTCCGGGACCGGAAACGCAGTTCCTCTTCCGCGGGCTTCGAAAGCGACAGCAGTCGAAAATGGGGTAGATGGGGTCGAGGGATTGAAGCAGAGATATTGAGATCCGCTTCACATGGCACAAGTCTGATGGTTTTACGAGCAAAACGAAAGCATTAATGAAGCATTAATGAAGCATTGGTTGGTTGTTGAGTCAGAAGAGAGAGAGAGTAGTAGACGCATTTGAAGGGGAAAGTAGCAGTCGTGTTGGATGCGCGGTCTTGGAGTCTTGCATTAGATCTTGTTATCTAGATACCCCGTCAGACGCGCGATGAAGTTTGCATGCACCGACTCTAAATGCACTCATACATTCCATAACCTTGGCAGCCGCATTTCAGCAGCTGAACCTTCAAATCGCTACAGTTGAGCGACACCCGGAGATCTGGCTGGCAATAGTACTGGTACTAGGCAGCCAGGCCTGTGACAAGGGCCATTCGGCAGCTCGCGTATCTAAATTCTTGAAGCGAAGCGCAGCTTGGACAAGCTCTCAGTACAACACGGTTCCTGCACTTTGGCCAATCGCGAAAACGCCAGTCTCTAGAAGCAGAAGACTTGGTCCTCGAGCTTACTCGCCGGCCGCGCTTTGGCGAAACCCAGCGATTCCGTGGCCTTCTTCATGGCGCTGACCATGGGCGGAGGACCGCAAATCAGAATCTTGGTATCCGGCGAGGGTGGCGGGAGTTTCTCCTAGCATTCATTGTCAGTGGACCCGAAACCATGGTATGGGCACAGAAGACCCCTTTAAATACCTTGATCATATCCGCAGTGACGAAGCCCACGCCGCCATCCCACTTCTCAGGAGGATTATTGAGCACATAATACACCCTGAACCTAGCATCCTTGGCCGCCAGCGCATCCAAATCCTCCCTCAACAAGATATCCTCCTCATTCACATTCGCGAAAATGAGGTCCACCTCCGTGACATCGCCCTTCTCGCGGCCGCGAATAATCGCCTTGATGATCTGCAGCATGGGCGTGATGCCCGTGCCGCCCGCGATCATGCCGAACCGTTTGACCATGTTGGGCGTGTAGACCATGGCGCCCTTGGGCCCGCGGACCTTCATCGTCTGCCCCACCATGAGCGAGGCGACGTGCTTGGAGATGTTGCCCGTCGGGTAGGATTTGATGAGGAGGTCGAAGTAGCCCTTGTCTTCGTCCGAGGAGATGGGCGTGTACGAGCGGAGGACGTCGTTGGGTTGGCCCGGGATTGTGGCTGCGAGGGTGATGTGTTGGCCGATGGGGAGGCCGAGGATGTCGGTGGGTCGGGGGAGTTTGAAGCGGTAGCTTGGGAGCAATGGTTAGTGGGAGACTGCAAGACGGGAAAAAGGGGTACAAGGGAATATGGCAGTGTACATGGCTGTGTTGTGCGAGAGGATCGTCTTCTCCTTGAGCTCGAATTCTTTGAACTCTTTGGGGTGGAGGACTTTTCGGGGAGCTGGAGGTGGGGGGCACATAAATCAGCATTCTTGCTCTGGCACGAGGATATGTGGAGATGGGGGAATGTACTGTTGCTGTAGATTTTGTAACTACCCAGCACGGCGGCGAGGGCGACGGCATAGGGTATCCATTCCCTCTTGATGATGGCTACGCCGACGACGAGGAGTGCCGAGGGGATGTACACGCCGTGGACATATTGCGGCGCGAATATACCGGTGGACATGGTGTGGAACTAGGCAATCTGGGGGGAATTGGGGACGGGAGAAAGTCAGAAAAGAGGAGGAATCAGGGCCCTCTTTCAGTGAGACGTGAGAGTCAGAGAAGGCGAGAGAGGGAAGAGAGAATGTCGGTGGTGAAGCTGCAGCGGAGCTCGGCAGTCATCCAGAAAATGATGTCGCCCCGATGAAATTCCCGATCGAGGCACGAGAACCCAGACCCAGCGGGAGGTCTTGGCAGGGCTCCATGATGTACCCCGGCCAGTCGGCAATATCCCCTGATGTTCTCCTCTTCTCCATAGGAAAGGTGAATTGCTAGCAGATTCGAGGGGATTAATGAGCAGGGTCAAGAGATGAGATGAGAAGACACTTGGGACGCTTCAATTTTGCACGGCTACCCCTTCCCCCCTCTCCCAGCCTCGTCCTTCAACCTGCAATGTACCACAGTGGACATCACTCGCCGCAACAACACCGCTTTCACTTCCCAGAAGAAGTGACTATGCTCCCTTCCCACAGTTCTCCCAATTGACCTCAAAGGCGCCGAACCGGTTCCCCTCTGGGTCCTTGAAGTTCATGAACCAACCATTCTGCCTTTCGGCCATCTTCTCCAGCACAGTGCTCCCTCCTAGCTCGTGGACTTTCTTCTCAGTCTGCACATACTGTTAAAACCAGCCTAGCAATCGTTATCAACCTTGGAAACCGCTCACCTCGTCCAGAGAGTCGACAAAATAGTACACCGTCATCCCCACGCCCATGGGTTGCTCGGTGCGTGTACGACCCTCAGGCAGCTTGAGAATACCGCCGGAAATGCCTGAGGCAAGTTAGCTCGCCTGAAGCCATTGTATTGTTGCGGTGTGTAGCGGACCCTTTGGTTCCTCGAACTCGTACATCACCACTCGCTCTTCTGGATAGTCCTTGCTCACAGGTTTGAATTTCCATGCGGGGAAGAGGGCTGCATAGAATTCCTGTAAAGGTGCTCAGCGGATGATCGAGATGGTAAGTTGTTTGAAGAACTCCACTATACCTTGAGCTTGGGGGGATCCACAGACATGATCTCAATCCAGCACGGAGCTCCTCGAGGAGGCCTGGCTTGCAGTGAGCCCTTGGAGTCCTCGGCCGACATACTTATTCGATATATGATGAAACGTCAAGATCTTCTCGAAGCTGCAGAGATGAAGGAGTCGCTCATTCGATTCCGCGTCTTCCATCCCAGCCTTTATATTCGCCAGCTCCCCGCTTTCCAAGCCTTTATATCCGCCAGCTCCCCGCTTTCCAGGCATCACATCCAAGCTGATCCTTCTCATCGTTCTCGACCGCCTTGAATCGCGATCACTAATCACACTTTCCTTTGTTGTCTCGCACATTTCTCTTCCCCCTCTTTGACCGACGAATGACGGTGTCTCGCACACGCAGGTGGCGTTGGCCGCGACGCGTGCCGAGCCCATCATGGCTGAACACGAAACCTACGCGAGGTCACGTCGCTGCATGTTCTTGTGTTGGTTGCACAGCAAATACGAGTTCTATTGTCTTCTGTGCTTTTCCAGAGGGCCGCACTTTTCTTGGAAGTGCAAGTGGTCTAATCCAGCAGTCTGCCTTTGTACAAGCACTCCACTTGTTCCTTCATATGACGCAGAGGGCATGCATTACAAGCGAGGACAACGTCCCAACTTTCTCCTTTCACTTTCATTCCCTCTCTATTTATCAGATTTCCTGGTCCGTAGTCGGATTGGCTTAGTTACCTAGGTCCGTCATTCTCCGCCTTGACCGACCGAGGATTGCCCCAACCGCACAGCCTGCCCGAAATCTGGAGTCCCATCGGGTTTTCAGTTGACCTTCTGTGCCATGGTATACCTGTTTCCGTCACAAGCGCCGTTCGCATTAGCTGTGGCATGGATACATTCCAGTAGTCTTTACCATCAGGGGAAAGGAAGAATCTGCGCAGCACGATCAGCATGGCTCAATACAAAGACCGGCGAAGATGTACAGGAATGCTAGGAGGTGAAGCTGCTGACGGATGAATGAAAGGAGCAGACATACCCACTACTACTATGTAGAGAATCGGTGTTTCATTACCCTTTAGAACGAAAAAGCGCTGCCCACCGAGGTCGCCGTCTCTACGACCTGCGGAATAATATATATGCCAACTTCTGTCAATCTAGTGTATTTCTCGTGAATGTGAGCTATGGAAATTAGTTATTAAGCAACACCTACTTCCTAGGTGTCTAGACCTAACAGTATCTAGTGTTATTGTTGTCCTTCCAGACCGTCTTCCGTTCACTGTTCTTCAACCCCTCAAGCGTCTTGGATCGCGTGATCTGGATATCGGTCCATGTTGTCATAGTCAAGTAGTAGTACCCTTGATTATATACTATGAAGGGATCGCTGCCATTGGGATTCATGAGGGGATTTGTGAAATTCCCAGCATGGGCTCAAGTGCTCACTGTTGTCAGGGCGATGATGATCGAGCGAAGCAGTTACATTCTGCAGAAAGGCGTCGAAGGCACGGCTGCATGGTATGTTCCAAAGTCATTTTTCTTTGGCGGACTTCTTTTATATTCACGATTCTCTCAAGAGTTGAATATACAATTAGAATATACAATTGGTAGTCGACCTACCTAATGCGGACATGGAGTCTGTCTGGGTTCCCACCGGAAAAATATACGGTCGGCAATTTCATATCCTTAGTGCCGGAGATTCTTTTTTTTACCCCTACACATTGGTTTACTTCCATCATCTTCAATTGCACGCTGTTAATTTCCCTGTAGACATGGCACCCCGCGTTTGGTGATCCTTTCCAGAGCAGGTGTTGAGGCTGTTCGCGCATATTCCCACGAGTTGATGGGCGAGTTGATGTATCCTGAATTCCGCTTTGGGTCGTATGTAGGCCTAGTCTAAAATAAATCCCCGAGTTTGTTTCACGCATGTTAAAGCGCGTTTTGAATACCCTGATGGGGCGTTCCTTTAATACCTCCACTTGATGCTTCCACCAAGGAATAATTCCATCCACGCTACCAAGGCAAACAACCCAGGTTAGCATATGTCTTGCAGAGTTACTTAAGCAGACTGGTTCAGGCCTTTTAGGAGATTAACAGCTGCTTGGGCATCTTGTTTCTTCCGAGCAGAGCACAAACAAGCAAAATGCGTGTTTGGACAATCATCTATTCTATTGTGTCTCTGTCCGCGTCGTTGGTTCATGGATATGCGAATCCATTGGCATGTACGGGCGTGTGTACCAATGCCCATGATCCCGCGCTGATCCGCCGCGACGATGGGACATACTTTCGCTTCTCGACCGGCGGGAAGATTGCGATCCATTCTGCTCCGAGCATCACGGGGCCCTGGGTGTACAGAGGCGCGATACTGCCGAACGGGTCGAAGATCAATAAAGCGGGGAACCAGGATCTATGGGTAGGCAGATTTCGCATTCACACCTATGAAACTGTCTTCCTGCCTCATGATCAAATCCTTGGTGGTAGGGTATTAATGAAGTGCTGATTTGATTCCCCAGGCCCCCGACGTAGCCAAAGTAGGAAATACCTACTACCTCTACTACTCAGTCTCCACCTTCGGCGTGCAAGACTCAGCCATCGGCGTCGCGACCAGCGCCTCCCTCGACGCCAACACGTGGACCGACCACGGCAGCACGGGCATCGCATCCTCATCCGGAAAACTGTACAACGCCATCGACGGCAACCTCGCCCACGACGGCTCCAACTACGTCATGTCCTTCGGCTCCTTCTGGAACGGCCTATTCCAGGTGCGCATGAGGAATCCGCCGTTGCAGACCGCGGATGGGGCTAGCAGTGTGAATATCGCGGTTAAACCTGAGGGGGAGCATGCGCAGGAGGCGGCGTTCGTGTTTCGGTATGGGGGTTATTATTATTTGTTTTTCTCGGTGGGCAAATGTTGTGGGTTTGATAAGAGTCGTCCGGCTCCTGGGGCGGAGTATAGGATTCAGGTTTGTAGGTCGAAGAGTGCGGGTGGTGGTTATGTAAGTCTTGCCCCTTCCTTTCCCGGATACTCTTAGATGACTGGATTTCTGATTCTGTCGGATAGGTTGATAAGAGCGGCAAGAAGTGTACGGAAGGCGGAGGCACGACGGTCCTTGAGAGCCACGGGTTCGTATATGGCCCTGGCGGTCAGGGCGTGTTTAATGATCCTAGCTTGGGACCGGTTCTGTACTACCACTATGTCGATACTCGTGTGGGGTATGCCGATGGGCAGAAGCTATTTGGCGTCAACAAGATTGACTTCTCGAGTGGATGGCCGGTTGTATAAGCGGATCTTCTACTTGTATGAATGGCCAAGCGTGCGACGTCACCTGGAATCGACTTTCTGCGAGGAATTCTAACAAATTAACCCCGCATTTGAGTAGTCTGCCGTAGCCATGGATTAATGCTCTTATAAACCACAGTGGCGGACTTGTCTTACTCTTTCGACTTGCTGATAGTCCGTATCACTGCAGTGGAATCATGGCGGTGGTGGCCTAGTGGTGTAGCTATAACTGCCATTCGTCTCTGCGAAAGAACGGCTGCGAATCGGGGGGAATCATGCTGAAGTTCCCAACCAACGCATTTTCGCTTTTTCTTCTGTATCTGATCGGCTTCTGTCGGCCTCTTTTAGTGAACAGTGAAACTGAATTTGAGAGCCGTCAACGGGTGAATGTCTGAATAGGTTAGTGTGGCTTGTGTGCTGAAACTTGCGGTGTTGGACTGAGAAATACGCGGGAGCGCAACCTGCGACAGACAGGATTATTTCGACGACAGCGCGCGACTTGATATGTTTTTTGTTAGTAGACGGATGCAGATAACCGAACAACTGTGTAGGATGGGTTTCGGAGGGAAAAGAGCTGAAACATCCGTACCCTTGGCGCCAGTTGAGCGGAGGAGATTGGATCGTGAAGTTCTGATCCATTCACCACCAACAGCCTCATGCAAAAGAGATATGGCCCGGGTCTGCCCAACTGTGGTTTTTCTCCCGTTAATAAACCTACGAGCTGAGTCTAGTGCGCTATCTCAGAACAAAGAGCGCCTGATGAAACGGAGAGTCCGTTTGTGGAGGACCACCAAGGGGCAATACTCATGAGATGGGCCTTGCACCGCCACGATCCGATCGATCCGCGAAGCGCGCCATCCCCGCCCGTGGCATTGCGTGTTGCGCAGGGGATTAGGCACCCGCCAATGCACTCTGTTGGATATAACCACACATCCACCATGACCTACTTATAGATCTCCAAAGACCTCTCCCCATGCGTGAGGAAACCACTGGTTTATCGCAGCTGATGAGTGCGCATCCACCGTGAACCATGGACACCATTACCGGATTCCCGCGACGGCTCACACAACTCTACACCGACACCAAAGCCTCGTGCGACGCCGTTGTTGAGCAGGACTCTCCCGAAACGCAACCCGAACTGAACGCGCTGCATCGCAAATACCGGATACAAAAGGACCGCCTCATAGCGTGGGGGCTGCAATGGAGCGACAGTGCGAAGGGGAAGCAGGACGACATCGCCGAGAGCGTCGAGCGCGCTGGCTTGACAGAGACCGTGACAAGCGTGCTCGGGACGATTAAAGACATTCTCGACGAGGCCGAGCGCATGCTTCCCACTGGGATGCAAGCGCACGTCAAAGCTGGCATCGATGAGAAGGGCGGAGTGGGTAGTCGGCCATCTGATGGTGCCGCGTGGGCGGCCTCGGACAGGTCACGGTACGAAGACCTAGCCAGGGACCTCACTACCTCCATCGACATTCTGTATGACCTTTCTAGGTCACGAAGAACGGGTTGGGACGATGCTCTGGCTACCGACTCTCCTTCCAAGGCTGAACCCGTTCCACCTCGCCCTGCTTCCTCGACAGCAGTCTTTCTCTCCTCCGAATACAACGCCTCGGATCTGACGTTGATCAATCCTGCCACACAACCTGCCTTCCCGACTGTAGCAGAGGCTTCGCCCGTTCAGAACACACCCCCAAGGCTGTCTCTGTCGGATCTGATCCTGCCCGAAGAGGAGCCACCCCCCTATGAGAGCGTTGGCGTATCATCCTCCACTCGAGTGATAGGCAAGCTACGCTCGCAGCGTAGTTTCACCAACCCCTGGAAGGCGGACGGCAACAGACCTACCGAGATTCCCGTGCTGGTAGAGTATGCTGCATTTGACCCCGTGTATCGTGAGACCCAAGTTCCTCCCCCTATTGACAGATTGGAAAAGCTCTTGTCCATCTTGACTCGCCTCTCTGAGGAGAAAACCTATCATGGAACTCTGAAATGCTTAGGTTACTTTGAGGATCTGAGTCAGGCCCGGTTCGGCCTTGTCTTCGAACTCCCTGCGTTTGTGTACTCTGGCGCGGACGACGCTTCCAAGCCCCTGGAGGATCTTCGACCAGTGACCTTGCTCAGTGTTCTTCAGACCGGATCGAAATCCGAGCACACCTCCACAAGTGTCACTCCCCCTTTAGAGGATCGCTTCCGACTCGCCTTCACACTGTGCCTGGCATTCAACAAGCTCCACCTCGACAACTTCGCTCACAAAGATGTGAACAGCAGTAACATCCTCGTGTTCCGCAAGAGCAGGTGTCATTCTGCGAATAGCAAAGCCTTGCAATATGCTCTCCGCTCCCCGGTCGTCTGCGCTTTTGACCTGTTCTCTGACTCCCACATCACCGCATCCGACTCCACCCAGCCCCAGCCCCTGAATATCTACCGTCACCCCCAGGATCCCATGTTTACAGGAGAAAGAGACAGACAGCATGGCCCGCATTTCGACCTGTACAGTCTCGGCCTCATCCTGCTGGAGATTGGTCTCTGGATCCCCCTCTCGGACCTGTGGAAACCGAAATACACTCTTGCGGATTTCAAACAACGAGTCGAGGAGGTCTACACTCGTCGTTTAGCATCGAAATGTGGAACAGCTTATATGCAGGCGGTTCGGGATTGTTTCTGGACAGCAGACCAGATCGCCTCGGGAGCCGAGGACCCGGAGCACTTCTCGCAGCTCTATAACCGGATTCGGATCAGGTTGCAGAGATGTTGCCTTCTGGACGAGGCAGAGCCGTGCTACGATTTTGACGGCTCACGATCACAGGATACACTTCCTAGCTCGTCGCCACTGAAACGTAAGGGCATCACTGCTCCGGAGGCTGATCTGCCACCAAGTCCATCGCACAGAAGCGCAAAGCGATGGGCGTTCGAGAAGGGAAGCGAGGTGCTAGAGCGGACCAGAACATTATCAAAGACATCACCAAGAAGCTCACCGAACCTAGCCTCAATGTCTCGCCATGGATCAATTCGAAGGTCCATCTCGCATTTCATCAGTCCGCGGGAGGAAGAGGTGTTGTCCCCTCCGGCAGCACAGGACAGAAGCGATGTGTCAGCGGGTAACAAAGAAAGTCGCACCTCACATGCCGAATCAACCGACAGCTTCCGTGGGCCGATGTCTTTCAGAGACTACAGAGAAAAAATCACAATTATCCAGAAGGCTTGGCGACGAAGAAGAGCGAAACGTGCGAGCACCATTCAGACCTTGCTCGCGGTGTCGACGCCTCCGGCCGTGGTAGCATGCCCTCCCGAGCGAGTGACATCATATCCAACACCAGAGCCTGAGGTTGAAACCGAGAACCACACTACGCAACAGCGCAATTACCTAACGTCCATTATCTCCATTCAGAGAGAGATGGACCCCGTCGCACGCCCCAAGCTACGCCTCCAGCCTGTCAAGTTCTCTCCCGCCATGGTCGACGAATGGCACACGACGATGCTCCCTCGGCTGGAGCGCCTTCTCGAACGCGCTCTGAAAGATTCTGATGAGACTATAAGCATCGACCTGGTTGCGATAGGCGAGACTGCGGCGAGTGCGCGACCTACAATATTTGTTACTTGCAGCAGCACAGCGAAGGTGAAGGCGCTTTTGAGTCGGAGGTTCCGCTATGACGAGAGTGTGTATGATCTCAGAGTCCGTCGCGGCAAAGTACGCCGTTCAAAAGTCAATCGCTCGACGCGCCGGAGGAACCCACCACACCGCTCCATGATGAACACCGACACGTACGGTGCAGATATGCCGGTCATGAATCCATGGCACCAGCAGCGTCCCCTATGCGGCGCGTCCATTGGCGCATTTCGAGGCGTACACCTCCCACCAGTCTCATATGGCGGAGTAGTGCTTGTCGACGACGAGCCGATGGGGATGAGTGTCCATCACCTGCTGGATGCTCCTTCCGAAGATGAGAGCGAAGCCGGTGATGGATTCGGCGGCCCACGCCAAGGAGATGCAGTCCCCTCCAGCGCCAGACGAGATATGGACAGCATGCTAGCAGGCATGGGCAGCCAGCCTGGCTTGCAAATGGAGACCGACCTACCGCCGTCCATGTGGGAGCTTGAGCTCTCGGACGACGAACTTGACAAGAGCGACGAGGAAGATGACGCGTCCTTCGACTTTTCCGACTCTCAGTTCGCATCCGACGACGAGTTCGACGACGATGACGATCTAGCCGACTCCATCACGTCTGCAGGTACAACGGGAGACATTGCCGGGATCCCTCTGGGCGAAGGCGACGAGATCAAGATCACTCAACCGGCCATTGACGATGTCGACGACGACTTCTTCCCAAACGAGGAGGACCGAGACGACGATCACCTGTGCTCGCATGAGCTCGGCTACGTCCACGCGTCTTCCGGCATCCGCCGCTGGAATCGGGATGGGATCGTGCACGAGATTGACTGGGCGCTACTGAAACTGAACGAGGACCGTTTGCAACCCTATAACCTCTTGCAGGGTGGAAGGCGGTTCTGCTTTGATTCTACACTCGAGCCGGATCAGCGGGAGATTTCCTTGAAGCTGGAGCAACCGGTGTGTCGACGCCATTACCGCCCCGAGGAGGACGAATATCCGAATGGCATTGCCAGTGCGGATAAGCTGGGCGGGATGAATGTGCACTGCTTTGGGAGAACATCGGGGCTGCAGGCGGGCATGGTGGGCGCTGCTATGAGCTCTGTCCGCATCTACCGCCGCAAGACATTCTCCAGGAGCTGGCATGTCGAGGGCGACTTTGGCAGTAAGTTTCTTGGACACCGCAGCACGCACGCGAGCAAGCAAAGAGGCTAATGAATACGGCAGTGGGCGGCGACTCGGGCGCTTGGGTGGTGCAGAACGGGACGCACCGCGTCGTAGGCCACGTGCTTGCATGGTGCGAGCGCAATCGGATTGCCTACATCTGCCCGATGGAGGTGCTGTTCGAGGACATGCGGCGCACGCTGGGAGCCAAACGGATCTACCTGCCCGGCTCGGCAGAGGAGGCGCAACACGCCGCTCGCGTTCGTGGTGGAAGACGTTGTGTCGAGGATGCCGACGGCGGCATGGGACAGCTCGAAGCGGCGGTCGAAGGGCTGGGGATCGTCGACTCTGCAGTCGATATGCGGGATGCGCTGCAGGGAAAACGTGGGAGGGTGGAGCTTCCGCTGCTCAACACTGGCGGGGAGTCGGACAAGGAAAATGTACCCGTGATGAGGAGCAGGGTCATCAAGGTGAGGGAGGGCCGGGGCGGGCAGCTGGGGGTGGCCTGAGAGGCGGATGGCCATGACGGAGGCAAGGCATATCTGCTGTATATCCTGTCGCCCATGTACATATGTCTACCGTTGATCAATACGCTGAAATAATTACTACCATTCACTGCCAGGAACGGGTCTCCCTGAGAGTCTATGTGGTACGGGTCGGACCAGCGGCGGTGCGGATGTCGTGCATCTAATGTACCTATAGGTAGGTACTCGTGTATATATACTTATATGCGATTTATATTCCAGGGTCCCGAGAGCGTGGCGATCCTGTTGCGGCGGCGGTTGGGATGTACCATAGTACCAGTGAGCAGTTCCCAAGCTCATATACAAGCCATGGTTCCCCGATTGGGCCCTGATGCAGGCGGCGCATTATTGGCTGAGGGTATTCGGACATGATATCTCAGGCACTCTGAGCGGACTTGGAGTTTCTCTGACGCACACATCCACCGCTGCTCTCTGGGTGACGCCGGCGAAGAAGGAGCCTTCACTCAGACGCGCGACACGTGTATCAAAATCCCACCTTTTCCACTGTTTCTGCGTGAGGGAACATGGCATGGCCGCATCGAAGAAGTGTTGGGCGGCACATGGAGATGTATTATGCCGTGCATATGTTGGCTTCCCCGCACCACACACGGTCCACCCCACACACTTTCACACCTTCAAACGGCAAAAGACTGGCACGCGTGACTGAGGCACTTACATTCACATCTCAGCAGGGCGAAGCGCGGCCGGGAGAAAAACCAGGTACCTGATCCTCCTCTGCCCTCTTATGTAGTCTACTTCTGCCCAGTCCCCTCCTCTACTTGAATCGACCGCCGTCGTCGCGCCGGCACGCCTCCCCCAGCAGATCCGATCAGATGCGGGTCCCCGCCGCCGCTTCTACTCCACCACTCTCTAGGTTGTGACACCGTGACACGGGCTCGTGCTAGCTGCCCAGCATGAGCGCCTCCCATAATCTCGTGGGCTTGCGGGTGGCCGCTTTTGGAGTCCAGAGACGCCCGGCCTTCGCTGCTTGCGCTTTTCGGGCGATTCGAGTCACCACACGTGCATTCACCTCAGGCCGACTGGAGCAACGCCAACCACCAGCCATTCTAAGCTTGTGTCCCCCCAGGCCACTACATCTCCAGAACCACATCCGGAAAACGTCCTCTACCGCTATTGTCCGTCATGCCTCTCAAGCACCCGATCCGCATGAACACGACGACGAGTTCCCCACCTCGCCCCCATTCACCGCTGGTCCCTACTCCACCCTCACCGTTGGCATCCCCAAGGAGAGCTACCCCGGAGAGCGTCGTGTTGCCATCACCCCGCAGAACGTCAAGCTCCTGCTCAAGAAAGGTTTCTCTCAGGTCTTGATCGAGCGTGGAGCCGGCCTGGAAGCCCAGTTCACCGACGAAGCCTACGAGCAAGCAGGCGCCAAGAACGTCGACCGCAGGACTCTCTTCGCAGACAGCGATATCCTACTCAAGGTTCGTGCTCCCAGCATCGATGGGCCGGACAGCGAGGTCGACGCCATGCGCGAGGGCGCTACCGTCATCTCATTCCTCTATCCCGTACAGAATAAGGCGGTCGTAGAGAGACTGTCGTCCAGGAAAGCCACCGCATTTGCTATGGATATGGTACCGCGCATTTCGCGTGCTCAGGTAGGATTTTGTCGTCCTTCCCCTCGACTTTGAGAATCCATGGCTGACGAAATGTAGGTTTTTGATGCATTAAGGTATGCAGCTCTCGCAGGATATGCTGTCTACTCTGCTGTTCTAACTCTTGTAGCTCAATGGCGAACATTGCTGGTTATAAAGCCATCTTGGAAGCCTCCAATCACTTTGGTCGATTTCTCACGGGTCAGGTCACCGCTGCTGGAAAGGTGCATTCCTCTGAGCCTAATTTCATGGTGATATAGTCTAACGCATCCCAGATACCCCCTTGCAAAGTTCTCGTTATTGGCGCTGGAGTTGCTGGTTTAAGTGCAATCGCCACTGTAAGTACACAGTCACACAATTCACCACTATCTACTCTCCTGACAGCCGATGCTAGGCCCGACGTATGGGAGCCATTGTACGCGGCTTTGACACTCGCTCAGCCGCCCGCGAGCAGGTTCAGTCTCTCGGAGCCGAGTTCATTGAGGTAGAACTCAAGGAGGAAGGCTCAGGAGCTGGAGGCTACGCAAAGGAGATGTCCAAGGAGTTCATCGAGGCTGAAATGAAGCTGTTCCACGAGCAATGTCGAGAAGTCGACATTGTCGTCACTACCGCCCTGATCCCCGGGAAACCCGCGCCGAGGCTGATTACGAAAGCTGTGAGTTCGGGTATCTCTGTATCACGGCAGTGTTTCTGATATTGTTCCAGATGTTGAGCTCGATGAAACCAGGCTCCGTTGTCGTAGATCTTGCTGCCGAGGCCGGCGGGAACTGCGAGGCTACGGTGCCAGGAAAACTCTCCAAGTACGAGGGCGTGACCGTTATCGGTATAAGCAATTCTTCCATTTCCTCAGCACGTTACTGAACCTATGCAGGATACACTGATCTCCCATCTCGCTTGCCTACTCAATCTTCGACTCTGTACTCCAACAACATCACCAAGTTCTTGCTTTCTCTGCAACCCCCGGACAAGAAGGAAAAGTACTATGATGTGGATCTCAAAGACGAAGTCACTCGTGGTGCCATTGTCACATACAATGGCAAGGTTCTTCCTCCGGCTCCTCGACCTGCCCCGCCACCTGCACCCGCTGCAAAGGCCCCATCTCCCGCGGACCAAGTTGCTAACGTCGTCCAACTCACACCTTGGCAGGAGCAAAGTCGCCAAGTCGCCACGGTCACGGCCGGAATGACTGCTGCACTTGCCTTGGGCAAATATACCGGACCCATGTTCATGGGCAATGCCTTCACCTTCGCACTGGCCAGCCTCATCGGTTATCGAGTCGTCTGGGGCGTCGCCCCCGCCCTGCACTCTCCTCTCATGAGCGTGACCAATGCAATCTCAGGCATGGTAGGAATCGGAGGTTTCTTCGTCATGGGCGGTGGATATCTGCCGGAAACGATTCCCCAGACTCTCGGAGCACTGTCCGTTCTCCTTGCCTTCGTCAACGTTTCCGGTGGCTTCGTCATCACCAAGCGTATGTTGGATATGTTCCGGAGACCTACGGATCCTCCAGAGTACCCGTGGCTCTATGCAATTCCTGCCCTTCTTTTTGGTGGCGGGTACGTTGCTGCAGCTTCCACAGGTATGGCGGGTCTCGTACAAGCTGGCTATCTCGTTAGCAGCATCCTCTGCGTGAGTTCCTTGTCCGGATTGGCCTCTCAAGCGACTGCCCGTCGTGGCAACATTCTGGGTATACTCGGTGTCTTTTCTGGTATTCTGGCTTCGCTCCTCGCTGTCGGCTTTGACACGGATGTCCTGGTCCAATTCGGTGCTCTCGCCACGCTTGGTACCGTTGCTGGAATGGTCATCGGCCGTCGCATCACACCCACCTCCCTGCCGCAAACTGTGGCTGCCCTCCACTCCGTCGTAGGTCTCGCCGCCGTTCTCACTAGCATTGGCAGTGTCCTTGGGCATTCCGGCGTGGAGATCTCCGCCCTGCACATGGTCAGCGCCTATCTCGGGGTGTTGATCGGCGGCGTGACCTTCACCGGCAGCATCGTTGCTTTCCTGAAACTGGCTGGCAAGATGTCCTCGAAGCCTCTCGTTCTCCCTGGACGCCATCTAGTCAATACGTCTCTGCTTGGGATGAACATGGCGACCATGGGGGCGTTCTTGACCATGGCTCCTGGGGCGCCCCTGATAGGTGCGGCGTGTCTCGTGGGGAACACGGTGCTCAGTTTCATCAAAGGATATACCACGACGGCGGCGATTGGCGGCGCCGATATGCCCGTGGTGATCACGGTGCTGAACGCGTATTCGGGTTTCGCCCTGGTCGCCGAAGGATTCATGTTGGATAACTCCCTTCTGACGACCGTCGGCGCGCTGATCGGCGTATCGGGCTCCATCCTCTCGTACATCATGTGCGTGGCGATGAACCGATCATTGACGAACGTGCTCTTTGGCGGCATCGTACCGACACAGCAGAGCCAGGCCAAGATTGAGGGTACCGTGACGAAGACCAGCGCCGAGGAAGTAGCAGATGCCCTGATCAATGCGGAGAATGTCATCATCGTGAGTGTACCTCTCATTGCAAATCTATGTATATCTGACTTTTTTCCCCCCTCCAGGTCGTCGGCTACGGCATGGCCGTCGCCAAAGCCCAATACGCCATCTCCGACTTCGTCAAATACCTGCGCGCCCGCGGCGTCAACGTGCGCTTCGCCATCCACCCCGTGGCGGGCCGCATGCCGGGCCAATGCAACGTGCTCCTGGCCGAAGCGTCGGTGCCGTACGACATTGTGCTCGAGATGGACGAGATCAACGACGATTTCGGCGACACGGACGTGACGCTCGTGATTGGGGCCAACGACACGGTGAACCCGATTGCGCTGGAGCCGGGGAGCAGCATCGCGGGCATGCCGGTGCTGCATGCGTGGAAGAGCAAGCAGGTGGTTGTCATGAAGAGGGGCATGGCGAGCGGGTACGCCGATGTGCCGAATCCGTTGTTTTATATGGAGAATGCCAAGATGTTGTTTGGGGATGCGAATGATAGCTGTAATGGTGAGAGACTTTCTTCTTCTTCTGAGATTGTTGGGTGAGAATGGGGCTAACGAGATGTAGCTATCAAACGCGCGTTGGAGGAGAGGAAGTAGGGGTGAAGTAAGTGGTTGTTGCAAAGGTCTCGGAGGGGCAGTCTTTTGATGTATATGAAGAAGGTAGAGTGTGGCATATGGCCGATCTCCATACATATACAGGGCTATGTCGGGGATTCCATTTCCACCCATACTTTGGCATATAAGAAATGTATAAAGAGTTCCTTGGATATACCAGAGTATACCCTGTTCGATTGACCCAGAGACGAAAGGAAAAGAAAGGAAAGCGTTTGTTTACTCTGGCGAGAACTACAACAGATGACCCCAGAAAACACAAGCTCATTAGGTACCTCTGAATCCGCGAAACCCCAAACTCCTTCCGTTTCCCACCCTTCCATCAATCCGTCCATCCACCCCTCCATCCTCACTAACCCTCCCCTCATCCAATTACTCCCCCTCCTCATCCAATTACTCCCCCACTCATCCAATTACTCCCCCTCCTCATCCAACTACTCCCCCTCCTCCACTTCCTTCCTTACTCTCCCTCCCCCTCCCCCTCCCCCTCAACACCAACCCTAACCTCCAAAACATCCTTCCCTATCCCACCCCCAACCCTCAGCATCTCCAGCACAGCCGGCCAATTCCTCTCCGTAACGACCGTATACTCGGGCCACGCTTTCCGATCGCGCCCGCTCGCCGCCCAGTGGATCCGGAGTTCCTCGATCGTCCGGGGGAGGCCTGCGGTGGGGCTGTATTGGGCCATGACTGTTTTACATAGCGCCCAAGTAAGTAAGTAAGTAAGTAAGTAAGTAAGTAAAGTGGACTTGGCGTCAATGAGGGCTTTGTAGGGTGTGGTGGGGGATCTCATCCAAGGGACCAACGGACCGAGAGATAGGAAATACTTGTAAGATAATAGGAATACTTGAAGGAATACCGTACATACACTCCTTACAATTCGGACTCCCCTCCATGGCGGCCACGATCTGCTGATTCAGGCACTTGAGCGAGAGCTTGCTGATGGTGTCGACCAGAATGACTTCGTGCCGGTTGCTGGGCGGCAGCGTGAAGAGGAGCGGGATGCTGCTTGCCATCGCTTTTGTTTCGTTTCTGGCTTTACGTTTAGTACGGAGTAGTTGTCGTCGGAATTGTGGGTCTCCCCGTGCTATCTGATCCGTGGATGCGCCGCAGGACTTATAGATGTGTTCACCCAAGTACGTCATCGCCTCCATCGAGCTGGCTTTGTGAGAGATGGGAAAGGCTTGGCGCCCATCGAGCTCAAGTGGCGTACCACGTCTCCAGCTACGCGTGCAAATAACAGAAGTAATCGCAATTCTGACCTGGGAAGGTATCGAGGACACCAGAGGATGGAGATTTCATCTGATTGTCTGATATACACTATTCCTCCCAAGAAAAAATCCAGAACCCATGCTACTGGCCCAACTCCCTGAAATCCTCCAGATTAGAGGAGACAGATAATCCCTAAAAGAACAGGCCCAGGTCGAAGCGTTATTATGCTCATGGCCGACTGATCGCTGCTAGCAGCGATGTAGAGAAAAGAGAAAACAAAGCGGAGGGTATTCCATGATGCAGTGCCCATATACGCGCCCATACCCATGCCGGAACTCCGAGATGCTAAAGGAGGATTCCTCGCCATTTGTTGTTTGTGCGAATTCGATACAAAGGGAAAGGCGATTGGCATCGACCCTGCTGATATGCGAATCGTCTTACGCGGTGACATTCGCCACCATCTGTTGCCAGTGAGCCAGTTCCCGGCTCAGATTGTCCATCATCTCCAACGTGCTCAGCTTTCTAAACTCTTCCAGTTCGTCCGGTTCTCCAGGACTTTGTTCCGCCGAGTTCTTGGATGGCAGCTGCACCGCCGGCAGAGGGAGGCTCTTCTCGACTGCAAGTTCCACCTCCCGTTGTGCAATGAAGCTTTGCATGGCGCCTGCAGGCCTTTTTATATCGTTCCAGGAGAGCTTATCGAAGCGTCGGTTCTTCTTCGTAGGCTTCTGCCCACTTGTTCCGTCACTGCTATCGTTGTTCACACCGTTTGTGCCGCCCGTCTGAGGGGAATTGGGGCAGTCTCCATTTGTCGGAGGAGAGGCTCCATTTGTGGTAGTCGACTGACCGTCTTTGCTATACTGGTTGCGTCCGAGCCGGCCTTGACGCTTCTGGCCCGGTCTTCCGGTTTTCCTAGGAGCAGGTGCCGGCTTAAGGTCGGCAATGGGAGTCTCTGGTGGGGCGGATGCAGAGGGGGTCGGCGCGGGGGGAGGCATATCCTCACTTGGAGCAGCCTCTATTGCTTCCGGTTCTGAGAACGTTAGTTTAGCACCTGACAGTATCTAATATGACTTCACGTACCTTCCTGCTTTCTCCGCTCAGCTCTGCCTTTGCGTCGATTGGCAGCTTCTTGCCGTTCACGTTCGCGTTCCTTTTCGCGAAGCTCTTTCTCGCGCTTGCTACGGGCGGCCGCCCCACGCGGCTTTTGTTTCGTGGTGGTATGTTTGTGGGATTCGTCGTCCGTTTCAACGGCAGGAGAGTTGCTTGCGGATCGGGAGCCTGTTCGCTGCCGTTTGACCTCCGGTTTGACCCTGAACAAAGCTTGTTAGCTAATGGCGACTTTGATTACAGGCGACAAGACTCACTCTTCGCTGTCGTCGCGGCTCCTCTTTCTTCGGCTGCCATTCTCCGACTGTACCGCTGGTCCTCCCTCGTGTTTACTCTCCTCCAAGACCTTCCTCAACACTTCGTCTTCATCATATGCTGCCCGACTGTTCATTGTGGATCGGCGCTTGCCCAGGGAGTCTGCGTTTGGCCGCGCGTTCCGCTCCTTTTCTCGCCCCGATCGCGTGTCGGCGTCCTTCGGTGACGCCCTTCTGGTTTTTCCATGCACAGATTCATAGAAGGGGAGGTAGCGCGAATACTTCTGTCTGTTGGCCACACTGTCAGCACGAAAGACGCAAAGGCTATATACGTATAGAAGGGCGAAAGCGGGGCGGTGTAGTAGCTCTAAAGAAACCGCAGTCAAGGACATGGAATCAGGTACGCACCCTTTAGAATCCGTCATCACCTTGTGTAGGTCCCTCCGACACTCCTCACAGAAATAGTTATCAGGACTGGACGCCTCATTAGGAATGCCAACACATTGACCATGTTGCCAGACGTGACCTAGAAACGGGTTAGCACACTGTGATGATGTGACAATTTCGACCGTCGAGCCAGGACTAGCGAGCTTTCAACCGCCAGCTCCGGAGATCGGGTGCGTGTTGAGACGCTCTCGTGACTATTCGAGACGACACTTACAGATATCGCACTGAATGAACCATGCAGACTCATCGCTCTGAGCAGCAGCGTCGGCCAGGGGACCGTCCTTGGACCTGCCACCCACAGACGGTGGGCCTGGGTATTCCAGGAAAGTGCACACACAGCGTGTGACTTCCTGCTCGTCTTCCTCATCTATGAGTGTGTCATCCACGTTCGGTGAGTCCGGTTCGTCGGGTTCCTGCTCGCGGGTGCGACGGCGGGTGAGCGGCGGCGCGTGCAGCTCCTCGGAAGAGAGGGAGCGGGAACTGTCCTTTTGAGGAGAAGACTGCTTGTTACCAGTTGCCCTCATGGTCCGCTCGGGTCGAGTTGATGATGCCAGAGAGGAGATGGTGTTGGAAGCGTTCTGTGTGCGCGGCGGCAGGTTTGTTGGTCGAGCCCTCGATGATCTACGAGTGGACATGGGAGCCAGATGGCAGCAAAGAGGAGTCAATTAAGTGCGATAGGAGCGCTATGCGAGGTAGCGTGCACTCCCAGCGCAGAAGGAGGAGGAATGATGGGTGACGGAGGGCTCGCGAGTGCGGAGAGGAGGACAAAAGCTTGACGGGCGAGAGCTTCACAGTGCAGAGGCAGGTTGTATTGGTGTGAGCAGATTGGCCTCGCTGCGTGTAAGAAGCATGGTAGACTAAACGACACGGCTCGATAGAAGGTGTGGGAGCAAGTAGACGGGTGGTGGTGGGAGCGAAGAGTGAGGGTTATTAGTCGCTGTGCGTGGATTCAGAGCCGTGAGGGGGGCCAAGAGGAGATTCGCGCGTGCGGGTTCTCGAGGACCGCGGAATGGTGCGAGTCACGTGATTGCACTGCTCTGCTTTGCTCTGTCGGAAGCCAAGGTCCGCTCGCTGGAGCCATAGCCAGATGGGGATCGAGAGCAACGACATTTCTCCGATTTGGGAAACAGAATAACCGAGAGGCTAGGTTAAGAGTTCTGAAGACGAGCGACAAAAATAAGGAATGCAACAGAAAAGAGAGAGAGAAGGGCAAGTTGCAAGTGGCAGCGGTGGAAGTGGTCCAGGTGAGAGGGCCAGTTCCAAAATGGAAGGTTCTCCAAAAAGATCTAAACTAGCCTGTTTGAGGTTAAAGTAATGTAACTACCGCTTTAGGAAGCTGTTGCGTCATCGCGTCGAGCGTAGTGGAGGAAAACGAGTACACAGCAACATTCTCACTCCACCAGCTTGAACTGTTGCATTCATGTCTTGAATTGACGACCTAGAATTCTCTTCCTTGCTGAGTAACGCAAATCAATGACCACTTCTTTAAGCACGTCTTTGGCTTGCTGTGGAAGGAGTCACGAAATGTCGTGAGCCAGGCAAAGGCTACAGCCACATATCAGGAAGTCTATCTTCATCAACATCATGAGCAGCGCCAGAACTAAGTCCACGTTTAGACTGCTATAGTAGCTCATTTCTTCCCACGACCCTTCTTGTTGAAGGTTTTGAGAGGGTCGACCTTCCCGTTTCTTGCCCTTACCACCCTTCCTTTCCGCTTCACTATCCTCCGCTTATCCGTCCTCTCTTTCTCCAATCCCACGAAGCCTATATCTTCCGGTTTTCTGCCTCCCGGTAACAGGTAATCTGGCACATGTTTCAGGTGCGACTGAATCCGCGCTGGGTGGTGTAGAACCTGATCGTGCCGTAGCTGCTCTGCTGTCTCTGGGTTCTCCTCGAACTGATTGCCAGGTTAGACTCAATAATGGCGCCCATATGGCCTGGACCACTCACATATCTGCTGAGCTTCTGGCTCTTCAAAAGCTCACTCCGCAGCTCCTTGACTCGCGCTTCTCGAACCGCAATCCGGGTAACGGCTCGCAAAGCATCAGCAAATCTATACCGGAATGGCTCCAGCTTTTTCATGTCGAAGCCGTAATCCTCCAGTTTTTGTCCATCTTTCTGGTGCTTCTCAATCTTTCGCAAAACCTCCTCATCGTTCTCGCACTGCGGAATCGTGGTGGGTTTGTGTTTCCGGTATTTCTCCTTTGGGATAACGAAGCTTATAGCAGTGCCAGATTTACCTGCGCGCGCGGTGCGACCTATTCGGTGGAAGTAGGATTTATAGGAGGTGGGGAGGTCAAAGTTCAGAACTACCAGTCGTCAGAACGGGTTCTCTCAGGAAAATCGACAGGAAGGGTAGGATCTTCCATATCGCATTGACAATGGTATGCTTACCATTGGACACGTTGAGAAAATCGATTCCCCGGGAAACACCTGTGTCTTGCTTGCCCCCTTTTGCTTTCTTCTTCGGTGGCTTAGAATCATCCTTCTCCCTCGCCCCCAAGATCTCGTTCTCGTCCGAAGCAATCAAAATGTCGTAGATGTTCTTATTGAATTCCTCGACAATATGGAGACGAGATGTCAAAGGAAGTTCCGAGTTCAGGACGCAGCTTTTGATGGAGAACTGTTCCAGGAAGAGCTTGACCCTGTATGACCGTTCAACGTCTGCAACAAACACGATGGTTTTTCCCTTAATCAGCTTTAAGAGGAATAGCGCGTATATCAACAGAAACTTCTCCTCTTCCCCGCATTTGATTACATATTGTTTAACACGTTGCGAATCGTTTTCCGAGTCGTCTAGCTTGAGAATGACGGGGTCACGACAGAGGAGGCCGCTAAGTGTCTCGAGTTCGGTGTTGAGTGTAGCACTCATGAGGCTATGGCGCTGTCAGTATAGTCCAGCATCTCCGGAGGAGCAGACTGCTTACAAAACCTGTACACCTTGAGGGATGTTTCTCGCAATGTTTTCTAGATCCTCTTGGAAGCCATAACCCATGACAAGATCTGCCTCGTCAACAACCAAGTGAGCAAGATTCTTCAACGAAAGCGCTCCATTGTTCATGTTCGCATTTGCACGGGCTGGCGTGGCCACGACAATATCCGGAAGCTCGGCGAGCTGTGCGCGCTGCACAACTGCCGATTCCTTGCCCGCTATGTTCTGTACCCTAATGCTATCGCCGCAATGAGCGGCCAGCGACTTTGCAACTTTTGTGATTTGGGAGGCCAGTTCCTTTGTCGGCGTAAGAATGAGGGCGGAGGTTTCGCGTTGATTTCGGCGGAGTATATTGTGCAGGATGGGGAGAAGATAGGCGGCGGTCTTCCCAGTGCCAGTACCCGAACGACCGAGAATATCTTTTCCTTCGAGCGCTAAAGGGATAGCCTTGGACTGAATAGGTTGCGGAGCAGCCCATTTCTAAGGGAGAGGAGCGTAAGTCAGTATAAGCGGTCCGACTGTGGTTAAGGTTGGAAGGCTGCGTACCTGGTCCCGGATTCCTCGGAGTAGTCTAGGCTCGAGTCCGAAGGACGCAAATGTGGAATCTGGCAAGGGAGGCTGCTCGGTAGCTTCGGGCACATCGTGCTCATTCAATTTGCGCTTCATGGCGGGCATTTTAGCGGTGTTGGTTGGACTTGCTGGGAGCGTTTCGCAACCACAACTTTTCTTCCGAGTGCCCAGAGATATCACTATTTCTGGCTTAGCGCGCCCCGCGCGGAACAACCTCGGAACCATCTACCTCAGCCCTTGTCCCTCAGCGGATGTCGATCATCGATGTTCGAATTATCATTTGTCTTCCCCAATTGCGAATACACTTCTACGTTATGGCGTTGATCCTTTTGATAGATAATACCCCGTTCTCTACTCCGTACCAGCCCCAGACGCTGCCGAGGGTCCGGTTTGACATGTCTTCATACCTATGAATGCTGGCAGACCTCATGAGCTGGCTATTTGTTCCAAGTCGACAAAACCTTTGCTGCTCCGTTCCTAACTGTGGTCAGAATACAAGCAGGGCTGCCACTGTATAACTATATACACTATCACATAGCTTAGTCGAAGTTGCTGATGGGCCAAATTCTTTCAAGCAAATATTCGAAGCGGGACAAAAAGATAGTCTTGGTAAAATGAAAACACACGGGGCGATACAGTCCACGGGACTGCTGGCACGACGAAAATGCAAATATCACGAAACCAGAAACCCTCCTGCAATTTATTGTCCACCCGCATGTTACCCTAGTACAAGGAGACCGAAACCAGATCTGCATCATCCAATTTGAAGCGAAAAGAAGACAGGCTCTCTGCACCCAACCGAGGAAACTCGAGCTGTAGACTCAGCATTGCCATCGTTATGGCCGAGCAGGCAACGTATGTGAAGCAGGAAAAAACGTATATCAAGTCGCAGAACATCCGAACGTATTTCTGGCCATCACTCAGATTCATAAAAGTCCTCTTCCTTCCAGTAACGGATTAGCTTCGACATGTGGTGAGGACTGACTTTGCCAATTTCTTTCACTTTGACATTCCATGCAACGGGGTATGTCATTCCGAACCGAAGTCGCGAGGTTCGATGCATGGTCGCCTGCGGATCAGTTCGCTCAATCTCAATTGGCTCCTTCTTCATCCCTTTTTCGTACTCGCCGTCAAGGTAGCACTGGTCGGGATCTGTCCCACGAAAATAGACGATCGTATGTTCGGAAGCCTTGCAGCCCGGTTTGAGCGTGCCCCTCTTGGAGTATGTTGTTATCGGACTGATGGTCAGTGCAGGTCCTCCGAGATGGCGCAAACTTACCAGACGTAGACAAAGTGAGCATCTTTTTTGACCCTCATTATTACGAATCGGCGTATATTCGAATAGACGAATTCACCTGGAAACCTGCCCGGCGTGTAGTCGTGCGAAGGTTTCTGATATCTGTACACCGTGCCATCAGGGGCAGCTTGTCGTGCAGCAGTCTCAGAAGCGGCCTCAGCCCATAACATGGAGAACACACGGCCCTTTACAAAGAAGTCGTGCGCTTCTTGACCAGTCCTCATCTTGTAACTCGGATCTAGGGGCTCAACCCAGCCTCGTTGAGGAGTGCCTTCGATAAGACCTGGAACTCGCTTGTTTTCCGGGACCGCCGGCGGCATAGCAAACGGGTTGACATGAGGCAGAGAAGGAGGGAGTACATTATTACTGGGCAGAGTAGGAAAGGCGGAACTCGTTCTGTATTGCGGAGAGTGTTGCGTTGCGTCAGGTACATTCCCTGTATAGCCATTGGTAAGGAGTCCGCTCTGAGGCGCCCCATATGCACGGTTCTGACTTTGGTAGGTTACGGATAAGTGCTGCACATGGCTGGAAGGCGTCTGAACTGGAGGCTGTTGGGCGCCTTGCTTGCTCCAGATATATATTACCCTGCCTAATCCAGTGAGCCAAACATTAACGGGTTCCTAGGAAGCCGACTCGGCAAGCTATTGCAACATACCAAATGGATCCTTCATGGCATAGTACCAGTCGGCATGCTCTTCGCTCCAGGTCCACCCGTTGTTTGAAGCCATCGTGCGCTATCATCCAACCGGTCCCTGCTCCCAGAACACTGGACAGGAGCCACGAGTTATACTACTAGCCTGTTGCCGAGAATTTGCGGCTCTGCAATTGCGAGCTTCTCAGAGGCCAGCCGGAGCACATGTGTGCGGGGAGGGTGTGCTGCAAGCGGAGGAGCATGGCTGCAGCCCCTCATTCACCCCACAGATGCATGCTGTAGGGTGCATGTAGTTGAGGAGCATTAGGGCAGGGCCTGCTCAAAGAGCTGAGGAGTGTGACTCCGTTCCAGGGGTGGTTCGATGGGAGAGTGGCTTGATAAGCCAAGCGAATCGTGTTCAGACAGTGCAAGGGCCTGGCCATCTATTCAACCAAACTTCCAGCCTTGCAGGTCGCGTCGTACTTACGTGCCGGTAATACCGACAACACGGTTTCAGTCAGACGGAATCCCACATATCCGCCAGCACTGCGTGTTGCACCAACTGCCCTCTCATATGCCTTGATTCGCGCCCCGCAGCCCTCATAGACTACTTATCGTGCGTACGGACTGGCTCAAGTCCACGTCGCTGCACTCTGCAGCGCCATCAACCTTCAGTACCTCCTTCGATAGCCCAGACTGGGATCTGCTTCATCCGGTTGCGTTGCGAATAGCGAGCACGTCTTATAGGTCAACACGTGTGCTGCTGCTGATTTGGCTCACGTCTCTCGTCGTGTCAGCGTTTCACAGAAAGAGCATGGCTGAAAGCCATTCCAGCCGAGGAGTTTGAAGAGGAAGATATTGGAAACCCATCAAGAAGCGCATCAAGATTGATTGTTTTTCCTTGACCTGTCTCCAAACGACTTCAGTTCGCCATCATCGGTGGAGGCCGTGCGTTTGATGATGATGCTCACCTCGACGAACGGAACCCAAATCACAAATAAACCTCGTCATGCCGTACGATGGCACCATACCCGAGGCAGGCCGGTTTCCTCTATCGCAGATAAGGGAGCAACTTCGACACATCTCCCAAAACCAGGAGAACTTGAACGATGCAAGGGAAGAACTTCTTGTTGAGCGCTCCGCGGTTCAATCCCGTGGGAAGCGATTACGCGCGCAGCGTATTCGCACTCGAAATGCAGAGGCGGCTTTTATGACAGCCGCTCGTGACTTCTATAAGGAGGCGGGTTGTGCCTTCCCCCTCGCTCTCTCTGCCGCCTATGAAACGGTAAAAGCGGAGGACGACAAGCTGGGCACCATGGAAGTCGAATACTCTGAGAAGGAAGAGGCCCTGGGGGGAAAGGAATGGGAGTTCAGTGAGCAGGAGACATCCTTCTATCAATATGACCTCCAAGAGCTTATTGGAAGAACCCTTACTTATGAACACGACTATGACGGGAAACAAGCACCTCAGACTGATGCGAACACCACCCTACCGCTGCTTCTCTTCTGTCAGTTTCAGGAGACGGTATCACGGCATGGCCAGTTGATGAGGCGTTTTAACGCTTTGCGAGACCGCCAGGCTGGGCTGCTGGAAACCCGAGATGATCTAACCCTGGAGTCGCCCTACGTGCGTTTTTTCGACGAATACAGTCAGATATTGTCCGATATCATGGATTGCGATGTCAAGATTGGTCAGCTGAAGCAGGAGTTAATGCGTCATGGTATTCCAGCACCCATGATCTTATCACCGGGTTCCGCCGCTTCCCTGGATTGGGAGAAACTGCAGAAGCAAATGCCGCCAAACTCTCTTCTCGATGGATCGGTGCCGAACTCCCTGTATGGCTTCCCAATAAGTAGTCGGGTTCCCGAGTGGTTATTAAGCTGCATGAAAGGCAGTGCTTTGGAAAGAAGAAGCTTTCTTAACATTCTGGAGGAGAGATTGGGCCTGCCGGAAGGGTCTCAGACGCAATACGACTGGTGGGACGATTGTGTTACTCGGCTGTGGCTTTCAGACAGCAGTGCCCACTTCATCCAGCCTGAAGAAGACCTACGGTCTCCAACAGAGGAAAGTGGGCAGTACAAAGACGTCAAAATTGATCGGACGCTGGGAGTAGAACCTATACGCCAGCAAGAGCATGTGGAACCCCTGCGTCTCTTAGTACCCTCTCATCCTTCTTGTACTACTTCCGACATTGTGTTCGTCAATGCAGTTCCTCAGCGTCATCCGTCAAGACAGGGAGAATCTGTGGAGAGGCGTGCCTTGCACGAGCCTCCGCGAGCGTTTTCTCAGAAACATGTCCAAGAAGAGGAATTGATTCGACAACACGCTGCAAAAAGTAAAAACAACCATACAGCGTCGGAAATGTCGGCCGGAGAGCGTCGAGTTCTGCCCACCATCCGGGTAGAACTCCGTCCTGATGAACCTTCGGCAGCAGGAGAGTTCGGCCGCCAGTCACAGATTGGCATGGACGAATGTGGGCTCATGGACGATCCGCAGCAAACTCCTATCTCCCCAACATCACCCATTGATATCTCCGTGTATCCAGCTTCTAATAGCGGCCTTCTCCGTGTTCCATTGGCTCCACGATATGACAGTTGTCAAGAATCCGACAATGAAGAGGCTCAGATGATGTGTCGGGCGCAATCAAGGGTAAACGAACTCTGCGCTGAACCAGCGGCAACGACGGAAGCTGTCGCGATTGGGAGGAAAACAGCTGTGACTTCAGCAGAGCCTCATGATGCGTCTCGGAGGGAAGACACGTCCAAAGGAACCGCACATACACCAGAAGATTGCTCAGGGTTGCGCCGACCTGCGCCAGAGCCACTCCTTGTATGCAAGCCAGCAATATTGCAAGCACCTACGGTTGCCGATAGAGGTATGAATGAGAAGAGCTATTGACGTCATCGCTGACACGACAAGGGATCATAAAAATAGATGCATTGATCAAGCAAAGGCAGCATCAAATCAAGGGTCGCAAGTGCTTGAGCCCTCAGCAACTTGCTACTCCAATCAATCGACCAAAATCCGTATCCGAAACGCCTACACGAGCTCGAGAACCACATGGACAACTCCAAGTGCCACTTCAGCAACAGCACCGGCGTAGCAAGAGTGATAACTTGATTCACTTCAACCGGGAGGAGTTCTGGAAAGGAGTAACTTCCGTAAGTTTGAGATATACCCACTGTCTGTGCAAATAGTAGCTCAATAGCCTTAAACACAGAGCTTTACGCACACCCTTGAAGCTCGTTGAGCTTTTACAATCCCACCGTCGGCATGGCTTCGCGGTGGAAACGACTGGGTTTCACTACGCCAGCAACTCTCTCCTCTGGCCCTTCCATCAGTAGACTTAATAGAATGATACAGTCAGGCCCTGATTTCTTAGGATACCCCTTTCACTCCGCCCTCGATTTCGGTAATCAGTTAGAGCTAGTGTCTCTTTGGCACATTCGTTTCGACAGAAGTACATATTGCAGTAACTATTTTACCGTCTCTTACCATTTCATAGACCTCCTACTTGTATAGTGCTCTCCGCATACTCACTGCCTAAAAGCGCGCTTACAGAAGCTCCCACAAGCTATACCCGTCTTCACGCAGGTCAACGCCGCTCGTTCGCACAGCCCAGCGGGTACTCGCCCGTTACCGGCGCCTGGAATGTTAGCCTCTTACGCTGATAGTTTTCGTCCTCATGTAACCTTCTGCAAAGAAGTCCACCTGACCCATAGGGCTGAGCAGGTTTCCATCTTCAAGCCAGCTAGCTGGGGTGAATTTCCCACATGATCAGAGTTAGCTGAGTTGAATCATTGGAGAGTGACGCATACGACTTTGGTGGCTGTGATTATGCACACTCCTTGCAACGTATAACCTTCCCTGGGAAGCGAAACGGCGTCGCCTGTACCCTGCCTTGCGGAACAGGGTGTCGTATGGCTGCCCAGTGTGTTCGTTCGCAGTTTACAGCCATGTATGCTCTTCTTCGTAATTGGATCTGACGAGGGCATCTTGCATGTTCACACTGGTTCCGGATTGGCTCGCGAACCTCAGTGTGCTGCTCGTACCACTCCGGCGGTCCGGCTCGCGGGAAGGCATACATATCTCTGCGTCTGGTTTTTCTTTGCCCGCATTTCTTCCGCCATGTGAGCGTTTCGCATATCTACACAACTGCAAGCGCTTCGATAAGGGCTTTCCGTATAAGACAAGGTTAAGGGTTCACTAGCTTCAGAGGAAGTTATAACCAACCAGTCCGATTGCGATAGATAATTGCAACTATACATGCATCCTTCCTGGGTGCGAACTTATCGGCGGCTGGTGGGCCAAGCATTTTCTCGGGCATTCTGAGAGTCCACGACGGAATCCAAAGGTAATGCTGCATGGCTGGAGGCTGAGGTGACACATGGGTGGCCGGGGAGAGTCACATGAGATTAGCTTAGACGATGACGATAAAGAATACTGGAAGGGTTGCATCTTTGAGTTTAGCTAGGGAACTGGACATATATTTCCTATGTATGTTTTTAGAAAGATCCAAACCTGAATGGTTCCTTGGGGGAATGATAGACGGTATCTCCGGCGTCTCACACGAGTGCTAGCTACATCTTGGTATTACGGATCCCGAACTTTCTTTGAAGTAGTCCTGTTGCCTTTGTAGATAATATCATAAGTCCTTTATCGTTTATTAACAATGAATGTACCTGAGCTGGAGACTGCATAAGTGACATTGTTCATGAGGTTCCAATACGAAGAGGTTACGTATCACTTTCCCAATTTAGGTCCGGAGTTCATGGTTTCTTGTGGTTTTACTCCCGACTGTGAAGCCACACGTTTGCCTTCCCCACCGTTGCCGTAAGCTGAGGTCGGGTAGAAAAGAGGCAAACAATCACACATGAACGGCCAATTGAGGACTGGGGAGATATTCGATTGATGGAAAGTATCAAGCTTAATCTGGTCACGAAGTCATGCTCACTAGGTCACTTTTGTCTGGCCACAACGCATTGTTTGCAGTAAAACCCAATTCTTGACATTGGGATATGTATTTACAAGTTCCTTTGGATAAATCATAATACCCGAGGATACCTCGTCTACCCATTCAGAGCTCGTCTTTCTCTGTCCATTGATCTCGGGCCCATTGATCCTTCGGGTCCTGCCCTACAAGCCCTCAATCCTCCACTTCGAAGAATATCCGTTCCGCAGCCAACGTCAACGGCATTCCACCAGCCACCCAGCGACGCACTTCAGGCCATGTGCTCACCCAAGATTCGAACTCCGCCCACTCTGGCTTTGACTGCATGAATACGAGCATCTGAGTGCGCTGTACCCGCGTACCCCGTCGTCCCAGATACACGTCCCAAATTTCTTGATAGTCCAGAGGAGCGAACCAAGTGTTCTCTAGGCCCACCTCACCGACTAGAATGTCAACATTCTGGCGCAAGGTCTGGATCTGGCTAAACATCGCATTGCAGCGCTGGCCTACCTCGTTCACCCGCTTTCTTGCTGTCTCCAAGTCCGCACGCAGCTTCTCAGTCTCAGGTGACGAGTACGTTGCCTTGTAAGCTTCTGTGGTGAGCTCCATCATCTTCTTCCAGTAAGCCGGGAAGTAGAATTCGGAACTGATGAAGTTAGCGCTGGGGGAACCTTTGAAGGCTTAGATTTCGGGCGATTCTATACCGTCCTCTTCATCCATACGGGAGCTCAAGGGGACCAGGCGGTGGAATTTCAGGCCGATCGCTCTGTACATGTCTTCCTGGACGTTGAGATGATCTTGAACGCGCTGGACGGTATCTCGGAGAGTTCGGAGTTCTGACTGCATGCGGGCGATGTCATCCACTGTGCCAGAGGGATGGGTTGAGGTTGACATGATGGGTTGTTGGATGATGACTTTGGTTTTGGCTAACCTTGTCTTCTTTCCCAGGGTGGTATTCCGGTTGTGGTTGTGGTTCTAAGTGGCGAAGTTGAGTGGTTGAATGTTGCACCTGAGCGCGTATGCTCAAGAGCTGGAGGGTGTGTGCTCACTTGGGTAGATACTCAAGATGCAATGTACGACCTTGAGTCAGAAACCTGCTTTCTCTGAATCGAAGAGTTGCAATCTTGACTGCTGGAGGGAATCTTTATCGTGTGGGTTGCCCTTCTCGTCCGGTTGTCTGAGGTTGGAGACTTGGGGGAGGGGGGAATATGAGTGCGACTTATATAGCGCGCCTCTTTGAGAAATTCGAGGTATACACATTGCAGGAACAGTGAATGAAAGTTCACGACATTGTGCCCATCACCACTAAGTCCCAATGAATGGACAATGCGGACTGTTTTCTTTATAGCACAACAATGTGGTTAATGGTCAGAAACCTAATGGTGTGGGCCTGTTCATCTCCCTTTGGTTATCGGAACGACTCCAATAGAACATGCTGATCGTGCAGTATTGAGCTCGGATCCGGTTGGGCTGGGTTGTGATAAATTTGAACATGGCGCGAGAGGAAATATAGCCCATATATAAAGGGGCTAGTAAAGTGTAAGATGCCATAAGGATGGACTTTTTATAATGTCAGGAAGATAACCTGTATATTGTGATGCGCGCTGAGTGTTCGTGAGGGAGCGTTTGGGAACCCAGTCTGCCTTGGCGGCGTTGATCGCGTTTATATCAATCCAAGTTCGATGTTTGCGTAATTGGTTAGCGGATGGGGGAAGTCGCACAACTGGGGGGCAAGCTTGACCTGTTGTCTCTACGGTATGTCCTCTTGTCTAGACCCGCCAGTGGGTTTCACTTGAAAGACACACAGCACTTGCCCCCAATATATCGACACCGATTATTCAAACAAACCAAACGAAGGGGATCTATGTTTTCATAGGAGCTATAGACTTCATTCTTTCCGCCTGCTTATGAGCATACCAAGCATCGCCCTTCGAATTGCACATCTGCCTAGACCAACTTCCGAGCTTCACACACTCTTTGATGACCGTAACCAGATCTGTCTTCGCTTATATGCATCAATCTTCCCAGATACAGATCAAGGACTGTACGGGGGCGGAGGTGTACCAATCGGCGAATCCAGAAGAGTGGAGACGTCCCCGCCTTCCAGTAAAGCATCATCAATCTTTAAAACGTTTCGAATGGCAAGAAAGTGTCGCCAGAGAGAACAGAAAATCTCCCGCAGTTGTCCATGTGGAATGTCTTCGAGTATTACCTCGATATGTGTGATGCGAAGTCTGGTTGCCTCAAGTAGAATACGTCGGCGGCGTGTAGCTACTCTGTGTTCCCAAGACTGTGCCGTTAACTGAGTATCTGAGTGGAAACGCTGGAATGAATGGTGCACGAAGGCAGGAGGTTCACTTTCTGATCTGCGTAAACGCGTGCGTGGCGTCCAGGTATGTCTCTCAGGGCGGTCCGGAGTCGCATGGTCGTCAGGGCTATTCTCTCGTTGGTGTAAAGAACGTCTTCGTGAAATACGTCTCGTGGAAGGAGTGGCAGGGTATATATATCTCGGCCGGCGCTGTTCTTGCAGGCTCGAAGCGGAGCCAGCAATCCCACCATCGGTCTCCGTAGGCGCAATGCCGGTCCCTAAGAAGTCGTAGTATTCTGCGAACGAGTCCCAGGCGTGATTTGAGTAGATTGCATATGTCTGAGGACATTGGGGAGTCCTTGAACGACGCTCATGCTGCGCTGCTTCATCGCTCCCTTCACTGTCGAGGTCTGTGGTGGCGGAAGGATCGCTCGAATGGGTACCGGACGGGGACGGACGAAGACTGCCCAGAAAAGGACGACGCGACGGGTTCGTCGGATTGTACGGGGTGTTGGTGGCTTCGTTACCGAACAAGTGTTCGTGTTCATGTTCAAAAGCCCGCAAGGTCTCGAAGGCGGATTGTAAGTTGACAGTCGTCGGAGGGCTCACATGGAGATGTATTCTGCCCTCAAGAACTGCCAGAGTGTGACAAGCGATATGGGTTCTGGCGAGTCCGTTTTGGTGTCGACGACGGAAGAGTTCGCACTTCAGACGGGCGATTCTCAAAACGATACGCACGAACAGCTCCTCCAGACTCCGATGGCGAAGGTTTGAAGGTTCCCGGGTCTGGAGTTGGTCGGTATCGGGCATTATGATATATCTTAGGCATATGGCGGTACGTGGTAAAGAGCGTGATAGGTGTCCACGGTCCTCATTTCGAATGAGCCGGGAGCGGGGATAAGAGTGAAAGGTGGTAGACGAGGTCTGCGGTGAGTCTATGTAGGAACATAGCTGTCTGCGTAGGCTAGCAGGCCGTCGAGTTGTTGGCATAGAGAAGGATCTACCACGTTTGCGGAGCAGTTGGCAGTCACCGATCAACCTTGATATCCGCAGAGTCCAGGTAGAATAGCGGAAGCAACGATTCTGGTATCACGGAAAGCACTTCCAGGCTCCGTCATAACACATCTACGAAGGTCGATCACAGCAGCTAGATATCATTAGAAAAATATTCGCTTTGCTTATGTATAACATAGCATTCTGGATTGCCCGTTATAGAAGAAGACTTCTGCTGGGAATTGTACGTACTGGACGATGTGCAAATCGCAATGGACTATGGCCACCCAACCCCAGCAAGCTCTTCGCGCTCTATTTCAGCGCGAAATGCCTCCTGAACCAACGCGAGATTTCCGTCGGCGGGAAAGACAATCGCGTCATAGTAATCCCTAGCACTTCCCACACCTAAACTCTGCATTCCCTCATTGAGTGCATCAAACGTCACATCGGCGAACTGATCCTCACGGTAATACAGGGCTTCCTCAATGATTTGCTTCTTTTTCTTGCCTGTTTTAAGAGCTTTGGGTGTCTCTGGAAGACTAAGAAGCCAATCCTACAGGGCCTCGTCCCGTTGTTGTTGTAAGCCCGCATCGTGGTATCCGAAGCCCAGATCCTCGATACTTTCCACTTTCTGCCGTAGGCTCCGTAGCCTAGCAAACATCGTGTTCAAACGTACAAATGCCAAATAGCAGTTGTTGTACGCCTGATACACATTGTTGAGGGATACATTGGACAGTGCCACCTCCAGCAATCTGTGGACGTCCTCGCATGGTTGTAGGAATTCTCGATCCGCGTTCGATCCATGTAACGCCTCTGATATGTGGGCCGCCAGATCTGGTGCGAGACGCTGATACTGTAGGAATCCCATCCACAATCCGGCGTAGTATTGATAGCCGATGCGACGGTATTCGTCCTGGACTTGGAACACCCTCTGCGTCAAGAAGTAGATTGACTTCCTTGCGCTATCCCTATAAGTGGTCTGAAACTTTTCGATATCATCTCTTGTTCCCGGCACCTCAAACTGTATTCTTTGGCGTTCGCGTTCTCCCCAGTGATGAGTACGGCGGTCGGGCCCGCAACCTCTCCTGTCCGGCGTGACCTGGGTGATATAAGGTAGAACAGCGCGGATGTTGCCGTAGCCGGATATGCAGTCGTCGCAACAAGTAGGAATATGGTGATTGAAATCGTAATCACGGGATGGAATGTGGCAATGTGTGTTGTCTTCTCTCACTTGGGCCGGTAGTGTGCGTGCCGTGGCGCAGTACTCGATGCGGGTCTTCCTGTAATGTCCGCAGGACCAACGATCCCAACCAAAGATACACATGCTAGCGAGAGGCCGAACGAGGGGGATTGAGCCTTACAATCACGGCTGTGAAACTGACCTGCGAGAAGAATGTGTAACAATATGTGAAAGCGAAGGGAAGCACAAACTGGGAATAGGCCACCGGCTGGTGAAGAATAGAGCCACTCTTCAACGACAGCGATGGTGTTATGCTGCTACTGCCAATATCCAGGTAAGGAGTGAGCAAGCTCGAAGGGCAACTGTGGAGCAGCCGCGCTGACAGCCACCTTCCAACAATGAGAAGAGGGCTTGTGACTTTCGAGGTAACACTCCATCAATGATGGAAAGGGTTGTTCCCCACTAAGTAGGCCGTCGCCGCGTTACTGTTAAGTTAATATTCCATATCTTTGCGCAGTACCTAGGTATGCCATGTCCTCATACCGCAAACAGCGAAAATGGAGGGAATGATCCAGACTGCGCGCCAACTCCGCCTGGTCCCCGGCATAGGTAAAGGCGTCGATGCAATGATGACGTTGCAGCTTTCTGTGAATCGAGCGTGCGCCTGTGAAGGAGCATTCACTGTGAGGAATCCAAAACCGAATTTGGTAATGACTAGTTCACATTAGGTAAGTGTGACCACGATCAGCTTGGCAAACATTTACAAGCACCCAGACGCTTCCCACCTTCTTCCTCGAATGCTCCATCATCGCATATATCGCATGCATCATCAACCTATTATTCGAGAATTAAGGTCCATCGTTAGTCCGTAATCCCTACTCTCTCATCCACCCTGATATGCTTCAATCACCCATACAACGCTTCGAAGTCCTGATTGAATGGTGGTCAGTTCCGAAGGGCATATTCTAAAAGGTCAGTGCCGCTGAGAGCAGTAGCCAAATAGGGGCAGAAGGTGCAAGAGTCGGTATATAAGTGAAGAGGGCACACAGCGCGGAGACGTCTTGAGCCTGGATCTATGCAGTTTGAGAAAATCACCCACAACCCGTGGAATCCATACCTGCTCTTAGGGTCGATACGGCCAAGTGTTGTCACAAGCCCCTTTTCTGGCAGCAATGCTCAGCGGCGACTCGCATCCTTCACTATACGTGACATGAGCGTACCTCCGGAACAACATAGATTTTTACCCCCCTGCCCTCTGCCTCTTTCGTTACGTTGTGTTTAGTCTTCGAATAACGCTTTGGAGCAGGGCACACGGCGAATCCCGACACATCCATGAAGGACAAGCTCCACGCACTCTTCCACAGAACTGCACAGCGGCATGATGAGGAGCCAACTTCAGCACCAGAGGTGGCTTCACTCTCACCGTGTCCTTCAACGGTGGATTTTGTACAGAAGTCCACGGAACAGGCACAGCAACAAGTCCTTGCACCTCATGACTGTCTGACTGTCGCTTTTCAGAATCGTACGACTAGCTGCAATGTGTACGCCTACGTGACCGGTCTTGCTCTAACGAATAATTTCGCACCTATGTTCATTTTGGCCGACGGCAAGACTGTATACTTCCCCCCGAATCCTTGCAAGATCCTGAGCCCCGTCACGAAGGATGTCGCCATTCCCTTGGGCCCTCCAGGCAATACGGTGCAAGTCACCATTCCAAAAATGGCCGGCGGTCGCTTCTGGTTCGCAGTCAACGGTCGCCTCACGTTCTTCATGAATCCTGGTCCTGCAATTGTCGAGCCTTCGGTCACCAACCCGTCCGATCCAAGCCACGATGTCGACTGGTGCTTCTCAGAGTTCACCTACAACGACTACCAGCTGTTCGCAAACGTCAGTTATGTCGACTTTGTTGGAGCACACGGTGTTAGCCTTTCTCTGACCAACTCCAACGGACAAACGCAAACGGTTCCTGGGATGATTCCACACGGATTCGCAACCCTTGCGGATGGGCTCAAGGCTCAAGCGCTGCGTGATGGCCAGGCTTGGGACAAGCTCATTCAACATGTCAATGGTCGTCCACTGCGAATTCTGAGTCCCAACAATCTACTCGTTTCGCAACCCGAAGTCTGGGGAGATTACTGGCAGCCCTATGTTGATCAGGTATGGGCGCGTTTTAAAAGGGAAGATTTCATCGTCAATACACAAGCCGAGGCTGGCAATCTATGCGGTCGAGTCGAATATGACGAGCTCGCATTTCCCGAAGCTGGACGATTCTGCCGGCCGTCTGCCAGCGACATATTTTCCTGTTCCACTGGCCCTTTCCGTACTGGATCCAACCCGGCACGCAACGCTGTGATTCCTCGCCTTGCAGCGGCTTTCAACAGGACGACCTTACTGCTTAACCCTGCCCAATTCCCTAACGGCCACTCTCCTGACCAATATTACCTCAATCCAATCACAAACTACTACTCTAAACTTATTCACAGAGTACAGGAGGATGGTAGAGGCTATGCATTTCCCTATGACGATGTCACACCTGAAGGGGGCGTCGACCAAGCGGGTTGCGTGAATGACTGTAACCCTAAGTTACTGGTGGTGGGTGTTATTGGCACCTAGGGTTAGATAGATATGGAGATGCTACGAGGTAGTTCGTGTCCTGCCAGCCTATAACCTCTTGTTCCAGGCTGCCATACCCGAAAGTCATCCTGGTCTCCGGTATCTCAATGGCACATTCCCTGGCCGCTGTATCCCGTCAGTTTCCTAGCTAGGTCTTAGTCTTCCAAAACGCGCGGCGTAGCTCCAAATCGTGGTGATTCGTTCTTGATTGTGTTTTACTTTGCCAATTCTGATGATAAATACACGTATATCCTCCACTACTGGATATATTTCACTACGGTCTCGATCGGCCCAAGTGCTTCCAGCCGAGCGCAGGAACGTGCTGCATTCTTTGACACTCTTCAATAGCATGCAGAATCAGCAATTGCGGCTTTGGCGTAATTGGGCGGCTTCCCAGGTTTGCATTGTTCCTGCCGCTTAGCTCTCTCTTCCTCCTCTCTTTTCTTATAGCATGCCGAATCGGCAATCATTGCATCGGCGCCCGGAACGCAATTACTGGGGGGCGCTCCATCCAGCTCGTCGTCCTTGTCTACACGATGCTTTATGTTAGGCATTGTCTTTCATGGACATGGGGAACGCACTAATTGGAAAGGCAACCACCGAGGCGGCAAACATGCAAGCCACGATCGTAAGAGCGGAAAAGCGCATAATGGGTGGCTTGGTTGACGATCTATGGATACGATGACGATCAGCGAAGAGGCTTCTTCGGTGGCTTTTGGGCTGGGAGGGATTCACCGCACTTTATGATGAGGTCTTGAAGAACACATGCGTGCTCAATTGTCATTCGCAACGGGCTGTTATATATGTATCTAGTCAAAACTCTGGGCGTTACTCAACATTCGGATGCATTTGACACCGAATGCCTTACTGCTCTGATCCAAGACATTATCTGGGACAGGCGCGCAACCGTTGTCGGTACCGGGTAGCCAAAATAGAACGATTTTGTCTTCCTTCCGCGGCGATGCTCCCCGATACTCTGGTAAGAGACCACTCTCTGCCAAGCGTTCTATAGTGATGTTCCATCGCGTAGATATCTCCATTCTGCAGAGCAGCGGGGCAGTCTGCACTGCGCTGTTATCATCCAATAAGCCCAGGGATTCAAATGATTGACAATGTCGTGTAGTCCGGTACCAAATTTGTCGGGCATATGTGCGTACGTGTCTCCAGCGCTCATATGATGATCTCGACCCCAAATTTCGCTGAACGTATATCCTCTCTTATTCTTGCCTTGGATTGGTGAAAGGGCATGCAGGGAGAGTACTTCGGCAACCGTCTACCTTCTTCGCTCCGGCCACTTTATAAGAAATCAACACACTTTGTATGATCTGTCCCCGGGCCTATGAGGACCATATTTTGGTCGCTGCTGCTGCCAACAATGAAAAGTGAAGAGAAGGCGGCGTTGCTTAACCCACAAAATGAAGAGATTGGTACAGTATCTCGGCAGACCGAGAGGGCCGGCGTCATACCATGCGAACACCTGAAAACGCACTGGCTTTTCATCTGCGCTTGTCTTTACGGTGTCATTACCACAATACTTCTGGCTAGGTGCTTTTCCAGAAGCTCAAACAGTCTAGTGGTGCCATATTGTGAGTTTGGCCGCGGACATAATAAAGGACTTGGTGTACTCACATGCGCAGCCCCTATCAAACATCTCATTGAACCCGTCCTTCAAGATGTTTACCCTGAGAAGCATTCAGTTTACTCAAAAGAACCCTCTGAGGAACTTGACAAGGCCTGGGCAGAACTCGTCCATCGTGGGTGTTTCTGACCACCACCTTCTCAAGTGCAACACTGATCACCATGTAGCAATGCTCATTCAAACATATGCTGAAGAGGTGCAAAACAACAACGAGAACCCCGAAGAGCGGCTCGAGCTAGTCCAAGGAGGTTACCTGGGCAGTTTGGGCGTTTTCCATGAACTGCACTGCTTGGTAAGTCCTTCGAGGTGGAAAGTGTTCAGTTCTTATGTTGTTGCAGAGGCGGCTTTCCTGGCACATGTACGAGGACATATACTTTCAGAACTACACTGAAAGTGCTAGGGAGTATGAGAGAGCGCACGCACGTATGTTTATCATTCTCAATTTCCCAGATCGTCACTGACCGCCAGAGTAGGGCACTGCATTGAGGCCCTCCGGCGCAGCCTGATGTGCCAGGCAAATACTGCTCTATACACTTTCGCGTGGGACGAGAACAACACTCACGCGAAGCAAGTTTTGACTTCGAAGGCAAAACGGCAGTGCGTGAAGTGGGAGCCGATCCATGCGTGGGCGAGCTCCAGAACTGTTGGCTTGAACCCTACGTTCTATCCGCCAGGAGGAAAACCCGCAGGGTAAGAAAAAAAACAATTTCACCAGTTCACCTCTCAAGACGAGCGACCTTCTCTATCTGGTAGTGTATACATACTCTCCGTGTCTTCATCATCCCCATCCCAACATTGAAACTGGTGCGGCAACCATGCTTGCAGCTGAAACCCTCCGTTTCGACAGCTGCAAGCATATCTCTACACCTCCCTTGTGACCACCGCAGCTACGGATTGCGCGAGCGACCATTATTGACCAAGGTGTTCTGGAAGGCAACCAATGTTTTGCGTAACCGGACATTCTGGATAATACCGTAGGGTAGTGTGATATGAGACACATCATCAACGAGTACTTGTTGGTTCTTCTCCGGAGTTTCCGTCACCGCAATACGAGCTACGCCTCGCCGATGCATTTATAACTGCTTCAATGACGAATCTGTTCTAGGATTGACACACCCACCATGGACGATCCTGCAAATCAGCCGATATGATTTGACATGGCCGCTCGTCATTGAAGGCAACTTTTGGATAAGTTGCCGACGTGGTAACACGACTGATGCAAATATTCAGGTTAATCCAAAGTATTACAGATACTACCCTAGGGTACAAGTACCTGCGGCAATTCTAATCGGTCCCATCTACGTCTCGAACCTGCAAGGGTGGTGAGAGGTCCTGAGTCTCCTTTGACACACCGCAGACACTTCGTTACAGCCTCGCTTGCCCTTGTGCTGCCTCTGCGGTTGAATACTGCGGGTTTGTCCGAACTCGACACACATTTTAGGGTAGAAAATTGCTTGGCATGATAGCGTGCCCGATGCATGATAGCAAGTAACTCGTATTTGTTAGGATATAAAGTGGTATGTGACAACTCCTGTGGGAATCTTAAGGGATCTGGTTTGTTATTTGTTGTCCGATCCGTACTTTTCTGTTACGCTTCAGTGTTGCACGAATTTCTGCTTATCTACTTCATGGTACTAAGGACTCCCGATTTTTTGATCAGTAAATAACCGGTCTCTCCACATATTCAGAACATGTGTTAGGAGACGCAGATAGACGCGTGGCTCCATTTTACCCCACGTGGTCCACCTCATGTTACATGAAGTTTGTATGGCAAGAAAGCGAATTGCGCCGGACGGGGAGAGAGGACAAGTCAAATGTGATTGATATCATGTGTTACCTGTCCAGCCCCAGATCATGTATGCCATATATTTGAGATATGCAACTGGCTGAGCTGGCATGTTCCAGAGGACCGACGGAGGCTGTCGAGTCGGAGAACATAGCAATGAATCAAGAGAGCTGCGTCGCTCTGAGCTTCTGCGTGTTCTTTCACCACTCTCCGTGAATTGCAAAGGATGAAGACTCGGCCCTCATCATCGTTACACTTGTCCGAAGTGCACTTCATTTGAAACTACATGTTGAAGAGAATATCACACGAGAGGACATTGCCTACTCAGACAACCAAGAGAAAAGAATATTGCCTTAGACTCGGAAATGGTGGGAATGAAATTGCACATTTGTGCTACGCATAGAATCTGACTTTAGAGACTATATGCCAGAAATACCTTTCACAGGTTTTAAGTGCACAACTTGTAACCTAGAACTAGACATGACAGCTCCCCGTCTATGATTGTTTTAATTACGAATGCTCACAGCTTAGTAGCCGCATGCTCGAGACCGCCATCATCAGTCCAGCTTTCCAGATCAAAGGCATCAGTGCGCTTGATACCCTCGTCCTTCACCTTGGCTGCCTTTCCACTGTTGCAACTCTCCCCGCTCACAACCGAGCCCATAGCATATTGACCTGATTTAATCGTAGATTTACCGTACATGATATTATAGCCCACACCACGAACGACATCGCTAGTTGACCATCCAGGTTGAAGATTCTCCATCAGGGGTTTCAAGAAGGGAACGCATGTTAGCACGAGAGTGGCGTTCATGAGTACTGCTGTTGCTATTGCAACGTTCGTCTCCTTGAGAGTGGGATCCCAGTCCGGCGAATTGTGAGGCATGTTAGCTTGATATATGTAGATAAGCCGAAAACAAATGGGAAGAACGATTCTATTGCAGTATCCGTTAGCAGTCTTAAAGCATTCAATAGGACTTTAATACCCACAAGATGCGCGCAGCGAATACCGACAAAAGCATAAACTTTGCTTTTGATATTTGAAGGATCCATACGATGGAGCACAGAATGGCAGATAGTGCTACGTCTGTAAACCCATTCAGAGCTTCGATGAACGTCCATAAGACCGGTTGGTTCACGCATTGGTGGGAGGTTATTGCCCAGGTCCGCGGCAACTTGCACTGAAATGCGACGCCAAAGATGGAAGTTCTGTTTCAGAGTTCAATAAAACACATAGCTTATTGAAAGTCCGCTAACTTACACAGCCCAAACGACATTTAGAATTGTAAGACCATGGATCATGATTTTAAAGTTGGGGTGAGGTTGCAGATTCAGGGCGAAGAGGCATCCTGCAATCTTCGCTGTAAAGAGTACGCATATGTAGAGCAATTGCCCCGCATATCCCGACTGCCTCCATGGTTAACACACGTCTCATTGATGATCGTGAAAGCCTACTTTTTCATAGTTCGTTATTCTATCAGCCGGGAGGTTCGAGATGGGTTCTCCCAACCCAGCATTTACTTGCCTCGAAATGGAGATGCTTTGGCCAGCGGCGAAGGTCTGAGACCAGTTAGCACACGAAACTGTGGTAGGAAAGCAAGCATACCCAGGATGCCAAAAGGATATAGTCGTCAACCTCCAGATTTGAGAGTCTTATATGCCGCTGGGAACGCCCCAGTTTCGTCAAAACCTTTGCAGCAACTGCTAGACCGGCGATAACGAAACATATCCAAACCGTGATGTTCACTTTTGGGCCAAGGTGTTGAGGAGTAACAAGCGGCATGTTCGATTCCATAGTGGCAAAATCAACTACTACGCCTTTCGCTTCTCATGTTCCGACGAGAAGATGTTGCGATAACTAAAAGAGATCTCTACATCCATGGGTCCCACCACGGACATCATGAACTGTCGTCTCCCGCTTCAGCTACATGCGTGTACTTGCACCCTGAGAAGTTCGATGCATAAAAGCACGGCTACCTTGAGGCCTACCCATGGGATCGTCATGGTTGCACACGCAATAGTGTCGCGTGTTCGGAGTCCTGGCTGAATGCGACCGATCTATGAAGAGGCGGCAGACTGGGGTGCAAGAAGACAATTGGACGGCGGCATACAAATCATGCATTGGATGCTGCGGTGGTACTCTAACCCTGAACGAGGGTTTCGACCAAACCGTTCTAGAATTCGTATTCCGGACCTGCAAAATGCAGCATTCATATATGTACTCATTTATTCACGGATTCCGAAGGCGCATGCATTGCAGGAACAAACTGACTTACGTTCACCCCGTGTAGCAATGTCAAAACCAACGTTGTGCCATTATTACTACAGTCTATCTCCGTACATGTTTCAGAGCTTATCTGGACCCACGCTTAACCCGGACTTCTTAGTCCTTGCCGTAAGAGGAAGCATGGTTCCCCGTCCGCACACCCTAACCAACCCCGTCTGTTGATACCAATATCGCAGAAAGGCATCCCTCCACCTGGAAGCATGCGCAAAAATAACACACGTACATGGGTTTAAGATCATCCATACTTCTCCACAGGGGTTGTGCTACTTGCATCCAGGCATCAACATCGTATATGCGGACGATTTGCGCAGTTGAGAGCCAGGGCTTCAGCACGCACCACTGCTACTCACTGAGACGACCGCATATGGCGTGCAAGAATATTCAAGTGCAGCACAGAATTCTCAACGGCAGTTTATCGTCTGTCGGGTTCTACTGTGAACTTTGCCTGCATGGCTTCAGGTGCACAGGCTGGGTCCGAGAATGGGGCACTTGCATATCTCCGCGTGGACGTCCGCTGAGCTCGTACATCACCAACGCAGTGCCATCTTAATCGCACGACAGCTTAGAGGTTTTAGACTGTGGCCTAAGCTGCCTTCGTCTTCACAAGTGAAGTAAGCTGTCTACCCCGTCAATCTATATGTGATTGCTCACTGACACAATGCTAGTTGGAGAGAGATTGCGAGACCGGTGCGCAATTCGAAGCGCCACGCTGTCCACGAACTTCAGAGTTTTGAGACTTGTCCAATCCAGTTACTTTATGAGAATTCTGGCATCTTTGATTGTTACGATCATTCTCAAGTGTTGACATGGCACGAACGGCCGAATACCAGATGGCCTCGTTTCCGGTCCAGAAGATTCAAGGAAGCGCAACAATCGTCTCTGAGTCACGGGCAAGGATAATCAATGATGAAGAGATAATGGCACATTTTGGCAAGCGCCAGCAGTTCAAGGTAGATCAAACTGCCAGCGGCCAAAGTCCGTCGCTAATGGCTCCGACAGAGAAACTTCGGCTTAATATCAATATTAGGGATGGCGTGCACCTTGAGTAAGTGGAATTGAAGGATAAAATGCAGTCTTGACTCATCCGCAACAGTGCTCACCTGGCAAGGCTCGGTTGCTAATCTTCTTCCGCCACTGCTCAATGGCGGCCCTACTGGAGCCATCATTGCTTTCCCACTAGTGATCTTTGGCGTCCTCTGTCAGGTGCTGGTCATGGCTGAAATGGCATCAATGTAATAAATTGTGTCACCTCGGTTTGCCAGTGATAACCACTGACTTGAATTCCAGGGTTCCCCTTGCGGGAGGAGAGTACAACTGGGTTGCAGTTCTCGCGCCGCAAAATCTCTCCAATTTCCTCTCGTACACCGTTGGTTGGGTTACAGTAATCGCATGGCAAGCCGCCTGTGCATCAGTCACATGGATCAACACATTACTCATCCTTGTCGTGGCTGGCATCAACTATCCACAGTACAACATGCAAATGTGGAATGCGGTGCTCACATTCTGGGCGTTAGTTGTCCTCTCTGTTTTTGTCAACACCTATCTCGGTCGGGCTTTTCCCAGTATCGAAGCCATGGTCCTGATTCTGCACATTGTTGGCTTCTTTGCTATCCTCATCGTTCTTCTTTACTTGGCGCCCAAGAACCCGAGCGAAGCTGTGTTCAACTCATTCTTCAATGGGGGCGGATTCTCCAGCACTGCTCAGTCTGTAATCATCGGATCCGTCACTATCATGTACAGTTTCAATGGAGTTGATGGTGCAACTCATATGGGTGAGCCAAAGTGTTCGACTTCCGCTTGAATCACTGCTAATGGGGTCCATAGCCGAGGAGATTGAGAACTCAGCGGTTGTTATTCCTCGCGCAATGGTTTTGTCCGTTTTTATCAACGGCCTCACTGGTTATGCAATGCTTATTGCTGTATGCTTTTGCATGGGTCCTCTCGAAGAACTTCTCAGCGGCACCTTTCCTTTCCCCTTTCTGCTCATTCTGATGAAGATCACGGGCTCCACTGCAGCCACCACCGCATTGGTATGTGTGCACAGTACCTTTCAGGATGTTACCCGATCATCATTAACATATGTATAGGCATCTATCATCATTATCACGGGTATATCAGGATCGATTGGTCTTATGGCTACAGCTTCGCGCATGCTCTGGGCATTCGCTCGAGAGGACGGTGTACCGTTCTCACGCTATGTTTCTCGCGTGGAACGTCGAACCGCGCTTCCACTATACTCCATCGGCATCACAGCAACTATTTCGATTCTTCTCTCACTTATTACCCTGGGAAGCACGACCACATTCTCTGCCCTTACCGGACTGACCGTGGCCGGTTTCTACTCCGCCTTCATGGTATCCGCCTGTGTCATGCTTTGGCGCAGATTGGTGACTCCGGCTGAGAAGATTGCATGGGGCCCCTTCCGACTAGGGAAGTTGGGCGTCCCTGTTACAGTCTTGTCGCTCATTTACAGCTTCATTGGATGGTTCTTTAGTTTCTGGCCGCCCACCACGACCGTTACTGTTCAGACTTTCAATTGGAGTACGGTTGTCTATTTCGGAGTGATGATCCTAAGCATGTTGTACTATGGGCTGCGAGCACGCCACACGTATACTGGCCCTAAGATGGAAATTGTCGATGTGGTGAGGCGGGATGTGTAGTTTGAAGGTGTTAAAGGAGGTGATTACCATGACGATGGGGAAGCAGAACTCTGAAGGTAGACTGTGTAATACATGAGCACTCTTCAATATTACAGTATATATCTCTTCATTGATTTCCCCTTTCTCAATATGCTAACATGAAGTTGGGGCTGTGCAACACTGCAAGTTGATCCTCCCATGAGTTAACAGGCACTGAACGGATACAACATGTGACAGTTTAACAGAACAAACACCATGTCTCGATTCGGCTATAATAAGCTCCATGCTTAGAGGGAAGGCTTCTTGTATGTTTCAAGGCCTCAAGCATTCACTATGCATGTTCAGCCGGACCACACCGCAGGACCAGGCGCCGTATAACTCGTCTTGACTGGATAGTAGCTCCAAATCAGGCCAGGATCATTGCTCTTGTAAGCGCCCGGGAACGCCACGAGAGGCCCAGGCGTACCATTGCCGCCACCGGTAACATTGATCTGCGCGCACGACAGATAGATCTGGGCCCCGCCTGGGTTGGATGCTTGGTGCAGAGCGATGCTCTCAACGCGAACGAGATATTTACCTGACGGTACGTTTTTAGGGATCTGGAACTCGACTTGTTGCTTCTCTGTCATTGCAAGCGAGGTTAGCATATCCATTTGGCAACCCGAGGCGTTGTAAAAAGGAATGACTCACGGTAAGCAGGCCATGTATCCGGACCACTGGTGTAGCCACCTGCACCCTTTACCGCATCTATCTTTGCCGCCTTGAACCATACGTTCCCTGCGGGCTCCCATGTATTGATATCTGCGCTCTCAGGCACCTTGGCCATGTAGAACTGAACCGGGCCGAAGTGGGATACCGAAGAGGCAGCAATGAAGCCCAGTGTCTCTCCAGCTGCAATGGTGGCTGTACTGGTGCCGGGGCGCATCTGGAAGCATCTCATATCAGGGCTGTTGACATCTGTAACACCCGCGTTCGACTGGTAGTTCTTGGTTTGGCGGACGGCGGTCCACTCTTTGGTTTCGGCTACCCCATTCACTACAATCCTTGAGAAGCGGTCTCAAAAGCTGTCAGTTAACACCGCTGCAAAATGTGATGGACGATACATACAGTGAGCCTCAGCGGTGGCTGCAAGGAGCCAGAGCGACGATAGGAGATGCATGGCTACGCTCCTAGATGAAAAACTGACCTGAACTTGCGGCACCACAACGCTCAAGATAAAGTACAGAGGAGCGATTTATATGTCTCCTCCACATATTCCCCAGCTTAATATCGAATGCCGGCTGCAAATGTCAAGTGCCGAAATTGTAAAAGCTGTCACTGAAGTAAGCAGCAATGGATCAATATATCGCTACGATCAGCCGTTGACCCGAACCATGATTCATCGGACAGTTGTATGGCACATGCGGGGCATTGTTTTTTGACAAGACACATCGATTCGGGGCATGACAGCTATATAACAGAGGCAATAATTGTCCCATAACGCACCAGTCTTATCATATGGAATATATGCAGGTATAATGCAAGAATATACAGTGAAGAGAAATCTTAATAGAGGCCGAGATCAAGGCCCATAGTTTCAACCAGACCAGACGGCGGGGCCGGGGCTGACGTACTTGAAGCTCGAGTCATAAATAGCCTTCGTGAAAAGAGGGTCGCTGTGAATCGTCAGTATACCATGTTTGAAGTATGGGACCAGGGAACTCACGTGATCTTGTAGGCGCCGGGGAAGCTGACGCCAGGCGGGTTTGCGCTTCCACCGTTCTTGACGTTCACCTGGAAGCAGGTGACATAGGGCTGGGGGTTACCAGCACCAGCGTGAAGAGCGATGGCCTCAGCGCGGACCAGGTAGTTGCCAGAGGCAAGCGATTTGGGAACAACGAAAGCCCTCTTGCCGCAGTTGGCGTTGAGAATCTCTGTTCCCCAGGAAGCGGTAGTGCCCGCGTAACCGTCTTCGGCAACCTTGAAGAAGGAGCCAGAGGTCGCAGTCTTCGCGTCGGCAACCTTGGCCATGTAGATGAGAACTGGGCCGTAGTGGTTTCCACCGATAGCTGGCTGGCTGCACGACCGCTGGCCGGGCTGCGCGTGCATCTCGACGGTGAGGGTTCCACCAGCTGTAGGGCAGATTAGTCAGTTCATCCTTGGTCCAGGAAACAAATTTCCATTTGCTACGTACCCTCAACCTCGCAGATGCCATTAGACTGGGCAGGACCACGGCCGCAGAACATATCAGGCGAAGTTAGGCTGGAGATGGGAGAGTTGTCCTTGACAGTCCTGGCACAGGTGGTGCCCATATCAGTGCTACCAACCCACATGTCCTGCCAAGTTGAGTGGGCGGAGACGGCCGCAACCGCCGCAAGAAGGGTGAAAGCGGACTTCATGTTGGACAGTTGTGTTACTGATGGGTAGGAGAGAAAGCCGTGGATGGAAGTTGAGCGTGGATAGGAAAGGAAGAGACGACCACTCCGGTATTTATCGTAGTACAGGATTGTGCCTTACCATCTCCAATATACGGGTCAGTATTCTCCGTTCCATCAACCTGTACCCGGGCCGGCAACCGATTAATCTTCATAGTTTATTGTCGACCACATGGTTGTTTCTTGACGTCTAGGTGTTTCGCCCGGGTATGGATGCATTGCGAATATATTACCAAAGGCTGCCTCTCACTGGCTGGAGAATAAACAAGCTGTGGCGTTTAAATTCGCGGGGTGCATATGTGGGGAAAACAATATGCAGCAACACGATCATTCGTCCACGCTACCAGGTGACTGGCGGAACCTGGGCCATAATAAAAGACTTCATGCAAGCGATCGTCACGCTGGTCGGCTTAGTAGAAAGAAGTCGAAGACCAGATCCAAGTAATATCGGGCAGCGAGGCTCTCAGAGTCGGGTGCACAATCCGTATATTGGAGGCTGACGTCAGGCCACAATGACAACCCATTATTGTACCATTATTGAAGAAGAACTCAGAATCGAAGAGAATCGAAGACGCAAAGAAGGAGAATCAAAGAGTGTGGTAAAGCAGAGCCAGGTTGACATTTTCCACCGGCCGCCGGCCGCGGCAAAACAGTTGCAAGTTGAGCGTGTGCTCAGAACCCTGTTGATAGGCGATCCACGACTCCACGCCACAAGCGGCAATACGGTACCTGAGCCCGGTTTCGCGGACGGGAAACAACTGAACCGTTCCTGGAATCCTGGATATCTCAGGACCCGTAGCCACAGGCCGGCTAGTCTGCAAGACATCTTGAAGACAAGCATTTCGATCTCGTGTTTCCCGCAAATAGAGACCGTCGAACGGTTAAGGAGAGTGTGACGCAATAATGATAGATGCATGGAAATCGCGGAGGTTGGGAGGAGGTGAAAACACAACGTGCGTGGAACAGGAGTGTCTGGTTTGACGAGTGAATGCGCTCTCAGTTCTAGTGCAATTAAGTGTTAGGTCTTCGAGAGGTTGCTGGGAGGGCGCTGGAGGAGATTGAGTGTCGAGACATCGAGCTCCTATACCAGTGAAACAATTTTTTATAGAATGACAAACTGCAGACATTTGACGCACTCATTGGGCGTACCTTGATGGTGACTTAGGACGATTCTTCTTGGTGAGAGAGGAGACACGGATGTGACGATCGAGGGCGCCAATAATAAGAATGAGAATCCACCAGAGAGCGGCGAGCACGAAACACCCTGCCCTATAGCATCCAGAAGGTACATTAAACCGTAATGTGGGCTACGGAGTAGACTTTGTGACAACAGTGGTGGATAAGCTTTAGCCCCGTAGGGGTACAGTCGAACATGCTTATTACGAGATTATGGGATTTAGGTAACGTAATTCCCGGCATCTTGACCATCCCTACATCTTGACCACCCATCAAAAATCAAGCACCTGATTTTAAAGTGGTCTTACTCTGCAACGCATTAATTAATTCATATAAAAGTTTGAAACTTTGTAGAATAGAACCTCAAGAAGTTATTTATTATACTTTTTAGTCTAAAAACCGCTGTGGGGGAGCGATTTTGTGCCCGGTCCTCGAAACCCTCAAAACCTGCCCATCCTGATTTGACCCACTGC